TTTTTATTTTATTTTTTTTCTCTCAAATGTGTTACCTAAAGTTCCTAATGACACCAAATATAAGAATAATAATAATTAGTTGTTATTTAAAAAATAAATATGATTGTTTCACTATGTATTTTTTTATATTACAGACCTTTAAAGCTTAAGTACCCCATCTAGCCACCACCTCCCCTACCTCCTTCCTACTTTGTAATTTCTCTGGCATATCTCAACAATCAAATTTGTCATGATGGGCCAACAGATCTGACCTCATTTTCATCTTATCATCGTCTATTGGTGCCCAGTTGCTCAGGCGGGTATAGTATATATATTTCTTTAAGGCCCATAAAAAAAACCTATTTTACAGGTTCTGCTAAAGGGTTGATTTACGAAAAATTTAGTTTTTCATCTTTACAATTATTCGTTTTTATAAGTGCACCTACGAAATATTAAGTCGGAATGTCCACTCAATATTGTTTCCCTTTACAAACTACTATATTATATGAAACCCCATTTTCCCCTTTGAGTTTCAATTGCGTTAAATCCCTTTTTACCTACTCCTATCTTTTCTACATCTTATTTAAAAAAAAAACAGAATTCTAGATCCAAGAATTTAAACAGTGCGTTGACAAGTATTTTCTCTTTTTAAAAATAATAATCGAGATAAGTCTCGAGGTATAGGTAAGTATATAATAATGTTATATAAAATTGAACGATCCGCGTAGTAACGTACTTCGATATTTTTTATAACAATTTGAATTTGGAAGCGTCCAATTCAGTGTGGCCAGAACCAAAATGCGTTTGTCGTGTAATCCTCTAGGGATGTGGATTATTATATTTTTTCTATCGATTATTTTTTAAACATTGTCGCGGGCGTGGGATATGGAATGGCATTTTGAGTATTCGATACACTTTATTAATTTTCGATTTGCCCCGTCGTTGTATCAGGTAGATACATACCTATTGTATATTTGATTGACAAGAATTATAATAAGAACAGGTAGATAATCCATCTAATAATAGTGGTAATTGTACAATGAAATCAGTAAGGAAGGGACCAGGGAGTGAAAGAACACTATGAACTCTTATTTGGACATTTTTTTAAATAATCCATGTTAAAATCTCAGTGTTATACAAAAAAGTATTACTTAAATAAGTGAATATATTATTAAATAAATACATTTTATATTTAGTTGAAAAGCAAGTATTGGTTATGTTTATATAATATGTTATTAATTTTAACCACTCTTTAAATAAACTTTCTTTGTAAAAATCTGAGGAGTTGAAAATTTATAAAGTTTTTGTATGAAATAAATAATTTGATTGTCGCATGCCTCCTTATTGTTAATATATATTTACCAAAAACAACATTTAGATAAAAGAGCAACACGCAAGTTTCGTGTCTGCGTTCTAAATGAGTACCTACTACAATTATAAAATATGATTATTCCTGTAGAGATGATACTGCTTTATACAAAACAAACATGCTGTCGGTACTATACGAAAAAATAAGTAAAAAGAAATATTTATGATATATATTATAAAATGCCTCGAAATTAATTATATTACTTGATTTATATACCATAAATCAAGTAATATAATAAATTTTATTAAAAAAAAAATACTTAGGCAGATATCTAATAAATGTCCTTATCTATATCATAGATTAAACGACAGCCACTGTGAACAAAATCGCAAAGTCATGCGTAGAGAAGGTACAATGTTTTGTTACAAACATGCTCCCAAATTCCTCACTTGATCAAGATAGAAGAGTCTTGTCTACAAACAATGCTATTATTCATATGAAAATAAACAACCATTATGAGGCTTCCACTAACGTTCGATATTCGAAAATTAAAAAATAAAACTTGCACCATAGACACGGCGGCGGCGGGTTCAAAATTCGATAGAAACTGGGCCATGACGTAGGGTTGACCATGAAAAAGAATTATTTTTATTACGTATTCATGCAGAATTAATTAATAATAAACAATTTTAATTTAAACTGAATTTTGTAAAATAATATGAACTGACAATCCGTTCATTTAATAGTGAAAAGAAATTGTCTTATTGTCGTACTTTATCCTGCCTGCTACGTAATATGTATAAACTAAACAAAATGAATTGAATTGATTAGGCGTGAAATCATTAAAAAACAAGATGGGGCGCGAATTATGGACATTCAACTTCCTCGCAGGTCCCCGTGGAAACCATTATGAGTACCTAATTAGCCACGATGGGCTAACTGACCTGACTTCATATACTACTACTACTTGCTACCAGTTTACCGTGTCAAGTTGACCTCCACGCGGTTCCCCATCTGAAAACTCCTGAAATTGCTGGTGAATTCGCCCTGATGTTTTAACTCATCTGACCTTATACTCACAGCGGATGGCGGATCACCAGATACCACTATGATTAGATTATCACGGTGGTATCTGGTGATCCGCCAACGTAAACCGTAAGCTTAGGTAGGTCTACTATTCCATTATCATCAATAAAAAGAAACTCGTGGTCGTGACACCTCTAATGTTTCAGGCGTCCACAGGCTTCGTTAACAACTTGTTATGAAATGGGACGTATAATTTTAGTCATTATTATTTTCAATAAATTTAATGAGTCATTGCCAACCCTGATCATAGACATCATAGACACAATACAAAAAGCGCGCGTAAAATATTTTGATGTTTGACAACTGTCACGGTGGACTTGATCGATATCTATTTATTTATACGCTATTCAATGCTCGAGGGATCGATTTTTTAATACACATCTTATAAGCATGTTTTCAATTTCTTATTTTAGTAATAGAAAACAAATATAAAAGAAATAATTATCATAATTAGATACACTACAAAAATCCTGGATCTGCTTTTGATCTAAATCTACATATCTAACCTATAACTTTTTTAAAAGGACTTTTAATTTAAAATGTTAATTGGAATAGTGATAGATTGGATTAGAATAATAGAATGATAGTTAAGATCCACAACGCAATCTTCATCCTTCAAGACTTCATGTTCATGCTCATCCTGACATCATCTACTGGAACCCGTCAGCGTAAACCTATTAATTAATTCAAAAAACTACTAGCTCCAGCATACACTAAAAAGATGTACTATTACAGAAGTGTCGGGCCTCGAACCTGTGACCCCGATCGATAGTAGACGAAGCCGCGCGCCGAAGGACGAAACCTTACGAACGCAACACGCCATTGATACGTATACTCTATAGACTACTGTGTGGATTCCATCACTCTAGTTCTTCAGATATAATATATACCTATATTATGTAATATTATATTATCTGTGTCTGTATCCTATATACTAGGTGACACCGCAAACATTGTTTTGCTAAATAATTTAAAATCGCTATAAAAAATTGTGGTTAGTGATAAAACGGTGAAAATTTAGGGTTAAAAAAAATTTTGTCCAAAAAATAATAAAAATGTTAGCCACGCCTAACATTTTTATTATACAACCCTTAATAGAGAGTAGCCGATTCTCAGACCTACTAAATATGCACATAAAATTTCATAAAAATCGGTCAAGGTCGAAGGAGTATAACAACTAACACTGTGACATGAGAATTTTATATATAATATTAATACGTTAAAAAAAACTTTGTACTCCTTTTTAGGAATATAAGAAAATATTCTATAGGTTCGGACAAATTCCTACATGATACAATTTCATCGAAGTTCATTCCTGTGACTGAATTTCAGTGCATGGGAATTAAAAAATTACGATAAATCAAACCTAATTAATCCAAATTTGTTTTTTACTTCACATTATATATTGTCTTACTCGGAACGAAACTATAGCGCGTTTCAATTTTCTACAGCGACATCTGTCGCTTTTGTTGTAAATGATTTCTTTAAAAGCACTTTTGGCATATTGAAATAGTCAAAACGCTAATCACTCATTCTATACATAATAAAAAAAAATATTATTTTTTATATAGTTCATTCATAAATAATGAAGACAGAATCAACATTGCAAGAATTTCTAATGAAATTAGTTCTTGTTAATATCAACTTTATATCTTAGCGACTGGTATAACATTCTAGATTGAGCACTAAAAAGCTTTATCTATATATTATCATCTATAATGTTGTTACAGATATATAAAAAATAATACAGACAAAACCATTATTAGCAGTAGGTATATATATCACACTTTATACTATCAAAACCGTAACAATGTATTGTAACCATTAATGTAAGGTAGGTAATTCTTGTGTATAGTGTAATAAAGTATCCAAATTACCTTTATTCTTAAAAAAACACTAACAATAACTAAAAAGTCATAGAAATCCGCACAGAGTTCTGAAGCCACAAAAAAATGCTATGCATATAAAGATATAATGGGCAAAGTTCTAAAATTAAATTTTGGTATACAATGAATAAAATAAAAGGTTTTTTTATTCGACATAAATAAGTTAATGTCAAGTTCACGAACTAAAATATACATGTACTGCCATCTATCAGTACAGACTATCATTAGATCACACAAATACTGACGCTTCGACTTGATGAATCAAAATTCCGAAAGATGGCACTTAACAATAGGCTAATTATATGTGTTGTATTGAGTGGTATTGTTTCCTGACCTTGGAGTCGGAGTTGCCATTATTAAAATATTAACAACGATTAGTAAATAAATTAAAATTAGTGAAAACTTCATTGCAATATTGCAAAGAAGACATAATGAAATTAATTTAGTTTAAACTGTTATTCTAAAGCCTTTGTTTAAATATTTAATAGTAAATGGTATAAAATATCTAACTCATGGATCATTATGATTACATCGATTCTCTGTGATCCTAGAGTTATAAATGCAACATAAAAAACAAAAAACTATCTGATTCCATTATTCTTATACCATAAAACATAATGTAAAACTTTAAATGACAAATTTTTTAAGCTGCAATTTAAAATATTTGGAAATAGCAATACCGTTTGCAAACTGTGTTGTGTAGATTTGGACAAGTTCTATTTGGTAACATTAGTTCAAAATCAGACATGGCGCGTGTGTGCACGACTCCTAAAATTTTACCTAAAATTTTATTTTTCTCTTTTCTATTGTCTAGTTTTCCATGTTTAATTAGTGCAAACCGTGAACTTGATGAGGAAAATTGGAAAGAAATCCTTAAAGGCGAATGGATGGTGGAATTGTGAGTAAATTTCCCTTGCCGGTTGCTCCTTTTGCTTTAAAAAAACGTGTTATTTTTCTATTAATCAATACATAGTTGCTGTTTAAAACGACGTATTTTGCATAAATATGGAATAAGTCATTGAGTTTTCCATTTAAGAAATAGTAATGGAAATACAAATTCATCTGGCTTCTGATTCAATACTGCACAAGGTCACCGGGCCCGGGGTCTGTAGCTAAACGGTTTTGAAAACTGTGACGCATTGCCGCTATTGTGGCCCTGATTGTTAATTAGTTGCTTCTACTAACTCCCTAACTTATTTTTTCATACGTTTTATAATAAATATTTCGAATTGCTACTAAACATATCCATGTATGGCTATATTAAACTTCAACTGCATACAACAATAGAACATATAAATGTATTATAAACAAAAATCAATCGCTGCATTTACGTAACAGCACTTCAGAAGGGCTCCGTCTATGTGGCGAATTGTTTTTTGTTTGTTTGTAATTAACAAGATAAGCTTTATTTGCAAAATCCTAGAGAGATAGAGTGTTAAAAGATGCTATCTTGTTAAATAAAACTGGCATTTTGATAGATAGGTCATAACATAAAAGGGAAAATTTTGGTTTCATTTTCAGGGATGGGCATTATGTATGGAAGTATAACATTAAGGCATTCTTAATGTTTTTTTGTACCTTATTTAATAAAACCTTGTGAATTATTAATAAATTCAGAGATGTGTGACCTGATTATTATATTGAAATTTAAAATAAAATCAGTTTAAATCATTTAGAAGGATAAAAAGCATTAACAGACAATAGAGTCTGCTGGAGACATGTCTATGTCCTATGTATTAACTATAATATTATTTTAATAATTTAAATTAAATTTAAATTTAAATTGTAATATATTTAAAATTTGCATGCCCATAAATTGTGACAATTAAACAGTTGTTAATAATATTATTACCTGCATATATTACCATCCTCTAACATCCTCATGTAAGAGATTATCAATTTAATATTAAACATATATACTGAAATGAGTAAATAATGTTAATACATTAAAAAACAGTTCATTTTCTTACAAGTTCATATGAACTAAAACTGTAGCCAGAACTGAATGGTAAGGTTAAATTTGAATAAAAAAAATTATGACTTCCTTATGTGGCTAAAATTACCTATAAGGATAAATGGGTTTGAATTTGTCATACAAATATTATTACTAAATTAAAGTAAATTCAAAACCACACAATTAAACCTATGCATATATATATATATGCTGTAGGCATGGTATATCTTTGTATATGATATACTAGCTGCACCCATGACTTTGTCCATGTAAAATGATACTTTGTATAACCTTTCATATCTCCTTTCAACCCTTTGCAATCCTTTTTTCACATTAAAAAGTAGCCTATCTCCTTTGTCAGGGTCTAGACTATCTGTATACCAAATTTAATTTAAATTGGTTCAGTGATTTTGGTGTGAAACCGAGGCATACAGACAGAGTTACTTTTGCATTTATAACATTAGTAAGGAATTAATGATTTTACATTTGTTTCAATATAAATGTAAAATCATCAAATGACATAAACAATAAAAAGTAATTCTAAATAGGATCCAATAAATTGATATCTTAAAAAAAGTAATTTGAAAGGCAAAATACATCATACAATATCAAATAGGTTGAGATGAAAAATTGATGTTTCTATTTATGAAAAGAAATCTGAAATGACAATAAGCAAATACATTAAAGATAGAATGACAGTGGCAACAGGTGTTTATACAACAGGTGCATATTATTGTGGTATCATTCACGATACCACAATAATAAGAGTAAAAAAAATTAAATTCATGTCTAAAACAAAATATAAAAAGCACCTTAGTATCCACCCAAAACCATTGACTACTCAACTAATAAACTAAAAAATAATACTATCCTTAGATGAAGCAATATTATGTAATATCTCTATATTGAACACACACATAAGAAAAAAATACAGTAATAAGGTAAATGTAATGTACAAGAGCGAGCTTATCTCTACATATAAAGAGATTTGTTCCAGCAAACCTAGAAAATGTTATAGGATAATGTGTTCACTAGTTCAGCCATACATATGTGTATGAGATACACAAGATGTATGAGATACTTTGCAGTAATCTTAAGGAGCAGATTCTTCTGCTGTTGAGGTCACTACCATTAACAGTTCACACACTCAAAAGATCTGTTTTTAATTCAAGGACTGAATACAGATTTGATTTAAAAAGAAAATAGTAAAAAATATTGACATAAGTGTTTACAGCCTGTTATGAAAGTCATAATTTTTTTTCATACCATTCAGTTTGTATCAACTTCATTTGAGAAGAACTGGCAAGAATCTCTTTCTCATGCTTCAGTGTCATGTGACACCAAGTGACTCCTATGTCATTAATTCATTACAATGAGTTAACTCTATCATTTCCCAAACTTGTCTATGGCGAATGCAGTTTATACTGAGCCATAAAAAAAACTGAAATCTGTAATTATGTCATATTAAGCATAAGGGAAGTCATAGCAAAGAGATTCTAATTTCTTGTTATTAATTCATATAAAATTTTATGAATATAAAAATATTGGTTCAACCTTGCATTCATTGTTAACATACCTTAGTTACTTAAATGTAATTGTATACTAATTTGTACTACTAAATATATCTAATTATATGGTACTTTAATTTGGTCTGTTCTATTATTTTCTTTTACTTTAAGAGGAGCACTCTCATCGGTAGAGTTCTAGATTTACATTACACTTCTCATGATTTTCCATAAATCCCTTTAATTGTTGATAGGACATGACTCTTTTTTTCTCTAATTTACTTGACAGAACATCTTGGTCTTCCTAATCTTCCTTTTTTACCTACAATACTAATGTTCATAATTGTGTTGTATCAATTGCCTCAAGCTGTTGATTGTATAGAGCTAAAGTTATAAAAAAATATTTCATCTCAGTTATTGCGAATTATAAATATACTTATACTTATCAAATGCGCGAAGTTAAATAGGTTGTTGGTTTCCGAGATTTGCCAGCTTCTTGCACAGTAATCTTAATTATTCTTTCAATAGAAGGGTCTCCTTTCTACAAAATATTAGAAAACAATAAATAAATCGATGTAGAAAATCGGTTAAGTCATTCTTAAGTTATGACATACTCTGTGAAATAAATATTAAAAAAAAATACTTTAACAATACCTAACTATATATTTATTTTTATGAAACCATGACGGCTTGACAACTACCTATATAAGATTGAGACCTATAAGATTTCACATATTATTGAGGGTTTTGGGCTAGTGTCAGGTGCTAAACCTGTTACACTCTACCTGCATAGGTCTATTGTGCTCGCTCTTTTTCAAAGTTTGCTACCTAGATCCATCATGGACATTTCGTTTGCGTAAAAAAGAATAAAATATTTAATATACTAACCCAGAAACGCCTAAGAAAAAAGTTTCAGCGTTCTAGCTTCAAAATGACGAATTTCCATACAAACACTGAACCCCTATTTTATTTTACCCCTTTAAGGGTAACACTATGGTTGAAGAAATTAGATTTATTTTAATGAAATTCTTCAATAGATGCGAGTAATATGTATATGCGCATGAACTTACGTACACAGCAGCTAGTTATTTGTTGCAAATGAATAATGTATGTATCATGTGGGCGTCGAGTATTCACAGTGCAATCAAAAGTTGCATTCTGATTGCAAAAGTTCTAGCTTCTAGTGTGTATATAAATGAGTTCTGAAATCAATTTATGTATGGGCACCTCTGCACTAACCAATATAGTCGGCCTTTCTCTCGACGTGACGACTGCAGTGGTGTAGCGGTTTAGCACACCGCTTTGCGTTTGATGGTCATAGGTTTGATTCATTGCAGGGTTCAAACATTTGTATGAATGACTATAATTATTTGTATCGACCGAGTGTTTTCTACGTATAATATGTATGTATTTTAAAAAAAAGATTATTTATAGCAATTGTCCAGTTCCCGTTCCTTGTTCCCTCACTGCTGAGGATCGGCACGCTACACTATCTTGTCGCCATCGGTTGTGCTTAGACGCCAGACGTGTAGTGGGGCACTGAATCTGCTTACCTTGAGACTAGATAGCGCTGTATGAACTATCCTGAAATATTATTATATAATATAACTTAAAGCAATCTCTTACAGAGAACCTTTAAATATATGAAATATACAAATCTTGTTCATTTAAATAAGGACTATCTCCCTTCCATTGATACTAACTTACCAGTGACATCGTACGCGTGGTATTCAGAATAACAATAGGTTATTATTTTTTTGTTTATGAATTGATTGGAATGTAACAAACGCTAATTGTTACGAGACGTTTACTACAATACATCGTTACACCGCGTTGAAATTTCCTCCTCCGATCGATCCCCGTCCAAACCAAACGGGGATCGAGATTACGATGTCCTGAGCTGAAGTTCTAACCCCTAGCGATGCCCTCAGACTAAAGTCATATCCGACGGAAGCTGGCCTTCATCCGCTACATAAGTCCTTCCACGACTTTGGGGGCCATCTGCAGTCGCTCCCTATCGTCCGGTGAAGCTGTAAAGCCCAGCTGCGGCCAACAGCATTAGAGTAGTCCGAAAAAAAGTTGAAATCTGATATTTATTTATTTATTAACTCTATTGCGCCAAATATTCTTCTTTAGACGTACACTCTTGACAGAGTGGTCGTGGCTTTAATGATAGTATCAGTGCATTCCATTATTCTACTCCTTAGTGATAGCACTCCTCGCTACGGATCTACGGTTTTTGGCCGTACGAGGACATTGTACAATGTTGTACACTGTTGTGTAGTTTTGATAAGGCAAACGTGCTCAGAATCAACAACGCAATGGACTGACCATTGCGCTGTTGATTCTGAGCACGTTTGCCCTCAACTAACCCTTAGATAATTGGTTGCTCCACACAGATTTCTTTTCGGATGATGTGACCAAAATACTGGAGAATTAATATTTGTACAATAAACGATAAACGCTCCCTGATGCTGAGTTCTTTAACAATAGAAACGTTGGTTTGACGAGCAGTTTAAGGTATACACAGCAATCTCTACCAGCAGCAAACATGTAACACAATAATTGTACTATACAGAGGAATTGTTATACAAAAGGCGGTCTTATCGCAGAAGCAATCTCTTCCAAAATAATATTTAGGTAAAGAAAAAAGACTAACGTGGTAGGTGGTGCATGAATAGAATATAGTCATATTACCAACATAGTGTCGTTTATGGGATTTTTTTCTGGATGATAATAGAATGGTGCAAACCACCAGTCGATGGTAGTGGAGTGGTGGTATGGTGGATGGTAGTGGTGATGAGTTGAGATCATTCACCCTCAGGTGAACAAATAATAAAGTTAGACTTGGTCGAACATTCATTGTATTTACAGCATGGTGGCAGCGGTGGGATCCGAATCCAAGCCGCCGAAGAGACTTGCCTTAAACCTGTGTACATTACATACTATACATAAAAATCATACGCATTTATAGTATCAGTATGGATTATTATTTTTGTCTGTCTTATACTTAAAACACTAATACACTATAAAACACTGATAATAATATTTAATAAGGTTATCACCACCTGAGATTTTTTCTTATGAACTTTGAATGCGTTTATAGATAGCGGCCACACAATATGAATGATAATATTGTTATAATTAATGATAACAATCCATGAGATCACCATTATGAATAAGTTCATCTCTTCATTGTTATTATTTTTAGCATCAATAATAATAATACTGTAGACAATTCAGTCAGAACCATGTCAGGCTGTCGCGGTTCTCCATGGAAACGATCAGGATCAGTCCCTGGTGAATTTGTCATGGTGGGCTACATTTAAATTTCGAATTATGTTATTGTACCTTGTCAGTTTAAACTCCACGCCAATCTCCCTGGAAACTATCAGGATATGTTACTGGTGAATTTGTCATGGTGGGCTAAATTTAAATTTCGAATTATGTTATTGTACCTTGTCAGGTTAAACTCCACGCCGTTCTCCCTGGAAACTATCAGGATATGTTACTGGTGAATTTGTCATGGCGGGCTAAATTTAAATTTCGAATTATGTTATTGTACCTTGTCAGCTTAAACTCCACGCCGTTCATACTGGAAATCATTAGGATAAGTTCGTGTGAATTTGCCACGATGGGCTAAATTAAATTTGGTATTATGTTGTTTACCAGCTACGCACCATGGTGCCCCGCCTGCAATGCACTGGCTCCGGCCTGGAAGGAGTTGTCGACCCGCGCTAACCAGAAGACCCTTACGGTGCGCACGGCTGCTGTCGACGTCACTAAGTCACCAGGGTTAAGTGGAAGATTTGTGGTCACCGCATTACCAACCATATACCAGTAAGTCCCACTTGCTAGTATCTAGAACTTTATTAAGCAACACGCAAGTTTCTTGCTCGTTCGTCTTGTGATCTGCTTTTACGAATGAACGGTAGAATCGAAAATATTATATGAACATTCAAAAGTGCTTATATTAAATTTATTCGAATTAATTATTTATATTTCTATTAAAATAAACATGCACGTACATACATACATATTATATATGCACTTTTCTTTTACAGTAATGTAAAAGAGAAGGAAAGGTAAGGTAAATGTAAAAGAAGAGAAACATAGAGGAGGATTAGTTACATGTACACATATGTAAATATATATATTTGTGTATATCACTTACAAATACATATATTTATATATATGTGCTGAAGTTATTGTTGTCCTATATGAGTTACTCGGCTGGATTGCAAAAGGCTGTAGGCTATATAAAAGGGATTAAGTTAATCGTTTAGTGAGTAAATAGGCTTTGCTCAATAAATATGATTTAACAGATACTTAAAATTTATATAAAGGTACAAGTACATCCTTTGGTATCTTATTGTAATGTTTGTATTTGTTTGCAGTGTGAAAGAAGGTGAGTTCCGCCAGTATAAGGGGCCGCGTGACGCAGAAGCCATGCTCTCGTATGTGGAACAGCAGCGGTGGAAGCAGTCAGATCCGATCCCCGGATGGAAAGCACCAGACTCATTCCAGATGACCGTCGTCGCGGAATTCTTCAAGCTCAGCCAAGCGCTCAGGGTATGTTATTTTTTAATAGTAATAACAGACAATTTACACAGCGCCATCTACTCCCAAAATAAGAGAGATTAGTATTGTGTTATGAGTATTTTGATTTGATAATTTAAGAGCCGCTCTCTTTTCGGGAGTGCTTGCCATTTTTTTGTAAATACATAATATACATACCCATGACAATACCCAGACTCATACAAACAAATGTTTGAATGAAACGGGTAGTCTTTACTTCCAATGGTTGCGACCATGGGAAGTAAAGATGACATATTACTTGACTACCCAAGCCCACGACTTAATAACCGTTATAACTTTTTGTTTTCGTTGCCTAGATGGATTATTACACTGTCTTTCTGAACTTAAATAATATGTAATTATCATCTTAGATGATTACTTAAGTTCAGCAAGAAGTTTTTTATGTTAAGTTTTGGAATGTGATATAAATTTAAGACACATCCCAGCTCTTGTTTGCACATTGTACCGTGGGTTAGTGATATTGTTCTTATTGTCTTGTGTTACAGAGTGTACACACAATGCTGATGGAGACATACGGTCTACCCACATGGGGCTCGTACCTTATATTTGCTGTGGCAACTATATTCGTCGGCGCCATACTCGGATTGGTATGTATTCCACAAACTTGTTAAATATTAATAATAATTTATTTTAAAGTGCACAAAATATTAAGGTGAAGATATATATGGCGCACTTAACGCTTTACGGCATTTTTATAAATAATATCTCTGGACAATTCACAGAACGCCATCTAGTCCCAACGTTAGCAGAGTTTGTGTTATGGGTAGTAGATAATTACTTAAATTTTTTGTACGTACGAAAAAGCACCCAGACCAATACAAATATTCATACATTAAAATATCTCAAAAATATATTTCTAATATCCCTGGGAAGCTTCAAACGCGTGAGTTCCTTGCTCTTTCTATGAGCAGGCTGCATTCCGAATGAGTGGTAGAATAAAAAAAATATGACTCCTCCAAAGTGCTCATATTAAGTTTATTTGAATAAAGATTATTTCTATTTCTAATCTAATAATAATAATATTTGTTTTACAGATACTTGTGTGCGTAATCGACCTGCTGTACCCGCCGCGCCGCTCCGATAAGGTGACCATCACTCGCTCAGAACTAGAAGAGCTGGCTAAAGGGGACCAGAGGAGACCTGATGATGAACAGGTATGATCACTACATGTTTTTATAAGGGATGACTTATTGACTTATTTTTGACATTCATAGGATAGCTGTCAAATTAAAATTATAAGGAATACTAACAAATTTGTATGTCATCTAATATAGAAAGAAAAGAAATTCATTGTCAACTAGCGACCCGTCCCGGCATCACATGGATGCACTACAATTTTTTTTTTATCTCGGCTTGTTCTATACTATAACACACATGTATTATACATATAAACCTTCATCTTTCATTCTATTTATTGCTGAAAACTGCATTAAAATCTGTTGCGTAATTTAAGGGGGTCTTCCTATGTGACGGCCTGTTTTTTAGGGATATTTTAGGATTTTTTTTTCTACGACCAGTAAATATTTAGAGCTTCAAGTTTTTTATCATTTATTAACACATATTTGGACAGTATAAATATAAAATTTCAGCTAAAAATATTCAGTCAAACTAGAGTTACAGCGCTCTGAACACCCCCGCCTCGAAAAAATGAGCTCCCACTTCCTCCACGATTCCGGCTGATCGGCTTATCTGAAAAAAAAAAAAAAACGGCGTTTTAATTTGTAGGCTTAAAAGCACGGAATGACCTATAATCAAATGAATATAAAAAAAATTGGATTTTTGATAGACATTTGAAATAAAAGTTGCAAATTAGGATTTTTTTTTTGTTTTTTGCTATAAAAAAATCGAAGTTTTGAAAATTTTCGATTGATAATAGTTCATTCCATGCGTTTACATATATTGAGTGTGCCCTGTAAATTTCAAGTAATTCGGTCCAGCCGTTTCTGAGATACAATGGAGGAAAGTTTGAAAAACACAGTTTTGAGAAAAACGCGTTTAAAGTTTCAAGTCCGTTAAAAACTATTAAAATATCAACTTACTCTCAATCGGCGATGCCTGGTCCATAGAGTATTCCTTCCTCTTCCTCGTGAAACTCTTTTAAAGTAGATTGTTCAACTCTTAAGTCAATCCTGGCTTGTTTAACGACATCACTTACGCGCCGCTCAGAGCGTAAGATTCGCTTTTCATCCCGTTTCTCAACATACGCTTGGGCTTCACGACCAAAAGGGCATCCCATAATCGACATAACTTTTAAAATACCTTGAAAACCTTCATTAAAGATAATAACTGCTAAGTAGCTAGCAATTTCAACAACTTTGGGACCAGAATGAAGATGTTTAGGAGCGAAAGTCCAAATCAAAGAATTCAAAGCCTAGGCCTCGGAAACTTGATCGCGAAATAGACACGTCACTTTTACAAGTTTTACATATAACTATTTCAGAGATTGCAGCAAATACAGAAACAAACTCCAAAATGCAATATGCGAAATTAGAAGAGATGGGAACATTCATGTTCATGTTATTTTTAAGTTTTTTGGCCGAAGCTGATGTAAATACCGTATCATTTTGGTGGGTAAAACGGTTTCCACTAAACTTTCTTTTTTTACTACGACCAGGATGAACATTTCCACTCGTACTTCCTTTCCGTCCACTCATTATGAAAAAAAATAATTTGTAGCTGTTGCTCTCTTCGAAGTTCAACCAAGACTAAAATAACTTCGGTAAAATATTATAACAATAGAAATTTCTGTTTAAGTCTGTAGAAACGTGTCTAAACTTGTATAAACAAATATAATATATAAACAAAAATAATAAAAGGGAGGCCAGGTATAAAGCCGACGGTACACAATAGGCCCGGTCTCTAACTGCCAACTCACCGCTCCGAACCGCTCTTTCTTTTACCTGCTGTATCTTTAAAACGACTTCGAATTTTCTAAAATCGCTTTACTACCTTATTCTATACATGTTAAGGGATCTATTTATGAAAAAAAAAAATCGATTTTTTCAACCCATCACATAGGAAGACCCCTTAAAAATATAAGTGAACAGACAGCGGCGACGACTTTGTTTTATACTATGTAAAGATTATTAACATGAAATTATGAAATAACAATAAAACTATACAAAAATAGGTATTAAATATATTACTAATTATACTAAATATATTACAATACGTTGTTAATTGGCGATATGGCCCACACATCATTTGCTCTGACTGCTGTATGAATTTTTATGTGATTTGTCCTACGATATTTTTGTTAATAACATATATACTAACCTAATGTATCTATTATTTTCAGGCGCTACTTAACGAGGACATCGTGGACGACGCTGAAACCGCTAACAGTGATGCTGAAAAGAACTCCGGAAGTGATGTGAGCCATCTTTTACTTATTTATATTCAAATTGAAAAATAATTTATTCATCTGAGACACACAAATATTATTTACTGCTTGTATAATGAATATCTCTATCAATAAATATTGGATAAATGTTATTTTCAGTCATCGGACGAGGAGAAAGAGAAACCTGAAGAAGGCGCCGACGCGAAAACCGAAGGAAAGGACGAGAAGACTAACGAGGTCCGCAAGCGGAGGCCCAGGAAGGCTGATTAAATACAGGAGGATGCAAAAATAAGTCCCATCTTACCATCAGGCGAGAAATGGCTACGTAAGTCTAGTGACAATGTATATGTTGGAAGACAAGCTGGTACAAATCATGGCTGTGTTTCTATTTAAAGGATACGGTAATTAAATTGCTAAAGCATAACACCTTGTGCTCAGGAATGGTATCACAATGCTATTTGTGTTTGTATACGACGGCAGTTTACCATCAGGCGGGCCGTCAGCTTGCCATTCCAGTCAAATGATACGAATTATATTTGGGTAAGTGTGAATTTGAGATGGGTACCAAGATTTTTCACCAAAATATATGTTGCACAAATATTTTGGTGTATCCAAATACGGTGTTTTATGCATGATTTAGAACATATGAAACTTGATGTTTACGGTCTAAATGTTTAAACATATTGTATGCAAGTAGAATATAATATGTTTTCGGTGTAAATTCTGTAGTAGTGTTCTACTTCTTGTTATGTCAAAATATTGATGTATTGTCATCCACACATTGTCATTAGTTTTATGTTCATGCCTGTTACAATATTACACAATATACTTACAAACTTAATATCAATTGAAACCTTAAATAATTGAACGAGACTTATTTTTGTGATTCTCATGTTGTTCACATAAACTAGCGTCATCTTATAAACGTCACATCACTATAACACGTAAAATTAAATGACTAACAGCGCGTACTTCCGCGAGAACGATAAAAATAGTGATTGAAAACTCTAGGATATTTCAATTTTGGTCTAAATAGAATTTAAGACCTTCCCAATATGTTCAATAATTGGGATAGGCATATATATTTACGGAAATGACTGATTTTTTAGGTTAGACCACGAATATGCCTGATATGCGTTGTCTAACCTAAATGGTGTAGCTCGTAATTTATTGTGAGATTGATAAATAATCAGACCTTAAATAAGGCGTTACTTATCGGGCTGTAGGTCGCACAACCTCTGAAGTTGGAGGGTTAAGGGAGTCCGTAGTAAAGGCAACGAAAGTGTTTTCATCTGTACTGTTCATGTCTATAGACGACGGTCAGGACTGACCGTCAGGTATAGCTACAAGCGATGAACATGATAAAAATGTTTAAAGACATATAGCCAACGTTTCTATTACGTAAAAAATATTTTATATAGCGGACTCGAGACCACAGACTATTTTTAACTTATAAAATAAAATTGCATTTAACAAATTTCGTTATTGTGAAGTGTCTCTTCACTTCTTTTATTACACTAGTTTCTGACAGCGACTGTGTTCGCTTGACCAGTATGAGATGTAGTATGTCATTCTGCATACTACATCCATGCCAAAATTCATTACGATTGGTTATGCCCTTTGGGCATGAAAGACTAACGAACGTACTTTGGCATTTATATTTCTTAGGATTTAAAGTTGAAATTAAAAGACCGCGTCCAAAAGAAACGGCGTTTTAAAAGTTAGGTTGCATTTTTTCATTATGTACTACCCTCCATCTACTACTTAGGGTAGTATAAAATTAAGTTTGAATCACGGGGTGAACTAAATAGAAGAGTATTTCAATAGATAACCATTTTATTGTAATCTAGTGCCAATAATTAAACCATTAAGGTTTCTTTCCACTTTACATATAACTGTCTATAATAACCGATTCAATATAATCACTAAATGTTATAATATTAGGTAGCTGTTATCTAAGTATCTTTGTCGACTTATATATTCTAAACTACCAAATTAAATTTATGTGGTTATAGATATATAGATGAATTTATTCAGGAAATGTATTCTTATGAAGTTGAAATTAAAGTTGATGTTTTTAACACCCCAGCAAAGCAGGGGTGGATCGAGTCTATATATGAAGAAATTCTATATTTGTAATTCTAAATTTGAGAAAACATATATGTATGTTAATATATTTATGTATAAAATCTGTGTGTTTTTGTAAGAGTTTTAAACAATAATGTTTGGACATTTTCTTCTGTTTGGTTCAACTCTAAATCTCGAAATTGTATCGTATTTTGTGTTAGTTATATTTTTTTTACGTTTTTTTTTTCGACGCGCATTTATAGTTATTATATTTACACGAGTGAAACTTTGTCGCACCAAATTTTAGTGTACGAACGAGGTTCTAATTTATTATTTGAAACTGATTTCAACATTTTTTTTATAATCTCCAGTACAAATGACACAAGCAAGCATTTATAATTATAACCAGAATATGTCGCTGCTGTTCCTACTGTATTGTTTAAAAAATGCAGTTTTTCATAATACAAATCGTTAATAGTAACTATTATTATTTTAGTTGATTTTTAAAAAGTGATGTGTCAAGGAAAAACTATTGACGTTTTATCTATTTTACCCCATATAGAGACATTATATACAGATAAAATGAGAAAAAAAAGCAATTTCAATTAATAAATTAGAACCATTATGATAAAATTATATTTTTAGTTGTAATCGTCCATTATAATTCAATTTGAAAGTATTATATCTCTTTGTACCTACATAATTTAATTATTTTACATTAATTTTAAGTCAATATTTTATTTCCACAGAAAATTTGAAGAAATACCAAGTGAATGAAATTTTATTAAATGCTATCACACATTCCTTTAAAAGGCTCAATGATATGATTAATGAATACGTACTTACGAGATTTGTATATGTATTTTTTTCTATTTATAATAAAATACTCAGTTTATAAGGCTCTATATTATTTCTTATAATAATAACAGTTCTATAGTGCATGCATATTGATAACCATAGATAATATTACTAATCAATAAGGTTTTGTGTATTTCAAATTAAAAACAAAAAAAAATAGTCATTGAAATGTATTACAATTTAGACACTAATTCGTAATTGCAGGATATAATGATAACTTTATTCTATTAATTCTATAATTCTCATTATTTCAGATTTACAGTTGATGATAATAAAATCATTTGAGAATACTTAAATGTAGCCAGACTTAAAAGTACGAAAAATAATTGCAAATTTTCGTAGAAATGTTAACATTTCGATATTTTTTAATCTAAATCTGGATTTAAGTATCCCATTTGGTAAATCATCTGCAAGTCTATTCTAAGAACTTTTTATTTTTAATATATTCGATGATTAAACATTTTTTCTTTCAGCTACTTTCAATACTGTTTTAACAAAATTGCTGTGTACAACGATTTAATTCGATTGATTTTTGTATCTATATTAACTATTGACCTACTTGTCTTGCTGGATTAATTAAATTATATTCATATATGATTGTTTCATTTTAAACTTAAGACTGTCCTAGAGTTCCTGCGACTTCAGTAATATGTTTTTATTAGGATGATGAAGAAATCATATGTTCTACGTTCTGATTTTTATATCCTAATAATATGAAGGGTAACATTGTAGTGAATAAATTAAAGATCTTAAACCAATTAAAAATCTGTGGCTTTTTATCAGTATTACATGTATATTAAATTTTTTATCAGTAACATAGGTGATCTTTACACAAAAAAAATGACCTATGTAATCCGTGTGAAGTGGCGAATTACCCATACATATATATTGGAGTCAATAACAATTATTAGAAATATAGAAATTCTTTAAGTTTCCATTGTAGAAAATTATCAGCTTGTTATTAAAAAAATCTTATAATTCTTAAACATTTTTTTAAAAGAGCAATACACAGGGTTCTGTTTCGTTCTTTTTGCCTGCTTTACGAAAATCAAAATAGTTTTAAGTTCATATAAATTATAATTATTTATTTATACGAGAGTCGATATAAAAATTGGAAATTACAGAAATAAAACAATTAATTCAAATGTTTCTTTATTTATTTATGTATTTACATAAAATAAGTGTTCAAGTTAATTTACGTAATTGCAATTTAATGTTAGTCAATAATTTAGATTTACATATACAAAATTATACGTAGGGTACAATATTTAAATACAAGGATGATATTAAACGCTAGTAGTTCTAGGGTCGTGTTATAAAACATTCGATCCAATTGATACATAATAAAGCAAAGCTAGGATACACATATATACTTGAATAATGAAAATGAGCGTTAAATTTAAAATAGTTTCGATTACAAAGCATAGATATGACCACTATATAAAAAATTGAATTCATATCAAGTAATTGTTTAGAATAATATACCTACGAACAATTGTAGTAAGGTACTTTTTATTACTTTTGGATATAGAATGGCGGGAAACAAATAAGCTTCCAGTGGTGAACATAGTATTTGGAAAATAAGAACGCCCATTTAAGCCCCAGACGAGTTTATCACATTTTGTGATTCATAATAGAGAAAATGGAATTGGCAATATATTTACAAACTATATTACCTGTACAATACGCAAAATGGGTTGCCTAGTGCTAAATTAGTAGTAATTTTTCTTCCCGAGTACACTATTTTTCGCGCCATTTTTCCGTTATTGAAGCCATAACGGAAAAATGGCGCGATAATATTTTAATATATAAGCATAATTTCCTTTGTCATGGAAAGAAAAGAAAAAAATACAGTATAAGACAAGACATCAACCCGTTAATATATTTTCCTTTAAAAAAACTACCACTTGAAACCTGAAAATTTGAATCGTTTTTGGTTTCCTTTATCACCACATCTTAGGACCATAGGAAAGCATGCTATTAGCACATAGTGCTTAAATTACATACATAACTAGAAATTATTGTAGCATAATTGGCTTTTTTTAAACTATTGTAATCTATTGGCTACAGCTTCAACAAATGTTATGGGGATGAGTGCAGATGACACTGAAAACCTGTCGGATACGACTTTAGTCTCAAGGTACCGCACACCCACTTACAAACCCCTCGTATGTGGGTGTCGTTATTCTGTTCCCCGTTTGAACGTGACTGGGGAACGATTCGAGGGGCAGTATTGCTTGATTGATTTACTTGCCGAGTAAAAAGCATGCTTCCCTGGCAGAACTCATTCTTACCATATAAAATAAAAGAAAGATAAGAAGACGTCACTATACTGCGTAATTTTATCTATCTATAAAGATATTGTCGACTGAATTGTTAATAGCTATCTAAAATCTCTTGGCATTTTTGGAAATTGTTTTGTAATATATATTGTTGCTAGATGAAAAAATATTTGAATGGTTTAGAATTGATGGTTATTGAAGTATATGAACTATATAAACATTTTAGAAAATCAACTTATTAAAGTTCATATTGTAAGGTTTTACGTTGCTTACATAAATAAAAATTACTGTAAAAATAATTGAAAATATATAAACTACTAGTTTATATTTAACATAAAAAGTGAAATAATATTGTAGAGCGTCTCAATTCATATTTAAATTCAAGAGATTTTAAATAGTCCATTAAACGTACATATTTTACAATGCTATGCAAAAATTTCATATTAATTTAGAAAAACCTACACCTATCGATCCAATATTGATATTTTCATTATACATTAGGTATATTATAACAACAGTATCTAACCTATGATATACATATATCAACAAATTTTCATTGTAGCATTTATTAGGTTATGGGCAATTTCATTCTTACATTAATTCTCATATATATATAGCAAATTTATGATAATATATATTTTACTGTCGTAAAAAACCGCTGGGTCTATAAACAATAATAAAACCTGGTATTTACACAAATATTTTATAATATAATTATTGTAAAGCAATCGTAATGAAATATAATTTATATGGTAATAAATAATGGTGGTTTTACTATATTATTGTTAAAACAAAATATAAAAAATATATGTTTAGGATTTTTAAAAAAGACACCTTAATAAAACTTCAATCAAAAAAACCACCTGGGGTAGTCACTCCACTCCACCCTCATGCACTTGAACATAAAGAAAACCATGGATTTCATAAATGTAAATAAATAAATAATATACTTTGTGGCGCCATCTCTATTCTATTATGGTTTTTGGACGCACTAAAATCATTTACAATTCAGCAGTAATTTACGACAATATAATATTGACTAATAAGTATAATATATATATATATTTATATTAGTATAATATCAATTGACAATATAAATGCTTAGTGATTGACCCGTGGACCAGAAGTTATGACATTCAACGAAACAGTAATACAGCTATATTTTAGTATATATTATGTATATAAATGCCGCCTGAATTTTTTTCACTTTATTTTTAGTATACTCTCATTCCAAAAGATGTCTACATTTGCAAATATAAAATAACCGGCTTTTATACTATTTTTTGCTTTTTCTTGTCCTTTTTATTTTAGTAAAATAAGTATTATAAATAAAAATAAATATTTGTAAATACCGCAGGACTGTTCGATTTTCTTACGGCCTAATATTTCTTTTTTAGCTAAATTTATTTTGGGGTTTTTGTATTTAAAAACCCCAAAATACGACCTAATATTCATAAAAGTATCTATAGATTTAGCACCGAATGCCAAGAAATTAAAGTCCTAATTTGGTCGACCGACTATATTGACTGAAAATTACGAAAGTACTTAATTATCTTTGTAAAACGTGAAGGTATGTATTTGAGACGAAAACAGTAATCGTAAGCCATATCTATTTTTATTTACTAACTAATGTTCCAATTATTATAGCTCTATGCTAACTACATATACTATACAACCGAGTTTGGAAGTAAAAAAAAAATGTTGTTTATGGAATGATTATACTTATTGTAAATTATATTTTTCTTTTTATTATGTAACCCCTTATATAAGAGAGAGGAATGGCATATAGAATAACCAATTCAATGCTTGCACGATTTTATAAAGTACATTGAATTTTAAAATAAAAAAAATGTATATAAACCCTCTTACGAGTTATAATATAGACTATTCGAGTTACAATATAAAATCTTAGATTTGTATGTTTTCATTGTCATGAATAGGCGAGTATGTATATATATATATAGAGTATATTTACAGAACGTTTGGGCATATAAATAACAATAAAAGGATTAAAATCATTGTATTTTCTATTTTTATGTACTGTGGACATAATACATTTTAAATATTAAACCATTATACTATATAGCCGAAAAAATATATACTAGTTTATATAATAAAAAGATCAAATATCTGTGCATAGTTACATACATTGTGTAGTCACAAAAAAAGTATAAAAAAAGCATTTAGATAAATATAAAATTTAGATTTTCACGAAGATCTTTGGACATCTTAGAATATAAACAGAGAAACACGTGTCAATACATTCATCCTTGATTACTCGACTGTGCTTAAAAAAACGTTAAATTCAGTAATAAAACGAACGAAAAGCAGTTACATAGTAAGTCTTACGTATTATATATACGTGGATATGCACAGAGGACCACTGGAACTAACTGACTTGTTAGCGAATTTAAATATTACAATACGTTAATGATATTTTACAAGTATACAATTAAGCAGTCGCCTAGCATTTCGGGGGTTGGTTATATTACTTAAATCCTCCCCCTTAATAACTAATAAAGAAAATTATTGATTTCATGTATCAGTCATTGATTTAGAATATTGTGCAATACATTACATCAACGTGCTGGTATAAAAGGATCCATTCAGGACACCCACCGTTAAATAATTAAGCTAGAATCTCAGTAATTCAACTAAACAATACTAAATTAAAACTTATTCAAAATACAGGGGACGAAATTATATCGATAATACATTACGTTGTATAAACAAAAGACTAGATTGTTAAATAACACGAATACATACATTACTCGCTTAAAATTAATATACATCACATTATTGTTATTAGGTGACATGAGAAAATAAATAAGATGCCATACAAACTGTGCGACATACACTCATTTCTATTTTACATTTAGGGGGATGAAAAATAGATGTTGGTCGATTCTCAGACCTACTCAATACGCTCACAAAATTTCATGAGAATCGGTCAAGCCGTTTCGGAGAAGTATGGGAACGAAAACTGACCGAGAATTTTATATATAAGATATATAAACTTGGATCCAGTAAATCTGTTAAAATATTTTTTCATAGAATGTTTATAAATCCATTGAAGTTACTTTATATATGTAACAAAGTTATCTCGCACAATTTGTACACAGTGCAAGCGTACACAACTATAAAAACCTATTCACAATTTACTATACTTAATGAGATATCAACCGATTACTTCACTAGAGGGCTACAATAGTTTTGACATATTTCTGACTTTTGATTTTAATGCTAGCCGCTTATTAATTTACCTCTCAATTTGGTCGTAATACTAAAGCTAGCGATTATAAGTTTATTATGCGTATAATACTCGTATATCATGCAAAAAAAAGCTCTTACAATAACTTTAGAATGCTCAAAATATTCGCGTTTAAGTTTGGGTTCCATAATACCCGGTAAAAGGTAGCAATAAGGGTGAAGCTTAATAATTATATCCCTGAACAATTCACACAGCGCCATCTAGTCCCAAGCAAAGCAGAGCTTGTATTATAGGTACTAATTTTTTTTAAAATAAATAAGTATTACACTTAGAATATACTCCAGATCAATACAAACAATCATACTCATGAATACAAATGTTTGTACCGTGCGACGATCGAACCCGCAACCGCGACCCATGTGCTAATCCGCTAGTGCACAGGGTCCGTAAAATCCTCATTAAAACTGCATATATAGCCCTCTAGTGTACATTCCATAAACAAAACTAAACTTACATCAGGGAAGCGTCACTTGTGCCATTACAAACCTAGGATACGATTAAAATATGTAAAATTAATATACAGTTAATATGTTCAGCTTAACTTAAATGTGACATTTTGGTTTACAATTATTGTCATATGTATATAATGTAATTTGATCAATTAGGGACAAAAAAAACAGCGCCATTATCAACACAAACATTTACAATACAACATAAAATAGATATTTTTTTACAATTATTGTCAAATGTCAGCTAGTTATAAATATCGTTATAAAACGGTACAAGCACAGAGTAGCTGTTACAGATTAATAGATTTAAATAGACACCACAAGTGCTTTACTGTGCAGTCTTTTTTTTTTACAGTAGGGAGGAAAGGAAATTATTAGTAATGTGGACGATAACCCCATAGCTATACACCATGTCAGGTTGACCTCCACGAGGTTTCCACTCGAACCCAAACAGGAACTCTTATGGAATTATTATGGTCACCAAAAACATCGTTTTGTGTAACAACAGCCGAATCATTTCTATCCATCCTAAGTTTGTCTGGGAGATACCCCTGGCCCGCAAACGTTAGTTTGCTATATAAATTAAAATCGATATTAAAAAATAGGGATGTGTGTGTGTCATAGTTGGTGAAAATGTAGGGTAATATGTATTTTTAATGCCACATATTGAATTTAAATAATTGTCCAAAAAACAAAAAAAGAATGTTAGGGGTGGCCAAACCTTATCACTTAGGGGTATGAAAATATATAGTAGCCTATTCTTAGACCTGCATATAAAATTTCATAAAAATCGATTAAACGTTTCGGAGTATGGTAACTAACATTATTATACACGAGAATTCGAAATATAAGAACATATATATACTAAAAATTTTGTCATAACGCGTATTTAATAAGCAATAATCCGACTTCAACATATTTACAACTAGCTAACAATTGAATGACATTTATGTATGTTCGTACCTTATTTTGGAAGTCAATTTAAAAGTATATCATTAAGTTATAAACGATGACTCATTGATGATGGTGATGATGATGATGATAATGATGATAAAGCGCCATTATATATTTAAAAACGCACTCCAGCGTACAGTTAACGTTATTTTTACATCTAACATCTATCTAGCGCAAACATTAAATATATTCTTATACAATATTAACAGTCAACTTTTTATTAAAGTATAAAATGTTATACTTAAGCATACATATATTAGTAAAATAAAATAATTTCAATTTACTCCTTACAAAAACGTGACCACATAATTTCCATCATCATCTGCTTATTCCTTATCCCATTTATATGGAGACGGCGTAATATGTTTTTCTATTCCATCCATATCTGTTCGATCATCAAATATTTTTAATGTTTCTAAATGCCTATGAGATTCTAATTTTCTTCATCTGCCATTACTATGTTAGACTGTCTGTATAGCTTTTTATTCGGACTACTCCTAAGTTGTCAGCCGCAGTTGTTCTTTACGTCTTCACCAGACATTAGCCGAGTGCAGATGGCACTCCAAATCAAAGGATGATGTGTAAGGTGACAACGCCTATACTATGTGAACCCTTAAAAACTGAACATCTGTCGCGTAAAACATCACATATAGAATGGCAGTGGTTAGCCTTTAATGTTTACGCTAGTGAGGCATCATACCGGATGACATTCTTGCCGTATCAAAGTTTCTTTGTTATCATAAAACTTAGAGAAATACGATAAAGCATTACATTTTAAGGCTAATTGCAATTTATAGATAAAAATTTAGATATTTTTAACAGAAGTTAAAATATTAAGCCAAGTTTCTGATTGACTTAGTATTTGTTCTGCCAAGTAAATATCAACTCAACTCTGCTATATATAAGTCTTAGGTATTCTACCTAAGACTTGTTTCATATTATTCATATTTGATTACTGTACAAAATAAATTATTGACATGTATTTAGACAATATTTCTTATAAATAAATATTTTCATTGAAAAAAAAAACAGCCGAATATCTACCTATTATGCTATATTTTTTTTTCACGCGGTAAAAACAGTCATCCGGTATAAAATTGTTCATGGAATACAATTTACAAAGTCACATAAAATTTTTATTACAGATATAAAAGAATGAACGCCATTCCATAAACATATGTTATATATATATATTTATACATGAAATCGGCGGTGTCAGCATAAAACAAGATGGCGTCCAAGAGTATTTAACGTATTAATATATCCTTAAAAGCAAATAAATACAATTTGGTTATTTAACTCTACTTCTATTATATTTATATATTTGTTATATTATATAAAAACCACGCATTATGCGATGTGGCATCGAAATCACTGCAAAATATATAAATAAAATTGTCATATTACATATTCGTTGGTATTTAAATTATAATCATTGCACTAGTGATAAATATCTGGCGATCCGGGAATCGAACCCGTATCAATTTTGCAGTGACTTCGACGCAGCCAATTCTAATTGACCTACAAGTCACGTCTGTTTTACACCTAAATATAACCATCATTATTATCATAATGGAAGGTATTGTGTCGTATCATTCGATTAAATATAATATATGTATTGCAAATTATAATTTTCATTTATATTAGGAACCAAATTCATAAATAAATTTATTATGCGTACGTCAAAAGTCATAGCGTACATTATTACTGAGTTTTTAACCTTACAAATTACATATGTATAAAAAGAACATAGAAAATTCTTCTGGAATATATATATATATATATATATCATTTATAAGAATTTTTTATATACGTTACAAATTTCTTTGAGTCGTTTAGAAGCCGGAAATGAACATACAAAAGTAGCGACTTTCCTTTACACTATTTATAGATTCCAAATGCCAGTAAATTGTTGAATTAAAAACTCAGTATTTTCAACTATAAATAAGTAATGCATGCTGTAATATATGTTGTACAGTCAGCGATAGTTAAAAGAAAATAAATAACATTTAAAATAATATTCTCTTGGTAATTCTTGTTTGCTGACTGTACACAAATGTAGCCTCGTATGTTTATTAAAACATTAACAGAAGCAAGCGTAGAAACGGGACATGTCTATGTTCCAATACGCGTCCAACTGGTTTCTGGAATTAAAAAAAAATATTTCGTACACTTCTTTGGTAGTCTACACAATAAAGAATTGAACGAAATGAATGATAGAACGGGATAAAAATTTCAATGAATGATAAAAATTTGAATTTTAGTTCTCTCTGAGATCATACGTGATATAAGAGATAAGATAACATATATCATAGACTACTAGCAGTTACCGAGCGACTTCGTCAGCTTTTTATGATATAAAAATATCCGTCCGTCTTCGTGATACAATTTATATTCCAAGTATATTTTCATTAAAATTCGTTCAGCCGTTTATTCAACAAAGAGACAGATTCTTTTCCGCATTTATAACAGTCGCATGGATTTTTATTTGCAGTAATTGGAATAGAAAACAAACTGACCGCTCACCTGATGTTGGTAGTCTTTTGTGGCCTATACATGAACAGCATACAGATGTCGCCAAGCGCAAGGTCCAATGTATAATGTTGCTATTCCAGTAATAATTATGATATCAAAATAAATAATAAATATATAGGAGAGACAAATCAGGTATCCAGAATGATTTTTTACGAAGTAACTTTAGTACATTACAGATTCTTTGATCCTTTAAGACATGTTAATCCAACATTTAATAAAAATAATAATAATTTATTCATAATTAATATAGAATTGAATAATGGATCTTTTTTCTTTATAGACTTACCATCAGGGCTATACAGAGTCTTATGATGATGTCAAATCTACTCAACTCACTGATTATTTTTATTTGTATTAGTATATTGCATAATCTTATAATACATCATCAACTATATTTTAATAGTTAACAATATATTTTTTTTATTGTACTAAATTAAAGTTTCGCCAAGCGCAAGGTCCTATGTATAATCATCTTGTAATAATTATGTTTCAAAATAAATAATAAATATATAGGACACAGATGATATTTTACAGCTAACTTTAATAAACGGCCGGATTCTGAATTTAGACAAGTTAAATCAACATTTAATAAAAAATAATAATAATTTATTCATACTTATTCGCTTAGAAAATTATATGATTATAGACTTACCATAATCCATGGGGTCGAATTCAGTGAGAGAGCACTGCTATCCTCAGAGTGAAGTCCTTCCCCCATATCCGTACCCACCTGGTGGAATACGCATAACTATATTTTAATAGACAATATATTTTTTTTATTGTACTAAATTAAACGTTTCCCAAGTCATATTACATTCAACCTTAATATCACTGTAGTAGCTCAGCATATGTAGTAATGAAACCACTATCTTAGTGGTATTTGTGGGTATTATATTCGTTATTATTTACAACTTATGTCCGTAAAATTATATGATTAGTGTACTATAAGTATATATATAATATAACTCGGACAAAAAAGGTATACGAACATCCCGCAAACGGAACAGATAAATCGTAGCAGGTTTTTAATACTACCCCTCGCGGTCTGATGAAGAGATAATTGTACTATCGTAATAGTACCTTAGGCCTACGCCTTAGAGGCGACAATTTATGGCTGTGTAATTTTATATTTTTTTTATGACTGTACTCACCTTAAGTACATCATGCAACGAGCTCATACTGCCGAGGCTCAGTGGCGTTATTGACCTCTCCAGTAATAAGGAGCCACTACCTTGAGATCCGCCGCCTATCGACCTATAAATGATACATTATAATAATAAAAAAAAACACGAAACTAAAATATAAAACTGAATACGCACGTTACAAAATTGATTCTGTTTTTTTAGTTTATGAATTATTCTTTACATCATCAGCCCATCTTTTTGTCTGTCAGACCCAGCTATCTTGTTGTTAGAATAGTCCATCTCCTGTCTTTGTATCGTGCCTTGGCACGCTTCAATTATAATCAATTGAAATTTTTGAAATAGAAATAATCCTTATTTATATAAACTTTTGAATAATGAGATTTTTATTCTACCACTCATTCAGAACGCAGACTAATCACAAGAATTCGTTCTTCTTGTGATGAGTCTGTGTTCCGACTGTGTTGTGACCGACATAGCTCCACAATACGCACCTCTCCATGGGGCGGTGGTGGGAGCCCGGCGAAGGTGGAGCCTCTTCCCGCGCTTCTCGACCTCGTCCGCGCCATGACCCTGCAGTAATAAAATACATAAGCAAAAATTTTTTTTTTCCACTAGACTAAGATGGTATTTAACTACAAAATAATAGTATTAAAAGTTTTACAATATCTCTACCCTAATCTAAGTACTTAGTAAGTTTGTATAAAGTTGTCGTCTATACTACTTTGTATAGACGACAACTTTAAATTTATGCAGTAATCATTGCACAGTGGTTATTATACTTTTTCAAATTTTTTTAAAATTATCAAAACTTTTTGGTTTCGGACTACTCTAATGCTGTTGGCCGCAGCTGGCCTTTACAGCTTCACCGGACGTTAGGGGACGAGTGCAGATGGCACTCAAAACCCGCGGAAGAAGTTATGGAGCGGCTGAAGGCCAACTCCTGCCTGACGGATACGACTTTAGTCTGAGGATACCGCAAGTGGTTCGAACCTCGGCTCAGGCCGTCGTAATTTCGATCCCCGTTTGAATTGGACGGGGGATCGATGGGAGGGGTATTATCAAAACGCTTATATTAGAAATCACACGAGTCACGCGGAAATCTTACATCGAGATGTAGAAACATTAATAAAACTTATTAGTGCCATCTAACTACATGCAGAATTAATTTCTCTGGCGAGCTAGCAACAATTTTAATAAACTATCTAAAACAGTTAATATAGATATATTTTGTAATAATATTAAATCAACGAGACACCAACTAAGTGAGCCCTTCTTTAAATAACAATTAATTTTTATGTAAAATCATGTATATGTATATATTTCTATAAATTTACTATTTGTTTCTTGTTAAGTAATATCATATTCTTTGTTAACTTTATAATGCCTTTATACATAGTGATGTAAATTTTTTAAGAATTAGTCTATTGTTATTAGTGAAAGCCTGTCAGTGGCTTACTATGACATTTTATTTTATTTAAGATGTACTTGAATAGCCTTGGTTTTCCTTTAATAAATAAATAAATAAAAAAATAAATAAATAGTGGTACAGTTGTAAAACTATAAAACTAATGCTATCTTATTCGATTGTAACCACATTATCATTAAATGTCAATTGATTCGTAAGTGATAAGACCGATGTATTACATTAATTTGTATTTAATAATCTGATTCAATTCTATTCCGTATAGCAGATATACGTAAATTTGAGTTTCCATTGTACTAACCGTTGTAAGAGCCGGTCCCATGCGATATCGTAAGTGGGGATGTACGCTTACTGCTCTCCCGGCTACTGTACACCTGCTGTAAATAAAATATCATTATTAATTTGCGTAGACATTTCAAAATAGAGAAGTATGAAGGGAGAGACCATTGCGTATATATAATAAAAAAAATAGCAGTTCAAATTAGGGTACAAAATATCTTTAAACTACAACATAGAACATGGTTTCAGAGCAGACACATTGTATGGTTTACGTACATTTCACTCGTGTAGCGTCAGTGTAATTTTCATAATCGATTCAGTCATTACCAAAATTAGTTCACGTTTTCTCACCAAACTTACTCGTATGCACATCTAACATTTTACTATTACTAATTTGACCATTAATTATCACATCCGGATAAAGTCTACAATTTATCGCTCGGTATTGGTAAAAAAAACATTAGGGCAATAAGGCTACAAGGGACAAGTAGTAGTAACTGCGGCAGACCATCCGATAACTGCGCCGCGCATTTATTCCGCTCTCCCAATCGGTATTGGGCAATAAAGCTACGAGTTATACATGTCAAACCTGCGGCAGATCATCTGATAACTGGTCCGCTTGGATAACTGCGCGGACCAGTATAATCATTAGGGCAAAAAAGCTACAAGCTACACGTATTATACTTGCTGCAGTTTATCAGATAACTGCTCCGCGCGGTTATCCCGCTCTCCTACCTCGATATTGGCAAGATATTAGAGCAATAAAGCTACAAGTGTGATACCTGCGGCAGTTCGTCGGCCGTCTCGAGCGTGGTGGGGAGGTCTAGAAGTCGCTGCGAGCGGATGCCGTCGCCGGGCCCCATGTGTGAGAGATGTGCGAAGTTCGTCGGAGCTGAGATCAGCCGCGACCGCCTCTCAGACCTGTAACAAATATTGAAATTTCGAAATACATTCGACCAATTGGAGCCCTCAAATAGTCTGCGATCCGGCTCGAAGGGCCACAAATATTTTAGATGTGAAGGAGTAAATAAAAATAACATTTTGTTCCAAGTTAAATAAATAAATGACCCTGGACAATTAACACAGCGCCATCTAGTCCATTGTAAGCAGAGCTTGTGTTATGGGTACTAGAGTTCTTGTGAAGAGACAGCTTTACGAATGAGCGGTAGATTAAATAAAATAAGTGATAACTATTCAAAAGTGCTTGTAAGTTTATTTTAATAAATTATTTTCTATTCTATTCTATTGTAATTGGGAATATTATAAAACTCACAGCCGGTTATGTGCCTCGATGGCTTGATGTGACTGCTCACGTACAGAGAACCGTCGCTTGCTGCCCCACGTTGAAAGCTGTTCCGCAGCCAGAGGACCCTCTGTGATATCCAATAATAAAATTAAACACTTGTATAATTAATAGGTGACTTACCGACATGTTTCTATGAAAAGATTAAAAATGCGCAGGTTTTAACGAAAGAAAGAAACTTATTTTTTGTGTTCACTTTTTCGTGTGTAGTTTGTACATATGTTTTAATTTTATTAGCATTTTACTTTGATGTTATATTTTGGAGATTTATTTAAACTTATAAATTATTAACAAATTTGTAATTTGGTTTTTGCTTCATGGTTACATATCATACATTGGCAGGTACACTATATCTTTATCATCAATTAATAAATGTATCAAGAGGATGCGGAAGGAGGTGGTGAAGGAAGGGTGCTTCCGGGGATTGAGTGAGCGATTTCGGGGGGTGAATGGAGTCGTTTCTTGGGGTTGATGGGGTGCTTCTGGGAGGCGAGGAAGGGTTTGCTTTGGGGGGTGAAGGGTTCTTTTCCAGGGTGGTGAAGGGCTTTCTGGTACTGAGAGGGAGTTTCTTATGGGGATGAGGGTAAGGGGGTGCCATCCGAGGTGTTGTGGGTATTGGAGATGCTTCCGGAGAAGGAGATTCCGGGGGCGAGAAAGGGGGTTGTTTCCGCTGGTGTGGGGGGAGGCATGGTACTCACGGCGGGCGAGCGGGCGCAGGTACAGCAGCAGCGGCGCCGCGTCGGCCGCCGGCGCGCCGCACGCCACCAGCCACCCGCCCGCGTCCAGCGGGCGAGCCTGCGCTGCGGGGGCACGCAACCTTACACGTTATTTACCATTCCGACATCACCTCACCGCTGTTTGACATGAGGTCGCTTTTCGATTGCTTTAGTAGCAGTACAATTAGCGGATAACGCGCCTGCGCTGAGATCCGCACACCACGCTCGCGTTATTTACCATTCAAAAACATCTCACGATTGTTAATATTAAGGTTACTTTTCGTTTGCCTTAAGAGCATTGAAATTATTTAATTATTTAAATTCAACGACCTTATCCCTCGATATTTGTACAATTAGAATGGACAGACATCTCAATGTTGTTTGTCTTAAAGTTACTTTTCATTTGCTTTAGGACTAGTGAAATTTAAAATGAAACGACAATGTTTCTCAATGCTTGTATTGTATCTAGTTTCCCTTCCAAAGAAACCCCTGTCCAATTCAAACGCGAATCGAAATTACAACAGCTCGAGCTGAAGTTCTAGGAAGGAACCCTTAGCTGTGCCCTTAAATTAAAGTCATATCTTGAGGGATACGACCACTAGGAGTTAGCCTTCGACCGCTCCGTTAGTCCTTCCAGGAATTTGGAGTGTAAACTGCACTCGTCGCCTATCGTTCAATGAAGTTATAAAAAAATCTACGACTAACAGCATCAAAATAGTTAAAAAAAAAACTAGCAATTAAATCGATTTTGAAAGGTGGTTGGCAAATTCATACAAGACTATAGCTCGCCTTAGTTACGTTGCAGTATAGACCAACCACTAAGTACAATCTTACAAACAACAGTATATACTTACGTATATTGATGGTTTGCACCCACTCTCCCAACTCTATATCATATATATCGATATGTGTCGCTGTGAATATTAATAGATGTGTTTCGTTTATCGCTGAAACAAAAAAGATATTAATTATATATATGTGACACCATTCTCAAACCCCAGTTATAACATACGTTAGTAACGTTTGGGGATCATTATACAATTTCTTAATACAATACTTAATAAAAAATGTACTTAATAGTTTCATACAAAGCAACAAACTTATACAAGTACACTCCGTTCCGCTACTTCCATCAGTTGCGCTCTTACCACGCTATCACACGCGCAAACACATACGACACCGTCCTCTCTGGCGAAGACAACGACCTCAAGTACACTATATAACGCAATTAACCGGGCGCTCCACACCGGCATCCCCGGTGGTTCCTCCGATCTATACTCCGTCTAATTAAAACGGGAATCAAAATTACATTGACCTGAGCAGAGATTTGAACCCTTAGCGGTGCTTTCAGATGAAAGTCGTATCAGTCAGGCAGGACTTGGCATACATTCACTCCTTTTGAAGTGCCCTATCGTCCGGTGAAGCTCTAAAGACCAGCCGCGCTAACAGCACTAGAGTAGTCCGAAAAAAAAGTACACTTACCATGGTAGGTGGGCTGCGCGGTGTACATTAATTCTGTGTCGCGCGCACGATGTCCATTACGATCCACGTAAATAGCTAGCGAGTTGAACACTAGTAACATGTCGTGCGAGTTGGGTACCGGCGCGCAAGCCAATGGTTTTGCGCCCGAATGTGACAGGAATAGATTGACTTGATTGTCTGGATGTACCACCGCTGTAAATAAACAAAGTATATATTAGTATATAACTTAAAGATTAACTCAAATTTTATATATGTTATACAATATAATAAATTTTATAGACAGTACTCTTTATCGGGGTTGCTTTGAAGCCGATTAACAATCGCTCACGTAATCCTGGAGTATGTAGCAGTGGTCACACAATGTACATAAATTCTCGGAACGATTAGATCGCTTTGTAAAGTTAGCAAAAACACTAGGAGGCTCTGAGCTCGGTTAGTTACTTTAGTAGTCTTGCCTCTACACGCACAACGGTGATGAGATGTTAAATGCGGATAATAGAGTCCATATATCGTTACTTGCTTCTTTCCTTATACCATTTATTTGGGGTCGGCGTAACGTTTTTCGAAGGCAGTAATCTCTCGCAGCTCCCGATGTAGACAGTACTCACGGACGGCGGGCTGGTCGAGCGCGGGGCGGCGCGGGTCGGGCAGGCAGTGCGCGGCGAACCCCCCGCGGTACCCGAGCAGATGTAGACAGTACTCACGGACGGCGGGCTGGTCGAGCGCGGGGCGGCGCGGGTCGGGCAGGCAGTGCGCGGCGAACCCCCCGCGGTACCCGAGCAGATGTAGACAGTACTCACGGACGGCGGGCTGGTCGAGCGCGGGGCGGCGCGGGTCGGGCAGGCAGTGCGCGGCGAACCCCCCGCGGTACCCGAGCAGATGTAGACAGTACTCACGGACGGCGGGCTGGTCGAGCGCGGGGCGGCGCGGGTCGGGCAGGCAGTGCGCGGCGAACCCCCCGCGGTACCCGAGCAGATGTAGACAGTACTCACGGACGGCGGGCTGGTCGAGCGCGGGGCGGCGCGGGTCGGGCAGGCAGTGCGCGGCGAACCCCCCGCGGTACCCGAGCAGATGTAGACAGTACTCACGGACGGCGGGCTGGTCGAGCGCGGGGCGGCGCGGGTCGGGCAGGCAGTGCGCGGCGAACCCCCCGCGGTACCCGAGCAGATGTAGACAGTACTCACGGACGGCGGGCTGGTCGAGCGCGGGGCGGCGCGGGTCGGGCAGGCAGTGCGCGGCGAACCCCCCGCGGTACCCGAGCAGATGTAGACAGTACTCACGGACGGCGGGCTGGTCGAGCGCGGGGCGGCGCGGGTCGGGCAGGCAGTGCGCGGCGAACCCCCGCGGTACCCGAGCAGATGTAGACAGTACTCACGGACGGCGGGCTGGTCGAGCGCGGGGCGGCGCGGGTCGGGCAGGCAGTGCGCGGCGAAACCCCCGCGGTACCCGAGCAGATGTAGACAGTACTCACGGACGGCGGGCTGGTCGAGCGCGGGGCGGCGCGGGTCGGGCAGGCAGTGCGCGGCGAACCCCCCGCGGTACCCGAGCAGATGTAGACAGTACTCACGGACGGCGGGCTGGTCGAGCGCGGGGCGGCGCGGGTCGGGCAGGCAGTGCGCGGCGAACCCCCCGCGGTACCCGAGCAGATGTAGACAGTACTCACGGACGGCGGGCTGGTCGAGCGCGGGGCGGCGCGGGTCGGGCAGGCAGTGCGCGGCGAACCCCCCGCGGTACCCGAGCAGATGTAGACAGTACTCACGGACGGCGGGCTGGTCGAGCGCGGGGCGGCGCGGGTCGGGCAGGCAGTGCGCGGCGAACCCCCCGCGGTACCCGAGCAGATGTAGACAGTACTCACGGACGGCGGGCTGGTCGAGCGCGGGGCGGCGCGGGTCGGGCAGGCAGTGCGCGGCGAACCCCCCGCGGTACCCGAGCAGCAGGCGGCCGCGCGCCAGCTGCACGCAGTGCACGGCGCCCGGCGCGCGCAGCTCCGCGATGCGGCACCGCCGCGCCGCAGTGCGCGTGATCTCGTACACGTTCACCACGTACGTGTTCTATATTATTAACGTATTATTTAAAAAATCTAGTAGACTTGCTAAGTCTACTACTAAATGAAAAAAAACTAAATTAATATGTATGCGTCAGTTTTGCAACTAAACAAAATTGTCAATATATGCTTCAATGGCTATAAATTATCCCGATTAGATAACTACATGTTTTATAGTCCTTCGAGACGGATTAACTTATCCGTTTCGAAAGTCCAAAAAATGTGGAATTTAGCAATACAAGTATAGTTTTTATACACACCTGTCGCTTGCAGACGACCGCGAAACCCATAGTGTTTGCATTAAGATCCCCGACGGCGACGTCGACGGCGCCCTTGGACTCTGCCAGCTTCACGCACTCCACTTCGGAGCATTCCAATGCGCGGATCGGCACCAGCCGCACGTGTCGGCCGCGTCCAGCTATTACCACTGTAAAAGATGAACGAGTACGTGAGTATATTTTCAGGGACAATATCTACTCATACCTACTTATTACAGTCTACTGGTATTATATAATTTAAAGCTCCCAAGGTTCCGACGAAAAAAGTCACGAAGTAGGTCATAAACCTAAATCCTAAAGAAACGTGTTCCACACACTTCCTTAACGTACAAGTACGTACGTTCGAGCTCTGACCAAGCCCGCGTCGCCGGCGAGCACGAGCCGCGCGCGCTCCAGCACGGCGCCGGCGGCCGCGCGGTACCCGAGCAGCTGCTCCGCGCGACGTACAGCAGCTTGGCGACGGGCGCGTGCTGGCGGCGCGGCGTGAGCTCGGCGCGCTCGAGGTCGAGCAGCGCGAGCCCCGCGTCGCCGGCGAGCACGAGCCGCGCGCGCTCCAGCACGGAGGTCACCACCCACGTGTTCTGCGCGACGTACAGCATTGGCGACGGGCGCGTGCTGGCGGCGCGGCGTAGACTCGGCGCGCTCGAGGTCGAGCAAGCGTCGCCGGCGAGCACGAGCCGCGCGCGCTCCAGCACGGCGCCGGCGGCCGGAAACCCAGCATGCTCCTGCGCGATTAATATGTGCTGGCGGCGCGGTCAGTTCGGCGCGCTTCGAGCAGCGCGAAGCCGCGTTGTCGCGCGCGCTATATGCTTCAATGGCTATAAATTATCAGCAGATTATGCGCGACGTACAGCAGTTTTGGCGACGGGCGCGTGCTGGCGGCGACGGATTAACTTATCGGCGTCGAGGTCGAAAGCCCAAAGCCCCGCGTAGCCGGCGACACACGCGCGCGCTTGCAGACGGCGCCGGCGGCCATAGTGTTTGCATTACCCAGCAGCTGCTCCTGCGGCGACGTACAGCAGCTTGGCGACGGGCGCGTGCTGGCGGCGCGGCGTGAGCTCGGCGCGCTCGAGGTCGAGCAGCGCGAGCCCCGCGTCGCCGGCGAGCACGAGCCGCGCGCGCTCCAGCACGGCGCCGGCGGCCGGAGGTCACTCACCCAGCAGCTGCTCCTGCGCGACGTACAGCAGCTTGGCGACGGGCGCGTGCTGGCGGCGCGGCGTGAGCTCGGCGCGCTATTAGGTCGAGCAGCGCTCCCAAGGTTCCGGCGAAAAAGCCGCGCGCGCTCCAGCACGGCGCCGAAGTAGGTCATCACCCAGCAGCTGCTCCTGCGCGACGTACAGCACCTGGGCGACGGGCGCGTGCAGCCGGGCCGCCTGAGCTCGGCGCGCTCGAGGTCGAGCAGCGCGAGCCCCGCGTCGCCGGCGAGCACGAGCCGCGCGCGCTCCAGCACGGCGCCGGCGGCCGGAGGTCACTCACCCAGCAGCTGCTCCTGCGCGACGTACAGCAGCTTGGCGACGGGCGCGTGCTGGCGGCGCGGCGTGAGCTCGGCGCGCTCGAGGTCGAGCAGCGCGAGCCCCGCGTCGCCGGCGAGCACGAGCCGCGCGCGCTCCAGCACGGCGCCGGCGGCCGCGCCGCGCACGCCGGCCGCCGCCGCGCCCGCGCCGCCCCCGCCCTCCGCCACCACCCGCGCTCGATACGCCTGCACACACATGCAATACATGTATACACCTTTTCCAGGGAAGCAGAGGACTGTTAACAATGTGGGGATGATGAGCTAACTAATCTGACCTCAATATCATAGTAAATGTAACAGTATCTTAAAAAATATATACATACACATTTATCTGGCAGATTGTTCCTCTTGAGTATTCTATGTAGTTCGCTTAAAGCCACCACCCATTTTGTTTTCTCAGACTCAGACTCTGCCAGCATCAATGTGTGAGAACGATTGCCGCCTTCGAGTTGAGACGTTGATATCTGTACATAAAATAAAGAATATTTGCCTAGTCTAGTGATGTTCACGGAAATATGTCGTTTTATTCAATATAGTTCCCAAAACATATAGTAGATCACTGTCACTGCAATACACCACGATCCATCGAGCCGGATTGTGCATTTCTACGTATTTGTATTCTTGAATGTATCTACATACTTACTCTTAAACTTTACATTAAAACTAAGTTACTTATTGTGAGGAATACCTAAAATATAAAAATGGATTTTAGTCCTTTTATGAGTACTTACCCTAAATATGCACGGTATATCTCTCTTGTTTGCGTGTATGACGTCAGATTCCTTTACCGATGTTACGCTGAATTCAGGGTCCCGCATGTCGAGCACTTGACTTACACATACCGATGGTAAAGCATTCCTGTTCACAAAAAAAGAGAAATATATAATATATATATTTTTAAATTTAGATTATAAAAAAACGTAGAAATATTTGCGACACGTATTGGTAACTTTATGCCTATAACTTCATGAATAAAAAGTTACATCTCTGGTCCATCGATTCCGAACTAAATCTAACTAAGGTTATCCGGTTCAAAGGACCAATAAGTAATACTTTATATTCGACGCATTATGTATGCCTCTGTGTATCTGTAATACAGTGAACATTTTTAAATTGATTGAAAAGTAAGTTTTATGTCGGTATATTGAAAGAAAACAATTATTAGGTATTTGCTTATAAACTCTCACCTGTCTTGGGATATATCGTATAGAAACAGTTTGAAGTCGCACACAACTACGAACTGTCTCATCCAGCCTTTCTTCACACCTCCGGGTTTTGGAACCTGAACAAAAAAGTAATTAAAATGGAAAAATATACAATGTCGGCGAAGACATATATTAAACATTCTTTCAATGATGAATAGCAACCATGATAATCTGACATAAATGCATATAAATTAATTGCAGTATGGATAATATTATGAATACAATACAAAGTATTGCTGAAGACATATGTCATTTGTATAAACCAGTTTTTTAAATTTACTACACTTGGTCTGGAAACAGCAAACCCCAAACTTCTTCGGCTGGTAGCGGACAGCGTGGCGGGGAGCGTACCTTGACGTAGCCCTCGTAGGCGGTGCCCTGTCCGCGCGCGGGGTCTATCCCCAGGGGGCGCCGCTGCTCGCTCGGCCGGCAGCGGACAGCGCGGCGAGCGTGGCGGGGAGCGTACCTTGACGTAGCCCTCGTAGGCGGTGCCCTGTCCGCGCGCGGGGTCTATCCCCAGGGGGCGCCGCTCTCGCTCGGCCGGCAGCGGACAGCGCGGCGAGCGTGGCGGGGAGCGTACCTTGACGTAGCCCTCGTAGGCGGTGCCCTGTCCGCGCGCGGGGTCTATCCCCAGGGGGCGCCGCTCTCGCTCGGCCGGCAGCGGACAGCGCGGCGAGCGTGGCGGGGAGCGTACCTTGACGTAGCCCTCGTAGGCGGTGCCCTGTCCGCGCGCGGGGTCTATCCCCAGGGGGCGCCGCTCTCGCTCGGCCGGCAGCGGACAGCGCGGCGAGCGTGGCGGGGAGCGTACCTTGACGTAGCCCTCGTAGGCGGTGCCCTGTCCGCGCGCGGGGTCTATCCCCAGGGGGCGCCGCTCTCGCTCGGCCGGCAGCGGACAGCGCGGCGAGCGTGGCGGGGAGCGTACCTTGACGTAGCCCTCGTAGGCGGTGCCCTGTCCGCGCGCGGGGTCTATCCCCAGGGGGCGCCGCTCTCGCTCGGCCGGCAGCGGACAGCGCGGCGAGCGTGGCGGGGAGCGTACCTTGACGTAGCCCTCGTAGGCGGTGCCCTGTCCGCGCGCGGGGTCTATCCCCAGGGGGCGCCGCTCTCGCTCGGCCGGCAGCGGACAGCGCGGCGAGCGTGGCGGGGAGCGTACCTTGACGTAGCCCTCGTAGGCGGTGCCCTGTCCGCGCGCGGGGTCTATCCCCAGGGGGCGCCGCTCTCGCTCGGCCGGCAGCGGACAGCGCGGCGAGCGTGGCGGGGAGCGTACCTTGACGTAGCCCTCGTAGGCGGTGCCCTGTCCGCGCGCGGGGTCTATCCCCAGGGGGCGCCGCTCTCGCTCGGCCGGCAGCGGACAGCGCGGCGCCACCCGCGCGCAACACCGCGTGTGAACGCATAGTCCGCACGTCTCGCACACCACGCCCTGCCGCGTCAGCCCGATCTACGACCGCATACACACTTACGGTTTAATTTAAATTATAACGTTAACAAAAAATGTACATTCCGTTCCACTCGTCATCAATAAGGCACTTCTAAAAAATATTCCAGATTATCGACTATTGGACCCCGCTGTCGTCTTTCACAAAACGTCGCTATTGTACCACGTGTTAGGCTACTGATATACACTCGGTCAGTCGTCAGGTTGCTCAAATACATTCCGATGGACTTCGCGTACCTTAGAAAACGACGGGCCCCACCTGACAACTGACCAACTGACTGTGTATCAGCAACCAAACTCGTTTATAATTGCAGCTGTTGTTACTCCAACAAGTCAGGTCATCGTTATCCTCGTAGTTATTAGTACGAGATTATGACATACAAAAAATACTTTGTTCTGAAAAATACTAATGTGTGGTGCCCATAGTTATATAGGCTTCGGTTACCACACTACATTGGGCATGACATCCGGTTGTTAATTGTTCAAAGTTTACAAATAAAGAGATGATTATTAACACTTATGTTATACTGTAAAAGTTATAAAAAAAAGGCTAAAAAACATACCATAAGCGAAGTACAGTGATTGCACTTGGTCGGACTACTGAATGTCCTCACGAGGAATTGGTGAAGCTTCTGTTTGCCTGGCACTGCGGGGCCTATTGATGGATCCTACAGCATAGAATATAAATAATTTTAAAATCCCAAATATATCGAGAATTCGACACACATAAATGACATTTATTGACACACTTATCAGTTCTTAAAATTTATTAAATACTTGAATTTTGTCCCTTCATTTTACTTATACCTATGTTCTGAAACAAAATCTATCATTACATGTATTTTTTAATATCATATTCATTAAATAGTTGAAAGTTTATAAATGACTAAATTAATACGGATATCTGGACGAGACGACATCAAATTTTAAGGCAGTTCTTGTACGATATTTTGGTTTTATTTTTGCATTTGTGCTATTAAGTATGTATTTATAATTAAAATAGAGATAAAGATTTGTATGTTTGTAACCAATAAATTCAAAATACACTAGACCGATTTAATTCTTTTATCATTGGAATGCTATATTATCCTGAGTACATTTATTACTAGAAAACATTAGGGATTCCTACTAAATGTTCAATAAGTAACTAAGGTATAAAAAAAATTGCTTTAGCGTTTATCCTAAAATGTTAAAAAATACATGTCCACCAGTTCAAAAACAGAAATTGCCTATACTAATGAATAAAAAATATGAAATTTGGTTGAGTACCAAATTTCATATATTTATAGACTAAATTCTAGGTTAATATCTAAAATACTGTAATACTAACTTAAGCTACTTTTAAGCTATATAAGTTACAATTGCTCCTTATAAAATTTTACTAACCGTTGACATTTCACTGGGTGAACTCTTGCTTGAGGCAGGAGAGGCGGCTCTCGCCTCTAACTCATCTTGGGACTCCACAGATCCACTCAGACCCGCCGACTGCTGAGATCCATACATCATCTAAAAGTAGAAAATTGAACACTCTAGATTTATATACGTTTGTTACGAAAGCCTTATTTACAACTATTAAACTAAATTAAATGAAGTCCTAAGTCACATAATAATAATAATAATCTCAGTACAATTCACACAGCGCTATCTAGACCCAAGTTAAGCCAGCTAAAACTTGAGTTGTGGGTACTAGATAACTGATTCAAATACATAGATATATTTTTTTTAAATGATTAAATTTGGGTGATAATTTATGGGCTTCCATAAATTATCTTTTATCGTATTCTGTCAAATTACGAATTCAGTTTGTTAGAAAGAGACAAAACACTTTAATAGATGATATAGTGATTACCATGTGCAGTCCGCAACTCAAGGGAATTGCTAGCAAATTGTCGGCCTTTCAAGAAGGAATAAGCTTTTTGTCGAATTTTTCACTATCTAATCAAACAAACAACTGTCCTTGTTTATAGAATTATACGAGGTTTTAGTTTTTATGTTATTGTTTAGTTTTTTATTAATTTATGTAATGCAAAATGTTAGAATATATAAGAAGCAAATGAAAGCGCAAATGAAACGAAATAAAACAAAACAAACCTTGGCATTGCAACAATACTGCGCATTCCTGTAACGATACTGCGGCGACATCTGCGGTCACAACAGAAATATTCGCAACAAAAAAAAACATAAAAGCAAAATAATGCTTTGTGGCGAAGAAGTACATCAATTAATAATAATAATATGTAATATGTAAAAAAATATATGTAATAATAATATCTGTAATAACAATATGGTAGTACAATTCACACAGCGCCATCCAGACCCAAGCTAAGCAGAGCTTGTGTTATGGGTACTAGACAAATGTCTATGGATTGCTTAGAATCCATAGCAAAAAACGGCTAATTGTCCATGGTTTATTTAACTAATTACTATTAGTAATATATGTACTTTTACGCAAAGCTGTTACATGAAATATTCTATATATAAATTAGTCATATATTCCACCTATTACCATAGAATATTACATAATCTGATAAAGTTTAATATATTGTGAGGATTAAAAACAAATGGTTAATTGATGAATAATGATTTCGTATATTAGTTACGACTTTTATTAATAATTGATATTTATAATTACATAAGATAAATGGTTGGAGTATAAATAAAATTGTTGGTAAATAAACAGAAAAAACAATTAAAATTGTCTAGAAAATAGATTATATCACGGCGGACATAGACTATCTTTCAAGACATTGTCGCTACTACAATATAACAACAAGTATACAATATATACCTTAATATATAATTCAATATATACCTTCTGTTCATTATTGACCGACGGCACATTATCATAGTGCCGTTCTGTGGGCGTCTGTTTGAGGAACTGGTCGAGATAACTCATCTGCGATGACGGGCGGTCCAGGACTGGAATTACAGAAAACATATTAGAAAGGGAAATATTTCGTTTCGAATCACTATTAGGTTAGCATTCCGTACGAAATTATAATATATATCAGAGAGTATAATTATGAAAAAAAAATGTAGGTCTGTAAATAAATATTTGTAAAACACTTTTTTTTTTTCAGAATACTCTAATGCTGTTGGCCGCAGCTGGCCTCTACAGCTTTACCGAACGCGAGGGGGCGAGTGCAGATGGCACTCCAAACTCGCGGAAGAATTTATGGTGCGGCTGAGGCCAACAAGCGCCCGCCTGACGGATACGACTTTAGTCTGAGGGCACCGCTAGAGGTTCGAACCTCGGCTCAGGCCGTCGTTATTTTGATCCCCGTTTGAATTGGACGGGAGATCGATTGGAGGGAGGGTAAAGCACGAGATTTAAAATAGTTTATAGTCATCACTTAGAGAAGCATTACTTAATTGAAATGAAATGAACATATAGATAATATATACATATTAAGAGACAGCATACGTACGGAACACTAATACAGGTATAAGATATATAAACATAAAGATATACAGGTTAAAGCATTCAACACCCACGACACGGGAAGATTCTTTTTCTACAAAATACATGTACTAATATTATAAAGGGAGAGCGAAAAACAAAATTTTGTTATGAGGAAAGTTATATTATGTCCAAAACATATACACAATTTATAAATTTATGAGTGTGTCCGAATAGAGAAAATCCGTAGCGCTGTTCATTTATATAAAATGAGCCGTCAACTTCATAGAAAAGAGAAAAACAAGTGACTCATTTTTTAATATTTAGAAAATTATATATCCAATTCGGATTGTAATTTATGCAACAATATTATTTTTTTTACTACCATATCCAGTGTTGAATACTTCAATAAAAAACAGGGTGTCATCCCATTACCCAACCTCAACCGAAACCAATATCACAAAACAATGTACAAACGAAGGGTACAATTAATATAAGAACATATTAGACAGGTGCAAAAGTGCTTCGTGTACAGTAATTTAACTATATATAATCATACAATATTGATATAATAAGCAAACAGCCGTACAGTGCCCGTGATTATATTATTTAACGGTCCTACGATACACATAAAAAAAAACTCTATTTGTATACAGCATGAAAATATTCTGTTACAAATTTTAATATCTAATTATTATAAATATAAAGAAAGAAAAAAAATATTTTTTATAGGCGGCTAAAATATCTTAAATGAGTAAATTATTTTCTAATTTGACCTACGAAAATTAGGCAAAATACCAGTTAGAAAGAATATACGAGATTTTATCAGATTTTTATTGCATCGCATGAGCCTAAGTGTTTTAAGGTTGGCAACACTGATGGGTTATAATGTTTTAAAAAAAATAGAATCATTACAACAACTGCAGCCGGAGCGGGTCTCTATTGTATTTATGAAGTAAACACTTGTGCACCTGACTCTCGTACAAAACAACATTAGTCAACAAAATCCGGGACTAACATGCACGGGACGTTTACAATTGACGAGGTACTAACTAAGCCCTCAACTCACCAGTAGATCAACATTAACGCAACATTTTACATACGACCTGCGCCATAAAATATATTCATTCATATAAAAAAAATCATAAATTATTTTCCATATTTTGTGCTTGGTAAATAAATTTAGAAAATTCTTATGACATGATTACAATATCATGTTAAATAAGTAAATAATACATGTTACGACAAAACATTAAGTATAAGTCTGAAAATTATTCCATTGCCATAATAAATAAACTTAGAAAAAAAATTACCAATATGAAAATACCGGTTTTAAATTACTTAACAAACAAAACATTAATATAATATTTGCAAGCGGAAATAAACAAAACAAAAATATAACAAAATGCTGCGTTAATGTTGTGATTCGTAAAATTGTATCACAATACAATGGCATAGGGTTTACAATAAAACTGATTAGTCAACCTATGTGCGTATACAAACAAGTGTTAAAGAAAACCATGTCGCTCAGCGTATTATGTGGTGTTATGGCGAGACATTACAAATATGTAATAATATAAACATTAAAAAAAAATAAAGACAATTAACTTTTTAATTCTCTTCTCTGTTAAAATATCTGTCACATCCATATCACCACAAAAAGCTCAAGCAGAAGCGAAGCGATTTACAAAAAGAAAAATAACGCTCATGAAAATATTAAATCGCCAAATCATCGGCGGCCATCACTGTTTTGGAGTACGCATCAACATTGTAAAATTTACAAATAATAAATTAACAATAAAACAATACAACAACTTTGCTAAGTTAGCAGTGATTAAATCTAACAAAAAAACTTAAAATATTACTATAATTGAAATTAGAACACTTTGACTATATATTATGTTATCATTTACTATTTGATTTTTGTTTAATTTAATCACTGCAAACACAACCTTACTTACTACTAACACAAACAATAAAATCATTAAAAAATATGTAAAATAATGAAAAAAAAGGAAAAAGGACCTAAATTTTCCTTTACATTAGAAAAACGCTTTAAATACAATATGTATGGTATGTAAAACTAAAATCTAACGATTATACATTTCATACCCACAAAACAGTGATACCGCAATGCCATTAAAAGTAGAATTTTCCTTGACACTTGCTCGTATTTACAATAAACTGGTAATTAATAACGAAAAATGTGTTATGCTAAGAACGCATCACATAGGAAAAATTAAAAATCATTAAAACTTACACCTTTTATTATTGTAACGTTGCCTTTTGTAATATTAAAAAAAAAGTATTGATCAAGCTATCTCTTTAGCAATAGGGGGAGGGGATGCTTTGTAATGTGGACTAATAACGCCATTGCTAGCAATGTACCATGTCAGGTTGACTTCCACGCGGTACCGCCTGGAATTTATTGTGATCAATTACTGGTGAAATTACCACCATAGGCTAACTAACCTGACCTCATGTTCATCTTATCATCCTCCAATGGTGCTCCGCCAGCATAAACCGTTAGCGCAGGCGGGTACACAATTATTACATATACCATTATCATCCATTACAAAAAAAAAGCATTAATAAAATCAATATTACAGTGAAAACAATATATGTACGACTGTACGTGTATAAAAATAGCATATTTCGATGTTTGTAAGGCAAATCAGAGATTTTCCATACTACTTAACCAATTATTACGAAATATTTCGTCCAACTTAATGGACAGCATATACATTGATCTAAATATAACAACTATTGGATCGGCTAGTACTTATATATGTCTGTCACATTTATATATATACAAAAAACAACGTTACATGGACAAACAAAATGCACAATCACATACGATAACTACTGTATCTATTTGAAGTAAAATTCACGAACCATTCTCTTCTTTACCGCTCCAATATGTGGACGACTTGGCCGATCCTTGCCTCGCTGCTTGCGCATAACTTACTACTTTAATGCTTTGTTACAAGACTCAAAATATATGATACAATATGTGGAGTCCATCAATAGTGATGTTGATGAAATATAGACTTTAAAGCTTTGTATTAGAAAACAAAATAATAATGCTTGCATAATAATAGTCAAGAGTAGAAAAAATATAGAAATCAACCTAATAATATACTTTTTTTAGTTTAGGGATTTATTTAGTACTATTGGCTATATTTAATAAATTAATATTTTAAATGTATGTTCATAAATTGTAAAAAAAATGTCATTCAGACATCCTTCATGAATTTCTATAGTATATATGATGAGTAGCAGTCTATGATAAATTCTTAAACAGTTTTATTTACGATTAACATAAAAAAACAAACATAGTATGTATACTGAATCGCATCTTAACACGAATGGAAAAGTATTTCGTATTAAAACCCTATATTAACAATGTGTATTAAACCGCGAAAATTTAAATACTAACCAACGTATTGAAAAATAGGTAAAACTAATAATAAATATAAAACCCACATAATGTAACAGAATTTAATAACTTATGTACAACAAGTTGACAAAGTTACAACAGTGAAATTTATAACTTACAGACATAACATAAATGCAGAATAAATGTGTCGGCGATGCTTAAAAATAATTAAAACAAATACAGATCAAAAAAATATCAATGGAAATAAAAAGTACAGTCCGGTGTTATGACTAAGGAAAAAAAATCAAATTACATTTACACTTTATGGTATTTCCGTTTAAAATTATTCACGAATCAGAACACCGGAATGAAAAATAATACTTTAAAACAAATAAAATAAAAAGTAAGGTAATAAATAAAACGGAGAAATAATACACTGAGATTGTAAACCCTCTCTAAAGAAAACTTAAAATCTATTAAAATAATTGTATAAAATTAATTATTCCTGCATTGTGTTTTAAATATTTTGTCATAGATAGTTTGTATTTCAATTATTTTATTTAAAAGTGCAATATAGAACATATATAATTTATAAGATTGTATTATTAAATTCTTGATAAATATTTTAATTATATGAATTCATATATAAATAAAATATGCGCTTCATTTAACCACTGTAAATATCTTATTTTATTAATAGCAACACACAAAAATTATGAATTCATTAAAGTCTGATATTTAATTCGAGATTTAAAGTATAAAAAAATAAGTAGGTATAACAAGAGATTAACAATTGTTTATTAAGATTATTGTTAAATCAATTAGAATTAGAATTAAAGTCAATTGCGTTACCTAACCCTCAGGTTACTTTTTGTTAATTACAATTTTTTTTCTACAAGTGGCAACATCGATTTGTTTTCGTAATATTTATAATTTTCTAATTACTGCAGTTTATTATTCAGCGTGCCACATATAAAAAAGCGAATAATCAAGTAACGGGTTCATACTACTTTGCGAGATGAATCACTTGGCTATCGACATTTTATAGTAATTAACACTTAGTTTCAATTAAGTGTTATGTATAATTAAAAAAAAAAATTATTCACAATAAGAATTTAATAATAAATTGAAAATATCATTGTTTTGCGGAGGATATTTTGACTTTGTCTTACCACTGGTCATTTGATCTCACTCATTAATGGTACAATATATGGTAATTATCCCTTAAAAGTTACTTTGACAGTGACATTTTGTTGTATACACTTTTCATCTCGAATTACATTTCAGACTTTTGTTCACGCATACTTCAATTCTAATGACTAGTACGAATGGTTGAGTATTGTTCGTTGATTTTATATTTAATAATCTTTGGTAAATTTTTAGACTAGACTAACTCATTGAGACTAGAAAACGTTGATACACCTTTGGTGATTTTTCTTTGTTGTAATTGTGACGTCATACGAGTTTTGTAAAACATCAGATCCTTGATAAAAGCGTAGAATATGTACAAATCTGTAACAGTCAACACCATACAGAACCTTTAGCTATAAATTACAACACAACTAGCAATTGAGACTAAATTAGACCAAGAGCTAATAACCGAATTGTTCATAGGTGTTTTTTTATTTACAAAAATTTTATCAGCTGCAATAGACACTTCATGTTGATATGCTTATACTATATTTTGTATAATCTAAAATGTGCCATTGTGTGCCATTGAAAACAATCAATCGTATATTTGATGATACACAAGAATAGCTACGCCCCATAAGCATGACGTCACACCAATAAACAGGGGTATGTACGGCCTCAACCAAGTCCGAACTGTCATACGAATATGCAAAACACAATACAGGAAAATATAAAAAGAAAACACAAACAAAAAAAAAAGATAAATATACCGCGTACCACGCAAGAGTAAATAAATGCCACAAATAATACATGATTGTTGTACCATAGATACACATAATATTTCAACAAAAAAAGCCAATGCAACAATGTTTTAAATTTCAAATGAACCAACAATAACAATTTGGAATTTCGAATCACAGTTCCAATTTTAAAATTTCACAGATTAAATTATAAACACAAGTCATAAAGTCCATAGCGAATGTAGTCCATAAATGTATACATTCAGGGTTTATTTTCGTTTTTTCCGACGTGGACGACGTTGGACTTTGTGGTGGGAGCCCAGAATCCATGTGACATTAGGGCGGTAAGAGACGTATATATTGTGACGTCACGTTTAGGTAACATTTCATTTTTGTTTTGGGTGATATTGTGCGGACACATGTAACGAAAACAAAAAGAAAAAGTGCACTAAATAAAAATATTATAAACTAATATGTAACGTGGATTGTAATGGAGTGCTGCAATTATAAATAAACTACATGTAATAATGTGTAAATTAGAATTGTAATAATAAGTATTTACATACATACAATACTAAATAAATTATTATTATTCTGTGCTAAAAAAGAATACCTAATAATATATATTTATAAAGCAAAAGGAAATATAAATTCTACATATATAACAAAATTGTATATAATTATAAGATTAGGAATCTCAAATTTGTGTAAGATACAATTTTGGTATCATCTTACAAATTTTATAAAGCCATAAAAGCATGATTGTTACACGACGCCCATGATACATCTCGTTCCAGAGGACTATGTCGTGCCTCTACACTCTGTAACTTCACTGCCGTATCTCACACTTTATAAGAAACACAGCTTACATAGCAAGCTGCTTGGAGGAAGAAATATGTGAGACAAAGGCACGCAGATGACTTTAAAATAAAAAAAGATCATATAGAAATCTACTATAGTCTAACGGTTAGACTTTAACCTAACATCTACTGTGGTCTAACCTCGTGCGCAAAAATCTCCAAAAGAGCGTTCCCCGCCAAAGACGTCTCTAACGCTATCTTGATTTATATGGTGTTTAGTGGAAACTTTGATATGAATCTCTTAATAATTCTCTAATTTTCGTGCTAGGACATTTTATCATAAACAAATACGATATGATTGTGTGCGTGCTTGTGTGCATACGTGTGCGTGCGTGTGTACGTGAGCACGTTCATGTGTATGTAGAATGTAAGCTTGTGTATACTCACAGGAGTTGCCTGGCTGGTGCGGCGCGTCCAGTCTGGCCTGCATATCTCGAATGTGCTGTTCCTTGCGCTTCACCTCGTGCGCGACGGCTTCAAGGCGCTGCCGACTCTCCAACAACTCTCTGTCATAATCATATAGACATTGTTTCAATTTTAAAACAGATACGAGTAAGAACGTGCAGGGTCACAGTATTTTGACGGCTTCGGTGCTCTAGTGGTTTAGCATACGACTTTACTTCCGATGGTTGCGGTTTCAATTCCTCGCACGGTACAAACATTTGTATTCATAAGTATGATTGTTTGTATCGGGCTGGGTATTTTCTATATGTATTATGTAAAAAATATATCTATGATTGTGTTTATATCAGTTGTTTAGTACCCATAACAGAAGCACTGCTTAGCTAGAGACTAGATGGAGCTCTGTGATGTTATTATAACAGCTGACTTTGTCTGCATCACATTTACTTGACATTTATCATTATATTTCGTCTTATTTACATATGTTTTTAAATTACAGTCTATGGGTTATTCTGATGTATAAGCTATATTACTGTATAGTTTCATCAAAATCCATTAAACAGTAACAAACATGCATCCATACTCACAAACTTTCTCGTTTATAATAGTAGCAAGAAGTGGATTACACAATAAGAGACCTTTGCGTGTCGAGCAGCTCGGCGCGGGTCCTGGAGAGCTCCTCCCCGACGGCCTGCTTGGCCTGTATCTCGGCGTGCAGCGAGGACTGCAGCGTGAGGATCTCCATCTTGTCCAACTTCTGCGAGCGGCGGTTCCTCCACCCGCCCGACCCGCTCGGGGCCGACGACGGCGGCGACGACGACGGAACTCCCGTGCGGGACGCACTCGCTATTTATACCAAATTCAAATATATTTATTCATGTTGCCCTATAATAGACTCTTATGAGTGTCATTAAACAAAGGATAAATGTTGAGGCACTCGATATGACACGACGAAAGTATTATTCATAATATTATGGAAGGACTAGATGGAAAGAGAGGAAGGGGAAGACCGAGACCCCTATATCAAGCAGGTTAAGGAAAAAGTTGGAGTTGTGTTGTATCAACAACTAAAAAGATTAATAGAAGATCGTGGAAGGTGACGGGAGCTCCATCGACAAGAGCTCAGCTCTTAAATTATGAATGAATGAATGAATGATATGTCAAATCTACATTATTTATAGTAACCGAGTTAATAATTTTATAGTAAATAATGGTATTTATCTCTTAGTTTACCCGTGATCACGGCGGTCGAAATAACGGACACTCAATAAAAATATATAAAAAGTGGCAAGATCTCGTGATTTTTCCTAATTATACGTAATATAACTAATGTATATTAAACATGTTTAAAAAAAAATAAAAATGAATAATGTCAAATCTACCGGCAGTCAATTCGGGTCTGTAAAGTTTAACAAAAGTCGCACGTAAGAACAAGCGTTGTAAAATAATTCTTATTGAGGTATACTTAAGTCACATTATATGCCTACCTCGTTTCAAATAATCCAATTCTTCTGTCATCTTAGTAGCGAGCGCTTGTAAGTAACCGCGTGCTTCCTTTTCGTCCGCGACCCATCGTATTATATCGGCAATCTATAATATATTTGTGTAACATTAAATACCGGTTCGATAACCGGCTCAGTCAGGAGAATGAAAGTTTGAGGATAATTATAAATATCCTTGTAAGTAGCTTTGACGTAGTCTAGTATTTTGAGTAGTCATGCTCACTAAAATGTCCAGACATGTGGCGGCGTGGTGGGCCGGGTCATTGGGCTCCCTAAAATATGGTCGAGCGCAGTGATGGCTGGCTCATCCGTCATACTCGTGAACGGGTGCTGCTTGTAGGGACTGGTCTGCTCTAATCACTATGACTGATTTCCTCTTATTAATTGTTTAACCAGTTGGTTATATATTCAATATTTTTTCTATTTGAGTATTTAATTGAATTAGTGCTAATTGGTGGTTTGTATTCACACACTTAAACTTAAAAATGTAAAGTAATAATAAAATTATTAAAAGAGCAACACGCAAGTTTCTTGCTCGTTCTTCTTGTGATGAGACAGCTTTCCGAACGAGCGGTAGATGAAAAAATGTAATGACTATTCAAAAGTGCGTCAATGTAAGTTTATTTGAATAAATGATTTTCTATTCTATTCTATTCTATTCCTTTACTACATTCAATTAAAGAGGGTGAACTTTCTAAAAGAGATCTCTATTCTTTTTCCTTTTTTTATTTTCTACAAAACAACAGAACTCCCCAGTACTACACATGTAGTCCTTCGAGCCGGATATTGATTAAAAACAGACTATTTCTCAGAGTTATAAAATATGATAGTTTTTTACTCGAGTGGACACAGTACCTGAGTCTCCCAATGTTGCATAGTGTCGCGTTTAGCTCTTAGCTCTTCCAACTCCATCTCCATTTGCCGTCGTTCTGACTGCCACCGTCGACCGTTCTCTGCCATCTGTAATAAAATAATCAGATTACAATAGGTTAATAAAGATATTTATCAAGGTTAAATTATGAAAAAATATGAATGAATGGATAGCATATGACTCTATGTGTTTGGGAAACTACGCTCTGCTACCAAAATGTTTGGTAAACTACTCTTGTACGAGCTAGCATCGTACATTATTTCGCAACATTAACATTTTATTTTACATTTCACATTTCATTAAAATCAGTTCGCATTCGGTCATCAAGGACGCCGCGCGTACTCATTACATTCATTAATCAGTTATATTTTAAGTTTCAATATACAGTTTTAATCAAGTTTCTATCAGTATCATTTATCAGTTTTACCTATCAGAATCTTTATAGTTTCGGTACAACCCGAACATTGGTCCTTCGAGCTTTTAGAAAAAGCGGGACCTTTACACGTGATTAGTTCGGTGAACTTTATTCGTGTCAGTGGTTCCGCGCAGCAACCTATTGGACAAAGTACATTGCTACACGTGTTGTGTACTAAGTTCTGGAATAGCAAGGTTCCAGATAACTTCACCAAGCAGAACTATCAAGAACAGCTTCAACTCAGAACAACAACAAGGTTTTGAGTCATCAGTTAAGTATCACAGAGACAGCAAGCATCGTGGTCATCAGGTATCGTGAGAACAAGCTCACGCAAATACCAATTAGTAAGCAGCATCTCTCAAGTAAGATTTATCATTTTATTTTATTTTAATCATGGGCGTAATGGAAGACATCCTTACCAACCAACAGCAGATCGCCAACGCAATTGAACAGCTTTACAGTAATTTTAAAAAAGACAGTACTGAAAGAAAATCTCCAGATTATTTGCAACGTCGGCTAGATATTTTAAGTAGTTATTGGGCAGAATTTGACAATAACCATCAGAAGCTATTAGAGTTGGGTATAGAGAATCATGTATATGTTATTAAAAAAGAATATGAAAGGGTGAGGGGCAGGTATGAGCTAATCAAAACGTATATTCAAGATTATCAGCCAACGACAGCAGATAGACCAAGAACTCCGGTATTAAAGGCACCAATTTTTACTGGTCAGTCGCACCAACCATCGACATCTTCACGTGGAACGAACAGCAGAACAGAAGATATGCTGAAAAAACAATGTGCTAATTTTAAAGCGTTCCAACGTACAATATCAAACATAGACTTAAGTTCAATAACAGAGAAATGGGAGTTCGACGACTTATTACGCACCTTGCAGAGTCGTTGGGCTACTATAGACTCGTTACACTGGGAACTGGAAAGCGAGTTAGAGGGGTCTAACCAGGAATATGAACAGACTTTTTACAATTATGAAGGGGAGTTTAATAAAATAAAGAAGGCACTAAACAAGAAAATGTGGGCGATGGTACACACAGCAAATTCAACCCCTCAGTTGGACATACCTACGTTCCAAGGAAATTATAATAGTTGGGTTTCCTTTAAAGATCTCTTTACGGAGAGTATCCATAATAATCCCTCCATGTCCAACGCACAAAAAATGCAGTACCTGAAGGGAAAAGTAAAAGGGGAAGCGGAAAGGCTTATTCAACATCTTCAGATCAGTTCTGATAATTATTCTGTGTGTTGGGATATACTCAACCATAGATATAACAATACAAAATTAATATTTACATCGCATATTAATACATTGATGAACATTCCATTGATGCAGCAGCAATCATTAAACCATATTAAACGCATTCATGATACATCGATGGAATGCTGGAATGCCATTAAAAATTTAGGAATAGATACTGGAACATGGGACCCATTGTTGGTACATATATTAGCACAAAAGTTGGATAGTGACACATACAATGACTATATGGAGTCATTAAAAAACCCTAGAGAATTACCTATATTAAAAGAATTTTTGAAATTTTTGGAAACTAAATTCACAACATTGGAGACCGCACGTAAAAAACAAGACAACTATACATCAAAAACTAATAGTCAATTCACAAATCAAGGAGGTGCATATTATAAAAATCCATTTAATCAGAAACATAATTTTAACAAAAATACCTTTTCATCAAGTGTACAAAATTCCTCATCAAATAAAAACCTACATGTTAGTTTAAATACTAAATACAACTGTCCAGTCTGTAATTCCAGTGACCATGGAATTTATTATTGTCGGAAATTTTTAGAAATGCCTGGTTACATGAGACGGAAAACAGCTGCCAAATTAAATCTATGTAATAATTGCCTTTATAATCATAATGGAAAATTATGTTTTTCAAATAATAGATGCCGTGATTGCAAAAAAGATCACAATACATTATTGCATCACGCGTTTACCTATAGCAACAAGACACCCGACGCGAACATTACTCCATCGAGTTCAACGACTGCACCGAATTATGTGCAAAGCAGGTCACACGCGACACTAGAACGTGATACTTCCGAAATTTTGCTTGCCACTGTAGCAATCAAGGTACAGGCTGCAGATGGTACATACCACAGAATGCGTGCTCTTCTCGATCAGGGCTCTCAAACATCATTAATAACTGAAAACGCGGCACAGATATTAAAAATACCACGTCAAAGATGCAAGGGGGTAATTTCAGGAATAGGTGATAAGGAAAACAGTTGTAGAGGAGCAACCACAGTAAATTGTTCCTCACTAAACAGCGATTATACATTTCAAACAGAAGTATATATTATGAAAAATCTAATCAAGAATTTACCAAGTTATACTTTCACCAAACCAAGTTGGCAGTATTTAGATCATATCAAGTTAGCAGACCCCGAGTTTTTTATCAGTAAACCAGTGGACTTATTGCTGGGAGCAGACGTTTATTCAAATATAATTATGGATGGTTTATGTCGGTCTGAGTCGACATTGCCAGTAGCACAACAAACACAACTAGGGTGGATTTTAAGTGGCCATACTACAACATATCATAAACAATGTAATGTTATATTACACAACAGTGAGGACATCAGTCGTTTTTGGGAGATAGAAGATATCTCAGACCGGTCAGATATAACGATTGAGGATCAAAACTGTATAAAATATTATCAGTCGACAACTAAGAGGCGGGAGGATGGAAAATATGAAGTGCGATTACCATTAAAATCAGATTATCAAGAAAAGTTAGGAAATTCTAAAAATAAATCTATTGCACAATTTTATCAACTGGAAAGAAAATTCAATAATAACACTCAAATTGCATCCAATTATAAATTATTTATTAACGAGTATTTATCGCTCGGTCACATGACACCGGCGACCACCACAGTCGGTAATATGAGTATCGCTAATTATTTACCTCACTTTTGCATATTACGGGATTCAATTACAACTCAATTAAGAGTAGTTTTTAATGCCTCCGCTAAAACTACAAGTAACTACAGTTTAAATGATGTGATGTATAGAGGTCCAAATTTACAACAAGACTTACAAAGCCTTATAATTAAGTGGCGTCAATATAAATACGCATTTACAGCAGATATAGAAAAGATGTTCAGGCAAATCTGGTTAAATTTAAAAGATCAGAATTTACAAAAAATAATTTGGAGGGAGAACAAAACAGAAGAGTTAAAGGAATATAATTTAGCAACTGTCACATACGGGACTAAGGCCGCGCCATTTCTCGCCATGATGACACTTAAACGTCTAGCGCAAGATGAAAAAATACACTACCCCAACAGTTCCGCTCCACAAATTCTAGAAGAATCTTTCTATATGGATGATCTTCTTCATGGCTCTCATTCTAAACAGAAAGCAGTACAATTGAAACAAGATATGATTAATCTCTTAAAAGCAGGTGGATTTAATTTAAGGAAGTGGAAGTCAAACTTGTCTGAGTTATTAGATCAAGAAAACAACAGCAAAAATCAGGAGAGTTTTAACTTCAAACAAGCGGAGTCAACAAAGACCCTTGGGCTTCAATGGAACCCGGGAGAAGATACTTTTACTTTTAATTCAGCAAGTTTATTACAAGCGACATCTTTAAAACGCACGAAGCGCACTCTTTTATCAAATATATCTAAACTGTACGACCCATTAGGATGGTTGTCACCTGTCACTACAACACTAAAAATATTATTTCAAGATGTATGGCAATCAAACATAAAGTGGGATGAACAGGTACCTAATGAAATTTGGGAGAGATGGTGTAAAATCAAAGAAGATATAAACTCGATAGAGCATTGTAAGGTGCCTAGGTGGCTACATACAGAGGAAAATGAGTGCATAGAGTTACATGGATTTTGTGATGCGAGCACAAAAGCATACGCCTGCGTTGTTTATTGCCGAGTAAATAAAACAATTATTTTGGTAGCCGGAAAGGCGAAAGTAGTACCTTTAAATAAAAACACATCTCTACCTCGATTAGAGTTATGCGCCACCGTCTTACTTTCCAAATTAATTACAAAAATCAAATCAGGTCTTAATAATTGTAATATTAAATTATATGGTTGGACAGATTCGATGGCAGTTTTAGGTTGGTTGCAAGGAGATACAGATAGATGGAAACCATTCGTAGCCAACCGTGTGAAACAAGTCACGTCAATTATGCCATCGTCGTGTTGGAGTTACGTTCAATCGAAAGAAAACCCGGCTGACTGTGCTAGCCGTGGTCTCACTGCATCTCAGCTTCGAGAACATACGCTTTGGTGGAATGGACCAAAGTGGTTACCTACATATCAGCCTACTAAGGAGAAAAATGTAACAAGTTATACAACAAATCAGGAATTAAAAAATAAAAATGTAATGACTGTAATAAAACCATACCCGAAAAACGATATTATAAGCATTATATTAACTAGATGTAGTAAACTAAGTAAAGCAGTAAATATTTTAGGATGGATTTTAAGATTTATTAATAGGAAAAATAAAAATAAGCAACATTATTTAACTATACAGGAATTGAAGGATGCTAGAGAAATAATTATTAAAGAAGTGCAGAGAGAAGAATTTTTTGAGGAAGTGAAAGCTTTAAAAGCAAACAAGTGCTTAAAAAATAACAGTAAACTCATCGAATTCAATCCAATATTAGATGGAAACGGTATACTTCGGATTGGTGGTAGACTGAGACATGCCAATATAGATCTTGAAACAAAACATCCTGCGATCATTCCGAGTAACACAAGATTGGCGGACCTCATGATTGACGAAGCACATGAGCTGACATATCATGGCGGAGCTCGTTTAACAACTGCAATTATGAGGCGTAAATACTGGCTTGTAGGTGGAATTCGAGCTACCAAAAAACGACTACGTCTCTGTGTAAAATGTAGGAGACAAAGTCCAAAACAACAGTACCAAATTATGGGAGATTTACCACCTGCACGCACCAATCGTTCTCGACCATTTCTACATACAGGCGTCGACTATACAGGTCACATATTAATTAAAGCCAACAAGGGCCGTGGTATCAAGACCACAAAGGGATATGTGGCAGTATTTGTTTGTATGTCTACGAAAGCAGTACATCTAGAACTTGTATCAGATTTGACAACGTCTGCATTTTTAGCTGCGTTGCGACGGATGGCGGCAAGGAGAGGCGTACCCCGTCACATTTACAGTGATCAAGGAACAAATTTTATTGGGGCAAACAGAATATTACAGGAGGAGTATAATCATTTAACAGAAATATTTAGCAAGGAGTTCATGTCAGAAGTAACAAACATGGGTATAGAATGGCATTTTAACGCTCCTGCGTGGCCCTCGGCAGGAGGATTATGGGAGCGGTCAGTACAAACCCTAAAATATCATCTTAAGAGAGTAGTAGGCGTACAGAAACTTACATTTGAGGAATATAGCACGGTGCTCTCCCAGTTGGAGGCATGTTTAAATTCAAGACCTCTTTGTCCTATGACAGAAGATCCCAATGATCTAGATATTATTACACCTTCTCACTTTTTAGGAAGTGGTCCCACCTTAAACATCTGTGAAACAGAAAACGACTTAAGAACAAGATGGCATCTAACACAGAAAATATTTAAAGATATCTGGGATCGATGGAGTAATGAATATCTTACTCAACTAGCAGCCAGAAGTAAGTGGAGAAAGCCTCAACAGAATATAAAAAATAATGATATTGTAGTAATCAGAGATGAAAATCTACCCCGGGGAAATGGGCTATAGGTCGCGTAGTTGAAGTGCACCCAGGTAGTGACGGACACGTGAGAGTAGTCACACTTAAAACTAAAAATGGAATTATAAAACGTCCCATTGTTAAAGTATCACTACTACCTGTAAACACAGAGCAGATTGAAAACCAGAAAAATATAACAGAAATTCAGGAATCAACTTTAAAAAACCAACCTAAGCGAGAAAGACGAAAAGGGGTATTCAGCTTATTAACATTAGCGACATCACTACTATTATTCTTATCTATCATATCCAATACACATGCAACATTCAACTTTACCACATTTTCTAAAAATCAAGCTTTATTCTTCGATAAATTAAATAGCATGAAAATCATACGAGATGAATGGAAACTCATTATCTACTACAACATGGAACCTTATTGGGAAGGAATAAGTGCTCTTGAAAAATATACAAAGTCGCTGGAAGAAACATGCAAAACAATACGATATCAAATTCACTGCGACACATTACTACTACAGTTACGCCACGGGTCCAATGAACTCGATTACTACAATCATATGTTGCTCAGTCAGCATTATAACGAGCAGGTGCAATCCGCAAGGCGGCGTCGCCGCGGTCTTATCGACGGTGTCGGTTACATCGCCAGTTCCCTATTCGGAGTATTGGATCAAAGATTCGCCGAAAAGTATGAAATGGACATTACTTTACTACGAGACAATCAGAAAAAATTAACATCATTCTGGAAAAATCAAACATCGATCATGGAGGCTGAGTATAACATCTTAAAGCGAACAGAAAATACTATGACTCAGCAACATAAAATGATAAATCAACATATTATAAGTTTAGAACGCGAAATAAGTACCATAAAAAGTGAGACACAAGATAATTTCATAGTAAATCAGTTTACCTTAGCATCAGTCATTGCAAGCAACTTACTCAGCAATATGAAAACCTTACAAGGTACTATCTTAGATACAGTGACAGATCTCTATCATGGCCGATTTAACCCTCATATTCTACAACCAGAACAATTACAGAAAGAACTAAGCATTATAGCGAGTCATTTGTCTAATGACGTCATATTACCAACAGAAAGCATACATACTGACCTCACTCAAATATATAAATTACTTAAAGTTAAAGCAAGAATGTTACAATCATACCTCATATTTGAAATAAGACTACCGCTAATTAGCAGAGATTCATTCGAGATTTTCAGTTTATTCTCAATACCGAAAGTTACAGGAAACAAAATGATCAGAATTATACCCATCTCAAAATACATAGCTATAAATTTGAAGAAAGATACATATATCACAATGTCGGAATTCGATATAAAATCATGCCTTATTGTAGATGCACATTTATGTTATATTAAAAAACCTATATATCAAATTAATACAAATCAAGAATTTTGTGAATCAGAAAATTCCACTTGCAAAACGATCACTAGCAAATGCGAAAATATGTGGGAAGAAAGCAATGAACTTAATAATTATATTTATTTTTGTTGCAATCAGTGTCAAGTACGAGCAATGTGTGGAGATCACGTTACCGTACATATGCTCACTTATGCGGGATTGAGCACTATAGACAGTGGATGCATCATCAAAACCGATAATTTCACTGTTACATCACATTATCAGCATTCAAATAAATTAAAGATATCACCAGATATATACTCACCCACAGTCGCACCGATAAACCACATCATTAACATATCTATTCCTCATCACGAGTGGAATGACATATCGAATTCGGAAAGTCAGCAACTCACAGAAATTGGAGAAAGAATTAAGTTCATGAAAGAGAACGAACCCGTACTATCAGATCACATAACTTATCATGACGTACATCACTATACTTTAATTTATATAATTATCGCCGTGATGGTGTTAGTCGGCGTAATCTATACATTGCGTCGATTACGCAATTGGAAGGTCCCTTCGACGAGCACAGCATCGCCGACTGTGGCGGTTGGCATGGCCAGCTCTCCCGCGCCCCAACCCCGTGCGATGGAAACAGCAAACAGTGATAGTGTTAGTGAATGTGACAGTGTAGTCTATCAAACTGTCAAAAAGACATTTGGACGTCCTAAATTGTGCGTGGAAAATAAAGCAACTTCACCACATTTTCGTCCTCAATTTAGTAATTAAATTAGGATGGCTTCAGTTGCTATGATAGTGACCGGATTTCCAGTTCTTGGATGGTGGCGCTGCAAGCGGGCGCCTATGGTGCCAGCGGCGGTGGAGCCGGGCGCTCCCCCGCCATCGATCAGTGTTAGTGTTAGTGTGTGTGTCTGTGTAGAAAATAAGTGTAGTGCCCGTGATATCAGTGAATACGAGAGAAAGTGCGCGTGTCTTAGAGCAAAACAGAAGCACATCGTCTGTGCTAAGATCAGTGTACGCCATCCCTAACGCGTGTGTGTAGAATAAGCCTTCGTGTATTGTATTATATCATCTTGTTAAATCATTCGACTTACTAACAAAATCATTAGCATGCTATCTGTAAGAAACAATTGTACATCATCTTGTAAGTAGTAATTAAGGTCACAACCACAGCATCCCCATTCACATCTTCTTTCGCGCCCGGGAATATGTACGAGCTAGCATCGTACATTATTTCGCAACATTAACATTTTATTTTACATTTCACATTTCATTAAAATCAGTTCGCATTCGGTCATCAAGGACGCCGCGCGTACTCATTACATTCATTAATCAGTTATATTTTAAGTTTCAATATACAGTTTTAATCAAGTTTCTATCAGTATCATTTATCAGTTTTACCTATCAGAATCTTTATAGTTTCGGTACAACCCGAACAACTCTGCTACCAAAATGTTAGGGAAATGTCAGTCACGTACCTGTATGGTTCTGCGGATTTCTTGGGCTTGGTCTCGAAGATATCTTCGCTAGCTTTCCAGTTTCACGGTAGGTTTCACAGTTCGTTCAATTTATTTAAGTCACAACACAATGCGCGCGCGCGTCAAGGCCGCTGTACGGTCCGTTTGTTACTAGTTAGGGAGGGGAAGGGAACGCGCGGGAACAGAAAACTAACGGACTCTAATATAATATAATATCTGTGCTTACGATGATACAGGGTAGATTTTGAACACTATGATAAGAAAACAATATGAAAGTACAGCTAGCTATACAGTTACTTACAGCCTCGAGATCCTTGGCAAGCTTCCTGTTCTCGTTGATGAGCATCTGCTTGTCCTCAGTATCCGACAGCTGCTCTAGACGGCGGCTCTCCAACTTCTCTTTGGACGTTTGTAGCTGTTAAATGTTACGTTTAATATCATTAATAGCCAATTTATTAATAATCTAACAAGTGTCAATGTATGTCAGGATAATAATTTGAGAGTTGCCAAGTATCATTTTGGATAGAGACATAATAACGTCACATAACGTCAACGTGATATACGTGTTCATATATATGAAGTGGTCTAGGACAGTGAGGTTTTAGAGGAGCTCCACTAGATTGCGGAATAAATTACCTACTAATACGACCGAATTTATACTATATATGTGTGCGTAGCACACGTGCAATAGCATACCTCTCTACTAAGCACGTTGCGAAGCGCGTCGCCCTCCAGCATCTGATCTCGTAAAGCGGCCAGTTCTGCACCGAACCGCGCCTGCTGTTGCGACAATGATTCCGCATATTGCATCTGTAAACACAATATAGCATATATTGTAATTATGTATTCATTTATTTAATTTCATTATTTGTTATTTTAATCTTGTTTTTTCCTAACACTTTGTAATTTCGATTTCTGTTGCGTTTATTATGCAGTGATGTGATTACAGGTGATTTACTACCTTGAATTACTTAATTACCCTCAAGAAGTAGTGTATTCAAATCTGGTCGACACAATAAAAAATATTAGGAGCTAATTTACGCTTCTGACTGTCTCTTCGCTGAAGGATTTATTGCTATCAAATAGAACATACTAATAGTCGTGACGATAAGTTATAATATCAACTCTTAGTTACGTGTAGATAGAAGTATATGAAATGTGAGTAGTAACGTATCAGAGTAGGAACAAGACAGATGTATGTGTGTGTGTGCAGACCTCGAGCGCCTCCACCTCCTGCTGCAGGCGCGCCACGTCGGCGGCGGCTCCGCCCGCGCCCCCCGCGCCCCCCGCCCCCGCCGCCGCCGCCGCCGCGCCGGCCTCCGCCCTCGCACCGCGCAACGTTTCCTCTCGCAACTTGCGCTCCTACGACAAACCGTCAACAATTAAGCTAAATTATCGATCGATTCAAACGGAGAACGAAATTACGACAGTCTGAGATTCGCGACTTCGTAACTAACGGTGCCCTCAGACTGAGGTCATATCAGACAGACAGGAGTTGATCTTCGGCCGCTTCACAGGTCCTTCCGCGGGTTTGGAGTGTCATCATCACTCGACCCGTTGCTATAAATTCCAAAATTAATTTTCATAACAAAGTTTTTCACTATTTCATACAATTTTACAACTATTTTTTTCAAAAGAGCCTCAAAATTACTTGTCTTAACAATTATAAACAACAAAAAGAAATTTCAATAAATGCCACCATTCTGAATCAATATACTTATATATACGTATGGCAATAAAATATAAAAATTTACCTTAGTAGCCTCTGAGATAGCGGTATCGAGCCTCGCCTCCAGCTCGCGGCGTCCCTTCTCAGCGCGACGGATGTCCTGCCGCAGTGCGTCTATCTTCTGCATGGCTACCTCAAGTTCTTCTTCCTTGTCACGGACCTGTATTAAGAATAAGAATATCTATCTATCTATCTTTGTTTCGCGGAAAACTTAATCTAATGTACAGTTTACACAGTACAGGAAGTGAAATTAACCGATATGGCGGTTGCAACACTGCCAACATATTGGTAACTCAAAAACTGCAATGTAGTGCTTGGGAGACCAGGATAGAATACCCTTACGTCCTTATTCTATTGACCAAGTTACGAGAATGAGATATCCCTGACCTATAACGCCGGCCATAGGGAAATGTAACAACTAGTGCCATTTTTAATGAGGGCAAAAGTTCCTACCAAACCGCCCGCCTTCACGAAGGAATGCGGACGGATACCGTGGCGGGGAAACATATAATACCTAACACAATAATTAGTGAACTCACCTGCTGTGACAACTTCTGCTTCTGCCGCCTTAACTCGGACAGCTTGTCGGACACTTCGTTGTATTCGGTCATCGCCAACTTGCGTTGTGACAATGCATCCTTCAGTTCTTTGTCCTGTTCCCAACATGCATTTGTAGTCAAAACAGATGCTATTATTTGAGTAATTTTACAATTTTCAAATAATTAATTTTCACATAATTTCAAAACTATGATTACAGTGGGCTAATTATGTAACGCGATATGAAATTGTTTCTGTTGAAGTTGTGATGCAATATGAAATCATTTCAATTTAAAAAATGCGATCAAGTAAGGTCGAATGACCGCAACATAAATCATTTCTATCGATAAAACACTACTATGAAGTTGCAGCGGAATATTGTTAATCCGACTAATTTAAAAAGTCAGTACATTAGATAGCTTATACCTTTAGAGGGATACATTTTAATTTATTGGGTTGTTACACTAGTTGGTTGATTTGAAACAATTTTTATTGCGTTCAAAAATTACAAAATATACTGCAGCGTTCACTTGTTCTTTTATTTTAATTTTATTAATAGACATTTAATAAAATAAAATAAAGAAAGTCTATTCTATTCTAATGAAAAAATAAGGTTAATAATTTTGAATATAAAAGCATATTTTATACAAACTATTTATAATCATTAATAATATTAATCTAACCTACAAATTAAATTTTCTTTTTCTGCTATAGATACCTAGCTAAGTACGTAGGTATCCATATAAATTTAAAATGATATGGGCACATCTTTTTAAATTTGTACATAATTGTAAAAACTTTAAACAAATAAATTTATTTACTTTAAACAAATCACAGAGCATCATAAACGTTGTATTCCGTTCACAGAGCACCGTATTCATTGAAATAGTTTTTTAATTATATTAATATCATAATCAACCCTAATTTTATATTAAACATTTACTCTAGTTAATACAACATTCTATGTGATTTGGGACGAAAATAAAATATCGAATTGGCAACACTGATGTCGTGTTGTGAGTCGTGACAATTTTCCCATTTTAATAAATTTAAAACCTTTTCACGACTTTCTACGTAATATTTAATATAATAAAAATATATGTAATACTGAAAATTACCAAAACAAGATAAATAATGCTGCTAATGCTGATATTTTAAAGATTGTAACCAAAAGAAACACCTTCTAAATTGTTTCTCATAATGTAAAAACCGTTTCAATTCCACGCTGTCATTTCGGCAAAATAGCGATTACGTGACGTTGCAACGAGGTTACTAAATCGACATTCGATAGAAATAATTTTTATCGATATGTAAAGTTGCGTTTACGTTGCAATGCTAGTTGACAGCGTCAAATGGCGTCTATATGATCGCATTATTGACAGATGACGTCATTTTCACTACGTTACATACGAAAATCGTTGCGAACGAAGTTACATAATTAGCCCACAGATGTTGTCTCAATCATAGTGATTAACTGGTAAAAAAAATCACAGACAAACAAGCTGACAGTTCATTGAACTGAAATGAATTTATTTGCAGAGTTAAATGATTATAATAATATCCAGGTAATCTAATTGGCAACTGTTTATTCGTCCTAATTTATGGTCATGAAAATTTTATCCTGTGCAGAATTATGAACACTTTATCCTCTGTTTTATTTGACTTAACAAACAACTACAAACTACAGGTGACCGAAATATTCCTATTTAAAAGAAATGAAATCCTATATTATTTGCAGTAATTACTCGTACAAGGAATAGGACATAATAAATAGATTATTATATATAATATTTATCTATACATGTAAATAATCTGTTTGTAATATTGAAATAACCGTTTTTTACTACATGCATATGAATATAAATATGTACGATACATACACCATAATAACATTTTTTACAATTTCTGTCTGTCTGTTTCTGCCGGCTAATCTCCGAAATGGCTGGACCTATTTTGACGGGACTTTTATTGGCAGGTAGCTGAGTAATAAGGAGCTACATTTATTTTAGAAAAATTCTTTTATTTTAGAATAATAAAGTTAAATTCCACGCAGCCGAATCGCGAGTGCAGCTAGTAACAATATAAATTCGTACACACCTGCAGCCTCAGTTTCTCTATAGAGTCCGTTTTATCTTTCACCAAATCCTCTTTCTCCGCAGTAAGATTATTGATCATTGTCTCCAACTCTCGTAGCCGCGCCGCATCCTGTGGTATACCGGTCATTGCTTGCACGTCCTGAGAGTGAGAAAGAGAATTATAGATGTTGCTGAAGGCAACCTTTTTGATAGTTTTTATAAGATTTATATATATTTTTGATTTACATATTTTGACGTTCTGTTATTATGTAGCGATTGTTTTCTAATACGATATTCCTGGCCTTTTTCGTTTCTGCTAGCGAGCTGAATATACATATTTTATCTCAACTAGGAATGTGTCTCATTTTAAACCAGTTTAATACAGTCCTTCCGTCATAATAGACTTCTCCTTTCAGGACCTTCTTACCTTTACATATTCAGACGTATGCATTTTGTTCATTGTCACCATTTATCTCAATGTTTGATGGCCTCGGTGATCTAACGGTTTAGCACACAAGCAGTGTGTATTCGCAGATTCGATTCCACACATCGTACAAACATTTTTATTCATAACTATATATTTATTAAAGGAAAACCAGTTCTTACTACACACATGTGTATTACAGTTTTAAAACACATTAAGCCACTAACAGACATTCACATATTACAACAGATTAATTGTGTTAAATAATTGTGATTGTTAGTATCGATCTGGTTGTTTTTTATGTATCTTATCTATGTATTTACAAAACAAATATTTATGTATTTATAAGTTTCAACTTATCAGTAACCTCTCTCTTATTAAAATCGTTTATTTACCTGTGCAGTTATACCACTGTTGAGTTGTTCGTAACACCGGATTTGGGCTTCAAGGTCTGCGTTCCTCTTTGATACTGCTGCCAGATCTTCCTTCAGTTGGACTAGATCATCTGTTTAATAAATATCGCCATTTTATAATTCATATAAAACTCTGCAATAGTTGTATTGTTATTACAATTTTTTTGTTCGTCTATACCAGTGTTTGCCAAGGTTAGGATTTTTGGTCGGAAGGCTTACGCTCCACAGGGGGCAATTTAAGGGAGGCTAATCGAAAATGGACTCTATTAAAATGATATAGAATGTGAATTTAAATTTTTCATTATACATTTTGAAAATTTACTTACATTAATAATTATTCTTATTAAACATTTCCTAGTAATTTCTTCCTAAAACCTATTATTTAAGTTTCTTAACTGAACCATTACATTTTTAATGTCATAAATTATATATGTTACATAGTAAAAGGGGGTGGGGGCATAAGAATTTTAGAAAGGATAAAGTGGGAGTGGGACATGGGGCACTAAAAAGGTTTGTAAACACTATTCTATATTAATACTAAAAAGAGGTAAAACTTGAGCATGGATGTTTTTGGTACTGCTAATTCTATTTTGAAAATTAGTATAACATTACTGAAGCCCAACGATTCTATATATTTAATTCGCGTGCCCGCGGTTTCAACCGGGTTTAATTTCAATAAAAGATATATGCTATAAGCTATGTTACTTTTTCATGAAAATCCGTTCAGAAGATTTCTCGTGAAAGAGTAACAAACGTCCATACTCACAAACTTTCGCGTTTATAATATTCTAAAGATTAAGATTGTATGAGTTGTACTTACCGGTGGGTTCCCCGCCTGCACGCAATTCAGCGATGGTCTGTGCGAGCAGCGCGTTCTCGCGTTCAAGCGCTTTAAGCGCTGCTCGATCGCCAGCATTGCTTGGCGCCTGAAAATGTACATTAGTAGGTTATATATTTGTGAAATTTCTTCTATAGAGTGCTATATGATGAGTTTCTGAGTTTTTGTGTCGCAAAAAGTTTAACTGTTATCAAATTTTTTGAGACATACAAATTAAAATTTTATCGCTATAAAATCTCACTACATGTGGAAGTGTGTAGTGTGGTTGTATGGATTGTATCGCGTATAAGAACCTGTCCCTGTGCCTTGGTTAGTCGGAGATGGTATAATGTACTGTGGTAGTGGAGCCGGCCGTGAGTAGTGTGGTGTAGTGTGTAGTGTGTAGTGTGTGGTGTAGTGCGCACCTGTCGCGGCGCGTTCTTGGCGGGGCTGAGGGGCGCGGCGGGCGCGCCGAGGTCGCAGAGCCTGGAGCCGGCCGTGAGTAGTGTGGTGTAGTGTGTAGTGTGTAGTGTGTAGTGTGTGGTGTAGTGCGCACCTGTCGCGGCGCGTTCTTGGCGGGGCTGAGGGGCGCGGCGGGCGCGCCGAGGTCGCAGAGCCTGGAGCCGGCCGTGAGTAGTGTGGTGTAGTGTGTAGTGTGTAGTGTGTAGTGTGTGGTGTAGTGCGCACCTGTCGCGGCGCGTTCTTGGCGGGGCTGAGGGGCGCGGCGGGCGCGCCGAGGTCGCAGAGCCTGGAGCCGGCCGTGAGTAGTGTGGTGTGTAGTGTGTAGTGTGTTGTGTGTAGTGTGTAGTGTGTGGTGTAGTGCGCACCTGTCGCGGCGCGTTCTTGGCGGGGCTGAGGGGCGCGGCGGGCGCGCCGAGGTCGCAGAGCCTGGAGCCGGCCGTGAGTAGTGTGGTGTAGTGTGTAGTGTGTAGTGTGTAGTGTGTGGTGTAGTGCGCACCTGTCGCGGCGCGTTCTTGGCGGGGCTGAGGGGCGCGGCGGGCGCGCCGAGGTCGCAGAGCCTGGAGCCGGCCGTGAGTAGTGTGGTGTAGTGTGTAGTGTGTGGTGTGTAGTGTGTAGTGTGTGGTGTAGTGCGCACCTGTCGCGGCGCGTTCTTGGCGGGGCTGAGGGGCGCGGCGGGCGCGCCGAGGTCGCAGAGCCTGGAGCCGGCCGTGAGTAGTGTGGTGTAGTGTGTAGTGTGTAGTGTGTAGTGTGTGGTGTAGTGCGCACCTGTCGCGGCGCGTTCTTGGCGGGGCTGAGGGGCGCGGCGGGCGCGCCGAGGTCGCAGAGCCTGGAGCCGGCCGTGAGTAGTGTGGTGTAGTGTGTAGTGTGTAGTGTGTAGTGTGTAGTGTGTGGTGTAGTGCGCACCTGTCGCGGCGCGTTCTTGGCGGGGCTGAGGGGCGCGGCGGGCGCGCCGAGGTCGCAGAGCCTGGAGCCGGCCGTGAGTAGTGTGGTGTAGTGTGTAGTGTGTAGTGTGTAGTGTGTGGTGTAGTGCGCACCTGTCGCGGCGCGTTCTTGGCGGGGCTGAGGGGCGCGGCGGGCGCGCCGAGGTCGCAGAGCCTGGAGCCGGCCGTGAGTAGTGTGGTGTAGTGTGTAGTGTGTAGTGTGTAGTGTGTAGTGTGTGGTGTAGTGCGCACCTGTCGCGGCGCGTTCTTGGCGGGGCTGAGGGGCGCGGCGGGCGCGCCGAGGTCGCAGAGCCTGGAGCCGGCCGTGAGTAGTGTGGTGTAGTGTGTAGTGTGTAGTGTGTAGTGTGTGGTGTAGTGCGCACCTGTCGCGGCGCGTTCTTGGCGGGGCTGAGGGGCGCGGCGGGCGCGCCGAGGTCGCAGAGCCTGGAGCCGGCCGTGAGTAGTGTGGTGTAGTGTGTAGTGTGTAGTGTGTAGTGTGTAGTGTGTGGTGTAGTGCGCACCTGTCGCGGCGCGTTCTTGGCGGGGCTGAGGGGCGCGGCGGGCGCGCCGAGGTCGCAGAGCCTGGAGCCGGCCGTGAGTAGTGTGGTGTAGTGTGTAGTGTGTAGTGTGTAGTGTGTGGTGTAGTGCGCACCTGTCGCGGCGCGTTCTTGGCGGGGCTGAGGGGCGCGGCGGGCGCGCCGAGGTCGCAGAGCCTGGAGCCGGCCGTGAGTAGTGTGGTGTAGTGTGTAGTGTGTAGTGTGTAGTGTGTAGTGTGTGGTGTAGTGCGCACCTGTCGCGGCGCGTTCTTGGCGGGGCTGAGGGGCGCGGCGGGCGCGCCGAGGTCGCAGAGCCTGGAGCCGGCCGTGAACGTGAACCCCACGAACGGCAGGTGCAGCCCAGAGAACGCCGCGCTCGCACTCGGCGGCGGAACTGCTCCCGACACCCTGATCGATCGACACACACACATTACGTACACTCTCTACACATTTGAACACACGTTGGCCATACATTGGTACAATAGTTTGAACACATATTTGACGGTCCCGCCATAATACATCATCATTTGCCACGCCTCTATCTTATTATTTGACATCGGTGAACTATATTATCTTCCACTCCTTTACAGCTTAATCGAACGATAGGAGGCGAGTGCAGATGCACTGCTAACTCGCGGAAGGACTTATGTAGCGGCTAAAGAGTAACTCCCGCCTGACGGATGTGACTTTAATCTAAAGCCACCGCTAGAGGTTCAAACCTTGGCTCAGGCCGTCGTTATTTCGATCCCCGTTTGAATTGTACGGGATCAAGCAACGAGTCCCTAAATACATGAGTATTCAGAAAGTAATTTAGTAAGTTAACGGGAAAGGGATGTAAAAAATTAAAAAAGGGTTGAAAATGGTCTTTTTTCAAAATAACTCGCTAACGGTAAGACATATGAAAAATAGTTTTTACCAAAAATTTTAGAGAAAAAAATTCTGCTGACAACAGGTCCTCTTCTTCTTCAAACAGGTCTTCTTCTTTATTTTTTCATTATCTAATGTTGTTAAGCCAAGCTGCGGCCAACAGCATTAGAATAGTCCGAAAAAAAAAAACATTCTCCACTCTATTATTTGAAGCTCCCCGGGTCTCGACGAAGTAGGTTATATACCTAAACCCTAAAGGGACGTGTACACACACACCCCATAAAAAACCACCGTCACCATAAGACCACCACAACAAATCATAATTACCTAATGTCGGTGTCATCTACATCGAAGTTGGACGTGTCTGTAGGACTGGACACGTCAGGTACGAACGGCGCCTGCATCTCGCGCAGATTTTCCCAGTCGAGGCCCGCAAACCATGGATGGTTCTAGAAATTATAAAAGTATATTTATTCACGTAGGTCTATTATTCTAATGATATGTCAAAAACTACTGTCAGTTCAGAGAACATTTGATCATTTTGTACAATATCGGCGTAGGCATTGTGGGCAATAGGATGTAAACTGTATTTAGGATATGCGTATGTAAGAAAAAATGGACGACAACTGTATATAAATTTAATAGAACTACCTCGACATATGTTGTCGTACCCAGAGTCACCTACTGGATAGAATTGTGTTTCAAACCATCCAGAAACCTTTGGAATAACATACAAAATTTCATCCGAATCAATCCAGCTTAGGAGTAGTTAAGTGACAAATCTACATACAGAAGAACTATTATAATATGTAACATTTAAAGTTAGAAGGATGTTATATAGTTGTCTAATTATATTCAATTACATTATATAGGCGGCCTCTATAGTCTCTTAGTTTAACGCCCTTATTTTGCCTAATATATAACTTACCTTGAAATCCTGTAAGCCATTCTTTCCTAATCGATTCTCAGATGAACAAATCAATCTTCGGATGAGATCTTTCGCTTCCTCAGATACCTGTAAGAATTAAGATACATTTTCATGTATTACGATGTACTCATATTAATATGTTGGCAGTTGCATTTCAGTAATATGACATTGTTGTGGTTCTTTATATACAGTGATGAAACCACTAACTTGAGGACATTTTATTAGGAACAATTTATAATTCATATGTGTCAAATTATATTATTAGTGTACTATGTGATCAGCTGGTCGAATACAGTGAGTGAGACGGAAATACAAGCGCGCTCCTATTCGTACTAAGGTTTAATATAACCGAGGTGGCGTTCCGCGAGCAATTAACGTGCAAGTATATTGCGCAACTTGTGTGATGCTACAATATGAATGTAAATTGACATGCTGTGTTTTTTTTTTTTATAACTGTAATGCTGTTGGCGAAAGTTGGTCTTTACAGATTCACCGGACGGTAGGAGAGTGCAGATGGCACTCCAAACTCTCGGAAGGACTTAAGGAGCAGCTGAAGGCTAACTCCCGGCTGACGGATACGACTTCAGCCTGAGGGCACCACTAGGGATTCGAACCTAGGCTCAGACCATCGTAATTTCGATCCCCGTTTGAATTGCGCGGGGGATCGATCGGTGGGGCGATCGGGGGCACCGGTGTAAAGCGCCCGGTTGATTGAGCTCTATAGTGTGGTTCATTGGTGTGTAGTGTGATGTAACCTAGTGTAGTGTGGTGTGGCATGGGCTGGCGTGTGGTGGTGAGCGTGGCGGCGGTGGTGTGACGTCACCTGTGCGGTATGTTCCTCGGGCGGCGGGCAGTGGAACGAGCGCGCGTGGTTCATGATCTTGCCGTACGTCTCCACCAACGACTCCGCGTAGAACGGCGTCTCGCCGAACAGCATCTCGAACATACACACGCCTGTGTACAACATAATATTAAATAGATAAACCATCTGATAATTCATATCCATAAAATGATTTTAAAAAAATATTCCTAGGTGTTTGAAAATCGTGCGCGCTTTAGCGTCTTTTTTTCATTATATTCTTAAAGACTTTAATTAAAATCCGTTGCAGAGTATAAAAGATCTAAGCGAACAGACAGTGTAAGCGACTTTATTTTATACTATGTGAAGATTAATGACTCTATGATATCTTTGTAACATAGTCCGCCATTTTACAATAATAATTAATTATTATAAAAAGACGCTAAAGTATTCATAATTGAAGAACGCGTGAATGTGCTCAGTGTCGGCGCGCGGATATTTTTCGATCTCTTTGTCTACATTTACATGTTTATTCTTTCCTGCGTGAAAAATGATTCGCGCGTGAAAGAGTGTACGTATCATCTAATGACTGAGAGGAATTTTGAGAGCATTTTAATGTATGTGTAAATAATAAAGTGCTTACCAAGCGACCACCAATCGCACTCGGGTCCGTAACGGCCCTGTCCGTCCTCCATGGCGCGGAGGATCTCCGGAGAGATGTAGTCTGGAGTCCCTACAGCCACGTTGCTTTGTACCTGACAGTATAATAAAATCGCATAAGAAAATTTTGGCAAAAAAAAGAAAATAAATGTTAAGAGTGGACAACCCTTAGCACTTAGAGGTATGAAAAATAAATAATAGCCGATTCTCAGACCATATTACATATGCATATAAAATTTCATAAAAATCGGTCAAGCCGTTTAGGAAGAGTAGTTATATACTACTAACTAACACTATGACACGAGAATTTAATATATAATATATTATTTATTTTATCCATAAATCCTAAAATGGTGTCACAACAGGGACAATATAAGTCATATAAACTAACAATTTTATGGACAAAAAAGTTGACACATCTTAAACAGTCATTCCAGAAACGGTTAATGATTCATGATCAGGCATCTAATTGGTAACCTCCTTTTTATAGTTGGCGTTTAGCAATGAGGCGGTTATCATTTTAAATTGACAAATTAATGAAAAAGTAGCACAATAATAAAATGATTATAATATTATACATGCATTTTGTTTTTAATATTTTGCGGCCCCCCTCATTGATTTAAAGTAAGATTATTAATTCCAGTCAGTAAAATGACATTTCCAGTGTTGCAGGTTTTTAGTCTCAAATAAATAGTGATGTTGTTGAGTTTTTACAATTAAAAGTTAGTCAAGATTACATTTTTTTTATTCAATATCAAATTGCCTTTATACAAATAAAAATTCTAGTATTAATTCCTCTGAATCTCTTTTTACATTTTTTCCCAGCTTTTGTAATAATGTTATAGTGAGAAATTTTAATATGCTGGTAAGGTCCATATTTATAAAATCGTATTGTTTAATACGATATGTATTAAATATTTAAAATTAAAATAAAAGTCTTCGATACCTAATAAAATAAAGCATGACTAAATGTCTAAGTCTATTGATTGCCGCACATCACTATTGTAGCGGGTCACCCTTTTTTGAATCAGTGATAGTTGCACTTGTCATTTTACTGACTGGAATTAATAATCGTACTTTAGTTATTTTTATTGGCCCTAGATCCTATCTAGTTTGGACAGACCTGCTTTAAACTAATGTTGACAATTAATTACCTTTCCATCATCACCTAACCGCAAACACGATCCGAAATCAGCCAACCTGATGTGCCCACTGGCGTCCAACAGAACATTATCTGGTTTGATGTCTCTGTAAAAAAAAAAATAATTTTAAAACTTTTATTAAGACTGCACAGAACCTATTTAAATGAAATAAATAATTCCATATTAGGGAACATCCATAAATCATGTCATAAGTTATTTTGTCCAAGAAGTGTATAAATTCCTGACTTCAGATTTCAAAATTTAAACAAGTGTTTGCTTGTTAACTTAATCTAGATAAAAAATTGTTAAATATACGAAATATCGCGTATTCATACGGTCACACTTATTTTCACATGTGGCCATTTGTGACATCCCCTTGGGCAGTTAAAATTCATGAACTTCGTGTAACGTTATTTTATGAATGGCCCCTTTCTTACAAAATATAACTAATTGCAAGTTGTTCATGCATGAGATTGTAAATACAATAAGCCAGGAAAATTCATACAGCACCATGTAGTCCCAAACTAAACACGCAATTTTCGTAAACAGGGGTACAAGGTTTTTACTTCACATATTAATATATAGATATTCTTTTAACGACCTGTTTCCCCACTCACCTGTGTACATATCTCAGTTCATGAACACTCTGTATGGCTAGCACCATCTCAGCAATGTAGAACTTAGCCATATCCTCGGGAAGACGATCCTCAAACTTGGAGAGTAGAGTTAGCAGGTCCCCGCCGCAGTAGTAATCCATTACGAGGTACTGCAAGCGAAAACAGTTGTATGGAATACATTATGAATGCAAATTAATTAACTAATAATAATTATAGCCCACAATTTTGCCAGTCAATGGTTTGAGATAAAAACTTATGCTTTTCTTTATTCCAATTGCCATGTATATGTGGGTGAAAAAACTATCTCCGCGTTTATGATATCAGCTGATTCATTTTTTTTTAAATATTTTTTTATGAAGATTTTTTTTTTATTTAAAATCTTTAAAATTATTAATTACATAAGTTTGTTACCATAATATGTCGGATTAAGAATACATTTTCATTTTTGTAAAATTACTTATTATAAATAGTAGTGAACAAGAAAGTAGTAATTTTTTTTTTATTAAAATAAGAACAATATTAGTTACCAAATTGTGTTCGTCTTGGAAGGCGTAATGTAAGTTTGTGATCCATCTCCTATCGCCAAACACGAGCATGTCACGTTCTTCTTGAAAGCACGCTGTTTCCGCCCTCTGCAACAGGAAACCATTGCCATATAGACAATATGCCGTATATAGCTAAGTCTTTATTTTATTATGAAACTATCTGTGCCCTAGTAGAACAGTGACGTTGGATAGTATTTTTAATTATTTAGGGTTTTTTTTTTTAATTAAATACATACATGTAATAATTGATAATCTAATAAAAAAAAAATTAAAAAGTAGTAGTCCGTCTCAGGGTCTTGACTATCTGTGTCGAAATTTTATTTAAATCGGCTCAGTAGTTTTCGCGTGACAGCACGACAGACCGACAAAAAAACAGAGTTACTTTCGCATTCACAATATACTAATAAAAATACGTACGTCCCTATTGGTGTAATTTAATGTATCTTACCTTGAGCATTTCCCATTTGTTCAATATTTTCATTGCGTACACCCTTTCGCCAGTCGTTGTCGATACTGTGCCGCCCGCCACCGCCATGTTGACACCACCGTCTGTTCCCTATTTAGAACATCAAGAAAAAAATGTTTACATTGCATTATAGAAAAAAAACTGCTCTCGTTAACGCGCACGTTACACCCTGGTGTTTCAGGCGTCCATAGGCATACAGTGACAATTTTGCATGAATTGGGCCGTATGCTTATTTGCCATCATCTAGATATATATAACTCAAAGGTGACTGACATGGTGATCTATCAACGCACAGCCCAAACCACTAGACGGATCGGGCTGAAATTTGACATGCAGGTAGATGTTATGACGTAGGCATCCGCTAAAAAAGGCTTTTGATTAATTCTACCCCCAAGGGGATAAAATAGGGGATGAAAGTTTGTATGAAACTTTGTCAATTTTAAACCGATCGGGCTGAGACTTTGCATGCATAAAGCTACTATGACGTAGGCATCCCCTAAGGAAGGGTTTGATAAATTCCACCCCTAAGGGGATACATAAATGCGAGCGAAGCCGCGGGCAAAGCTAGTCATAATATAAAAAAATGATATCTCTTATTTAATAAACCTAGAATCTATGTATATTGTCCCAAAGAACAATGCCGAATGCGGGATAAGGGAAAGTAATTTTACTATATATTTTGTGTTCTTCTGTGGTTATCCGTAAGTGACAATGACTTTTCATTGTTATTATTATTAATGTGAACTGATAATCCCATTGCTAGCAATGCACCATGTCAGATCGATCACGTTGTTCCCCTAAAAACTATAATCATAATAAACTCCTGATGAATTTACCACGATGGGCTGACCTGACTTTATGCTCATCTTATCATCCTCCTAGTGCATTTTTAATTAAAAAAAACTAGTAACTTTATTTCATATTATGTCGTTCAGTCGAGTCTGAGTTCTTCAGTTTATAAAATAAAAGTACATTATTCACCCTTGAGGACAAAGCTGAAAATCAGCGCTTTGTTCCTTGAGTGATCCTCCACACTGAGCTACGTACCAGTTTTGTATTGCTGTAGGTATTCCCTTACTGGGCTGTTATACTTGTTATATAATTTTTTTACATTACTATGGTGGCAAACAGGCATACGGCCTCTCTGATGGTAAATGTTTACCGTAGCCTATGGACGCCTGAAACACCGTGTTACGTGCTTGTTTCCGACTCTAAATCTAATATAATGTTATAATTAAGGCTATATGTGTTAACTAAGATACGAATAAAAATTATTATCTATGTATCTAGTTGGCGTTATAACATACCTGCATAAAAGACGCTCGTACAACGCACACCTCACCAAAAGCCCCGCGGCCTATCACCTTGACTAGTTCGAAGTCATCCCGCGACAGTCGCAGCCGCTTCAGCGCTGTGGCCACTGGTTTAACTAAAACAATATCAAACATTGGTAACTTTAATAACCCTTATATTGCAGATTCTGTCAAACTAAAGAGGAAACGCCTTCACATCCTATGTGGTTGTAGTCCAATCATGCATAAACGAAATATCTCCTTTGGAAAGTTTACACTCTTTCCCGAGGAGATAAAAACCATCGCTCCAAAGAATATCCTTCAATTCTTGTCCCTGACGGGTCTAGGTTGCGAACTTTGAAAAAGGGCGAGCACAATAGATCTCTGTAGGTCGCAGTGTTACAGGTGCTACAAACATCTGGCAATAGCTCAAACAACCCAATAAAAAAAACCCTTATATTAGATAGAAATATAAAGTTGTCGTTCCCAGGTAAATTTTATAAAATTAATAGATCTGATAGTTATGTGATGAGACAGATTTCCGAATGAGCGGTAGTAAATAGTAAAATAATGCTGACTATTCTAAAAGTGCTTAAATTAAGTTTATTTGAATAAATGATTTTCTATTATATTCTATTTGTAGGAATGGGTATCAAATTCTACGAGATACCGATAAACAATTTCGGATCCATAAATAAAACCTATTATTTTTAAACTTTCGCGTTTAGTACGCAATATTAATTAATATATAAGGTTTTAATATAAAGGTTTTAACACAAAAAAAAATGGTAAATAAAGGTGCCTATGGTAATTTCATATGCCTATATACCTTTCAACTAAGTTACATTGGCCGTGGTCGTGAGCTAGCCAAAAATATATAAATGAGTTTGACTTACCGGGTCCATCACAGTAGAAATCGAAATCGCTTAAGTCGATGTCGCATGTCACCACGCAGAATTTACGTTAATCGAGGACCAATCCCAAAATTAAACGATAGTTTAGAAGATTTGTCTATCTTAAATTTAATTCAAACAGAATACTAATACTGAAAATCAGCGCTGCAGTGACACACTGCGGCACCTGCTTAGTGGAGGCCCTTTCAGCTCATAACGCGCGATATTAGCATTCAAGTTTTTCTATATTTTCACTCTGTATTATGTTACGCTGAATAAATGATTATTATTATAATAAGGAAACGAAAGTGCGTATTTCCGAATTAGCTTACAACGGGTGGTGAAAATAATTGAAACTAATAACTGTATTTAAAGTTCTTTTAATATGGTATGATAACTAATTTTATATGACCACAACAACAGCAAAATAACATTCGATTTGATATGTGGTAAACATCGCATATACACTCATATATGTGTCACACAATATATATACAGATAATAATATATCCCATTTCTTTACATACTACGCGGGTACCACCATTCATAAAATGCGACTTTTGTGGTATTGTTCATTCGTTGCTTCTTCATTCTTGAGTTAGTTATTACAGTTAGTTGATATCGCACGCTATATAATGAACTGCATAAGTTCAAATATAAATCTATTGAAAATTCAACCTTAAAGCAAAAAACTAAAGTCAAATTTCCTAATTTTTTATAATCAAGTTTATACAGTTTATAGATACAGAATATTTTACTATCCTACCATTCCTCCCACTCCGTCCCTACCTCGTTATCACTCGACTCAACGTTGCTATTCCACAGAACCAAGATGCCTCTTATTCTGTAATTTCAGTCTAATCTGCACTCTATGACTGAAACAGCTTACAAAGCAATCTGCTTCGCAGCTGAAACTGAAGTCGGGAGACAACTTTTTACGTTCTACCTCTGGTAGACAATGTATCATGGTAAACAACACTCTTTTCTGTGTCGAATATTGCATGCCTCTTACTTGTTAATGTGTAATAATTTATTTAAAATAACATTTATTCAAAAGAGCAAGATATTAGTTTCTTACTCATTCTTCTTGTGATGAGTCTGCGTTCCGAATGAGTGGTAGAATAAAAAAATATGACTATTCAAAAGTACTTGTATTTTTTCTCTATCTCTATTTCCACTCACCATACTGTATGAAGTCAGCGACAGCCTTCTCCCTCCGAAGGCTGCTATTACAGCACTCGTCGTACAGCACGAGCAGCACATCCAGCAGTGTCTCCACACTGAGCCCGTGGCTGCGGGGAATTTGGACCCTACGTGACAGGCACATCGTCTCGATTTGCTTGAGACGCTTGATGCCCAGCACTGCAATAATAAAAATAGGTTTTTAGTGTTGGATATCGACCGCCACGAACTCTTTTGATATTTCTCTTAATTTATTAAAAAAAAGGCTTAAAGAATTATTGTCTGCAAAGATTTATTATACTGTAAAAGACTTTTTAGCAGTCGTACAGTAGGAGGTAAGCAGATACTACAGCAGGCTTAAATTTAAATTACTCCTAACAAGCTAACAAATGGACTTTTGAAGTTTCGATTTTTAGCCTGGGCTCATGTTATTAGGTTATGCGACCGTAAACACTGTTCGATTGGTGCATTTCTAAAGAGGGCGGGGCGTAAAAATAGTTGGGCCAATTAAACGGCGCCAAAGTCAGCACGCGCCGTCCGATTCTTAACGGAAATGTACAGGGCCCTTATAAAATTATTGTATAAAGCATATTACTATTATTTAAGTATGTAGACTTCTGAATATTCAGCTAACGTAACTTTTATCTTATCTGACCTCTTTCTAAAGATGAAGTGTAATGTCTTAGATACAGAAGGTGATACTAAAATACCATATTACATCTACATCCACTTACAGTCTATAGTGTTAGTTACATACATATTTTAATATAGTACGATATAAATTTCATATATTGGTAGTACCGAGTATTACAAAAAATATAATTATTTTAAACAAAAATTTCTACATTGCATGAAACAATATAGTAAAAGGTCTTAGAATCTATCACATGTCTTGTACCCATAATACAAGCTATGCTTAGCTTGGGATTATGTGTAGGTAGGGAAAGACCAAGACAAAAACGCATTAAGCAGATCAAGGAAAAGTTGTAGTCGTATCGTATCGACTACAAAAGAGAGAGATGGAAAATCGTGAGGAATGGCAAGGGATCCACCGACAAAACAGCTCTTAAAATATGAATGCATAACCCATGAGGGATACATAGCCAGGAAAAGAGAGAGAGAGAGAGAGAGAGATACGTCTACAATACTATATGCTTTATACTGAATACAAATAATTTAGTAGCATCCTATATATAGAGAACAATTGCAATAGGTATACAGATAACAGTGATGGAAATCACTTACAGGGCTGATAAGATAACATCAAAGACATATATTGTGGGACTTCCCGGAGTTTCAGGGCCTACATTCTATAATACATATATTTTTTATCGTTGTATTTTGTACAATGGTAGGGTGCACTTGCCCCCATCCGATCGTGAAACGATCGGATGGGGGTTTAAAAGGAGGTCAAATGGAGGATCAGGTCGTCGTAATTTTGACGGCCTGAGCTGAGGTTGGGACTCCTAGCGGTGCTTTCAAACTAAAGTCGTATCCGTCAGGCGGGAGTTGTCCTTTAGCCGCTCCATAAGTCATTCCGCGGGTTTGGAGTGCCATCTGCACTCTCCTCGTAATTCCCTTAACATTCGCAGATTTACATTGGACTGGATGTTCTATATATAGTACAAACATTAGTCTGTACCGTGTATGTACTTACAAGAAAAAAGTATTTATATAAGTTGTCTAGTAGCCATAACACAAGCTCTGCTTCTCTTCGGACTAGATGGCGTTGTGTGAATCGTCTAGTGGCATTATTATTATTATAGACAAAGATACTTTTGAATTTGTAAAATAATTATGGTTTATCTCTTCGCAAATGTTAAAGCTATAATAATAAAATAAAACTATTTGCAAAAAAAATAATATTTAAATATTTCTATAAGTTGCTTAGTAACAATAATACAAGCTTATTTTCAATGCGTATTAATATCAGTGGTTGTTTATTTAGTTATTTATCCAAGTTTAATAATAGATATAGGGATATTATAAACATTGTTTCCTCTATATAGTTTTCCTGGATATGCATCAAATAATTTATTACAATCAACGACCTCGGTGGTGTAGCGGTCTAGCACACCGCTTTACGTCCGATGGTCGCGGGTTCGATTCCTCGCACGGCACAAACATTTGTATTCATGAGTATGATTGTTTGTATAGCTCTGGGTGTTTTCTATGTATAGTATAATATGTGCATCTACGAAAAAGAAATTTATCTATGTATTTGTATCTAGTACCCATAACACAAGCTTTAGCTAGCTTAACTTGGGTCTAGATAGCGCTGTGTGAATTGTCCAAAAAGAAAAAAAAAAAGAAGAAAAATCAGTCTTGTATAGTTTGCGAATTCTCGATCACGGTAGTCTAGCGATTCAGAACTCCGTCTTATTTCCGAAGGTCACAGGTTTGATTTGACACATATGGTACCTACATAAGATACTACAGACAGTCTATTTAATACCTGTTATGCAGAAAAATATTTGCTAATCCCTGTAACCTAGACACAGACATGCTGTAATTATCTGTTTTATTTTTGTCTCATACTGAATGCAATGACTGATAAATGTTGCTTGTGTCAACAATTGTCATGCAATGACACATGATGTGTATATGTGACACACAAGTTGTGTCATATAATTGTCATGTCACATCTTATCAGTATTATTGCAGGCATATAAAATTATCACAAAGAAAAGAAAACATTACAGGCAACAGTACTAGGTTGCCCTTTGAAAAACTGAAGGTTTAAAATGCATGGGATTTCATTCACTAATGGAAATAAATCTGTAAAGTAAAATGAGCCAGTTTCCTCACTAGAGGTAGTTCTCTCAGCAGATTCCCACATCAAAACATGCCGAGGCTTGGTGAGCCATGGGCAAGATATGGATATGAAAGAAAAGTATACTTTCAGATGTCTATGAATCAGACATACAATTAATAATGTTTTTTTTACCGATAATGAATTTTTATTTACATGACTTAATTGTACAACTAAGAACCTAAAATTAAAAAAGCCTAAAGGGACACCTTTTAATAATATATTTTAGTTATTATATTATGTTTTTTAAGCTTTCACATTATTAAAACAATAACATTAAAATATATACACATAGCAGATACAATGTAGTCTTAAATAAAATTAATATTGTATTAAGGATATAAATTAAGAAATAAAAAAAAAATATTTTGATAATACATAAAATGACATAGTAAAACATCATGTAGCAATAGAAAGTCATATGTTTAATTAAGGAACATACTCATATATTAAATGTCTTATAATAAACCTTGTTTTTGAGAATGAATGAAACAGATGCATGTACATATTGGATTGTATAATTTCTATAATCTCAATGTCTTCTATGTCATACATGATAAGCTATCATGTATATAATATAAAAGGGTCAGCAGATTGGACAATTGTCTAAAAAACAGATTGCCAATTAGCAGTATTCAAAAAGAAAAAAATACATGATATATACACAATATATGAAAATAAAAAATCTACTATAAACTTTCTGTTGAGTTCCTTTACTAAATATATTTAAAAAAAAAGTTTATTCATAACATACCTGGTACATTGTTGGTGGGGACCAAGGCCCGATCAGGTGACGAGTCCTCCTCATCAGACATGTTTCACTGCACACACACACAACTTCAATGTTCACACATGACCCACACAATTACACTTATGTTCTATGAGATTCGTAAAAAATCTACTTTTTAAAAAATTAAGGCATGCAGCAATTTATTGTGTCCGTCTTCTGTTCGTGTTCCATTTTCGAATCTGAAAAAAAAAATAGAAAGTTCTTTTTATTTGTGGTAAGTAGGTGTGCCTCATGCTCTGTATGCATGACATTATGATTTCATTGACTTTCAGATTAGCTAGCTAAATCTGACACAGCTGTAGATAGTAGATACATAATACAGACTAATTAATTAAATATCAATACCTAACCAATTACCTACTTCATATTTTATTTATAAATAATCTCTTTCCAAAGGTTGTCTGGAAGAGATTGCATTAGCGATAACACCACCTTTTGTGTTTAGTGTTTAATTTTGTATATATTTTTTCAATCCTTATTTCAGCCACCAATAATAATAATAAATAAAAAAATATATATACATCATGAAAAATATCTTTAATGCTATACCAGAAACTGAATTAAAAAATACCAATATTATACTAATGTATAACTAAGAGGTGAAAACAAATATTTTTGAAATATTGCTATTAAAGATATTTGGAATATTCATAATACATATATATGCAAGAGTAAACTCTGGAACCACTGCCCTGAGTTGAATTGTTGTACATACAACATACTTACATTATTCCTGAACAACATATGCTATATATATATAGCATCTATATAACTATACTTTTTTTCATTATTCTATAGCATTATATTAGATATAGCATCTTGAGTTTTAAGTAAATTACACATTTTCATTACATTTAAACTATTAATATAACTTCTAAATTTAAAAAGACATACATGAACAACTAATGCCATGCACATTAGTCATTTAAGTAATCTAAGTGAAAAGTTATTGTCCATTTTAGTGATCAAAAGAATACCTTTATAAATAGTTGCTTTTATGTGTAGATCAAGTTTGAAATACTATTTTATGAAGGGCAAAACATTTAGAATCTATCATAACAGACTAGATAACTAGTCCAATTGGAATGCTTTTGTTGTTCTAATTAGTGTAACCTTCTGGAAACTGTAAAATTATGTTCAAATAAGTGAACCAATGTTTATTATTTGTTCATCTTTCAGTTTAGTTTACATATATGAAAAATATTGGTTGAATGAACATGAAAATATTTATTATCAAGTAACAAAGCAAGGAGACACTGAAATAAATATTTCACAAAATTTTCAGAGTATAAAGAAATTACTTTATGCTACAAGCTGTGTTAAAGATTTTGTTTACATTACACTGAGTGATTCAGATTTATTAATTATTAAAGATACATATAATTCTAAGTGTAATGAAAACGAGAGTGATTTTAAAATAAATATAATAAGTAAATATTTAATAATAAATAGCAACAAAATCACAATCCACGGTGGCGATATCGCGTATTAATTTAATGTGGTCGCCACTCCCCAGAGGCAGGAAATTAACTAATTTCCCCATTGTCTAACGATTGTATAGACAACGAGTGCTTTCTATCGTTTATTACAAGGTTGCTGGTGTCATTCAATACTGGAGCTCTTTCGCAACCCTTCCAATGAACTTTTATACCTACATTTCACACCAAAAAAAACTAATAGGAGCCAATGACATATCGATGCGTTTCCGTATTGATACTATAAATAAACAATAACATGTACTTGCGTGGGACGGAAATATGATCCAACACAGAATTCAGTTATCCAGTTAATATTGTATTGGTCCGAATACAATAGCAATAGATCTTAACCTAAATATATTCTATCGATTGTTATGCAAAAACATTGAGATGACTCATCATTGGCACTGTAGTCACACAACACACATTTTATATTATGACAATCACCTGATTATTTCGTAATAAATAATTATGCTCGGCTATCAATTGTAATTCATTCTGAAAACTTATTTTTTGAGTCTCTTGAAGCAGACATTTTTACTCAAAGAGGCAGAGGGGCGGGGGATACTAGTGTTGCCATTCAATTAGAAAAAAAACTTCTTTATTGCTCTATTTCTTTTGTTTCAAATGATATCATAAAATAGTAAACTAGACAACATTAATTAATTGAATTGCAAATATTCACATTTTTGATAATATATATTTTTTAAGTATACACAAAGCTTTTACCTGCATGGTTTATTATTTTTAGATATTTTAATTCACAAAAAAATGTAAATACATTCCCTAATTCGAACCATTTCTAACTATATATGTAAAAGGTTTTGAAAAATGTAAATGTGAATATCTAGACTACACAGTATTAATCTTAATAATAATATAAATTGTTTAACTTTATTTTTTATTAAAAAGAGAACGCATCTTTAATTTACCTCTACAAAATATTGCTAAATTCGGTAGTCGTCTGACTGGCAACGATGAACTACCGGAAATAACATTGTAAATGTACGAACTTTCTATTTATTATAATTTAAAATTATCTACATTCTAAATATTAAATACCTTTTCAGTTATTTAAAATTATTTCCTTATTTATTATATATAAGTTTTTCCTCCTATGTCTTTTATTTTCAATGAAAATTATAAATTCCGATCCAAAAAGTATATCGTTTGATAGAGCGTCATGTACGTAATGGAGTCCATGTTCTTTTCTACTGTAAAATAATTATTTAAATTCGATGATATATCACATAAAACTATTTATATTTGTGTTTACTTGGATTGCAGTGTGTGGTTTTATTTGATTTATGGAATATAACAACGGGAATGTGTCTTGTCAACCTTGTTCTGTCAGTGGTATGTATGCCATCATAATATTTTGGAAAGTTCATTAAAAATCCCAATTATATTATTATTTCATGTCATATTTAGTTTACATTAGATAAATCCTACTTCAATACAGTAATATTTGAACTATACATCAATTTACCGTGTCGCTATGAGTTAAAAATCAGAAAGCTTTGTCGCCCGCGTAATTGGGTAGCTAAACTAAAAGGTCACGCATTCATGTTCACTTTATTCTTTCCAGAACGATGTTTTCTACAATATAACGAATGTTGATCATATTAACAAGTTTATGACAACTAAAGAAACGGAAATATAATTCTGTGTCGGTGTATCTGAGTTAATGGTTTGGAGAGAGCATCAGTATTGTGCCGTACCAGATGAAACTATGGCATCAGATCAACCCGTGAAAAAGAAGCAGCGGATAGACGCTCCAGATATAGACGATGGGAGCGATAGGTCTTCGGAAGAGGTGCTCACAGACATATTCGACTCTGAAACTCCTGGTGAGACATCAGATGCATTTCCAGCCAGAAATGGCGAGTCACCTGACAGTGGTACTGTTAGTGAGGATGCTGTGGACTGTTCAGCTATTCTCAGCCTTCCAAACAACTCTAGTGTAGCCCTAATACCAACCTGCTCAAATCCCACACCTCTTTGGAGTTCAGGAGATGATAAATTACTATCTGAATTACGAGTACTACAAGATGCACTTGTAGGTCAGTGTTTGTGTCGGTTTGATGAAAATATTGTTCTACATCTATTTGATCGGCAGCTAAACATAGTGTCATGGCCATTGACATGTTCATTAACATATCTATCCACTATGCAGCTTATGTTTGATATTTATTTAAAACAAAACAACACAGGCACCTTATGTTCAAAATTAATGCAGGCTTGTGATATATTTGTTAGAAACAGGCATGACTGGATTACAGAGGTCATAGATTTGGCTGATCATCATAGTAGATTTGTGACTTTTGTGGCAAGTAGGGTACTAGCGAGCTTTCTTATTGTTTCTAAAGATACTGTAGATGAGAACTGGTTACATCAGATTGCTGAAAATATATATTCATTTGAAAGTATAAATAGAATAACAGTACAAAAAATTAACTTCAGTTTAGACATAATAAAGAGGATAGTTGAGTGGAAGGATGTTGAGCAACATCCTCTGGAAGATAGCAATTATATAAACACAGCTGGAAATATGCATGTTCAAGAAGATAACCCATTCAGAAGTAGTGTTGGCTATGGTAATAGTAGCAGTATAGAAATTCCTTCATCAAGTTCTCAAAGCAATAACTTGCATAATGCATTCTCCAATTTACAAACTCATGGTGCATCATCTACTGGAGAGAGACCAGCAGAAGATAAATCAACAACATTCAGGCTTCATGAGCCTGTATTAAAATTTCCAATGGACCAACCTGTAGATGATATTGAGCAGCCTGGCTCTCCTGAACGTCCACCATCAAGGATAGAACGAGTGAATGAGCATGGTTGTGTAACAATTCTACTGAGGGACTCGGAATCCTTTGACACATCTCATATAAAGTGCTTAACAATCAAAACATTGGAGCACAACTGGCCAGACTTGGTGAAGAACATGAAACTCCTCCTACATACGTACCTGAACTTAGCTAATGTTGAAAACTGTGTTCTCACATTCTTTTCATTATGGGAGAACATTATAAGTGTGAAAGCAAATCTGTCAGTGATTGACACTAAACCATTTTATGAAGATCTGCAGAGTTTTGTAGACTTACTCAGAAATACAACCTTACCTACTCTCATTTACACTCAATTGTTGAGTTTATTCAATGAAGTGCTCTGCTATGGGTCAACATTGGCATTGCAAGATATTTTGCCTGAAGAGATTTGCTGTCTTGCACACTCTATAGTTAGATTTGTGAAAGACTATAGATTGTTAAGTGAAGTAAGAATACAGAACAGTCGCAGTGGTTTCGGATTTTTAGGTCATGAATGTAAAGTAATAAGAGATTATTCACTTGGACCAGATGTGGTGTCTTTGTCATCTTCAATACAGTTAGTAGACCAGACTTATGGAGAGGATGACAATGATGATTCACCACAAATCAGGAATGAAGTAGACAAAACAATGCTGCAAAGAATGTCTCTATTAGTTCTCAAATCAATAGCAGTCACAGTGAAAGAGATGCGATGTGATTCATCTGATAGTTCAATAGATTCATCAGATTATAATGCAATACAGGACATGCAGATTGTGGAGAGATCAATACGTGATGTATTGAGGAAACTTGATGTTTTCATCAGAAATAGCTTGGAGTTCCATCCTGAGACTCCATTTACTAAGATGTTGATACATTTATTTAGCGAACAAGATGATTACCTCATCGAATCAATGGTGTGCACATTGGATATCACTGTGGGTATTGTTTACAGGAATTCCATGTACCCAGACTTGATACCAATGTTGAATCCCATATCATCATTTATAGAGTTCTTAAAAGTGGTATCACATGATAGTGATGTTTTATTGGATTACTTGGTAAGTAATGAGACCTGTTTCTTGCTGTACTTGCTCAGATTTTTGAAGCATGTGAGAAGGAACTGGCCTAAGTTTTTGGAGACATGTCAGCAGGAGGATTACGGGGGTACGAGGGGACTGGAGGAAACAATGAGTGTTCTAATACGATTACGTCTCCAAATAAGTAGACTTGTCTCTAAATCATTATTCCCATACAACATAAGCCCAGTACTCAGGTTGTTGGATGTGTGTGAGAGTTTGTATGAAGGTAATGAATTCAGTTGAGTTTTAAAAACCTCTGTTTTCCTTGTATCATACTATGCATGCCATATTGTTCAGAATTTTTATGAACAAGTGCAAAAAATTAATTTCTTTACTAATAATATGCTAAATAACTTTTTATCAGGTATGTATAAAATATTGTATAATTGATTTAGGTTCATACACAATTTTCATACCACAAAGACTGCCAATCCTTAATTTACATTCCAAATTATCTATATTGATTATTATAATTATTAATAAGTAATTAATTTATATTAATTGTAGGATATTATGATAATTTAAATAATAACACTGTAATTATATGACATTTAAATAATTTGTTATATTGTCTTCCTTTAATGATAATGGTAACTTTATATATTATACAATACATTTGTTTAGTAATGCACAGAGCCACTACAAATGTAATAAAATAAAAAATAAATGCATTATTTTAAGAAGTTATTTTGCTTATCTATGGTCTATGCACTCTTATATCTTCTATGATACACACAAAGACCTACCTTCTTAAAATAAGACATGAAATTTTTTATACAGTGAATATGATTGATATGCCTGTTAGAAGGACATTTAAAATTATATATTTAAGTTAAAGAGGGACCAATATATCTTTACATAGTATAAAATGAAGTTGCTTCCGTTTTGTTCTTTTGAATTACGCTATGGATTTTAATGCAGTTTTCAGCAATAGATAATGATTCAAGAGGTAGGTTGATGTATAACACATATACACCCGTGCAAAAACGTGTAGCTAGTACAATATAAAATCCGGTAGTTGTCTGTATGACAATTGTAGCATAATAATTTAAATAAAATTTCAACAAATAGACTATGAAATAAGGATTATATGTCTAATAAAGGCAAAGAGTAATATAATATATGTATATATGAAAACATGTCTAGCAGTACCTATACATCTATGGCTCAGTACATTACTATGCATAAAGTGAAATAAAACTTCAAAATAGTGCCTTATGATTTACAAAGGTGCTTATTGAAAAATGTGCATTATTGCAACTATTTATAAAGACTAAAATTAGTCGCCATTTGCATTAAATATAATATATCGAACATGTAGGTGTACTTAATAATTAAATAGTAATTAAGTTAGAATTTATTTATTATAAAGCGTCCGTTGTATTATAATGTATAATTAGTGTTGTGTTGATATAATGCGGGTCTAAACGTCTTAAACTATGTTTCATGCCTCAATGTAAATATCGCCATCAATTACCATACTACAAGTAAGTAATGTAATCAGTATTAATACAATATCCTAATTTATATGGAGATCTAATTATAATCATATCTCTTGGCAAACTTATAGAGGTCCATGCTTTAAGAAATTACACAAAAAATTACTTCCCACAACGACCGTAGTTACAAATACCTCCTACAAATTTAATGACTACTCGTCCTTGTCACATTTGTCACATTCCCCCTCCCTAGTGTGACGTCACCTATTTTAATTTTACATCAGAAAACATTTAAATTAACAACATAGTTTGAAATGTGACAGCATAAAATTTGGGTCTTCCCATCCCTTGTCACATTTGAAATAGTTTAATCTGTTTCATCTAATTATATCCAGATTAGAGAAGAGGTAATAACATCGTGCCTATTAATGAAATAATAGAATTAGTATGACAGCCTTTCAACTGTTAGCTTTACAAATAACACGCTCCATCTATGGGACCAATACTTCTCACAGATGGCGCTATAGTGTCCGAATCCAATAGCTGGTTCCATTGCAGATGGGAGTATAAAAAATAAATACAATAAGATTTCAATAAGTTTGCCAAGACAACTAATACATTTCAGTTACGGAATCTATTTGCGATGTAAGTTAGCTTTAAGTTAGCGAATCGCGACAGACTGTTAGGTATTTTACGATTAGATATCCGTTGTTGTTTATTAGAACCGATTCGGTCATGTTTATAGCAAAGTGGGTATTAAGAGATGAGTCAACCGAACCAGTAGTACGAGGATCATATTTTTTGAGGTCACTTCGCGCTTTTGTTTTTGATTCAGAGAGGAAACCGTATTCCCCGTCTCTTTCTAATAGACAGTACTTACGACGAGCTGAGACTATAGGTTGTATCTATCAAGAAGGACGGCCTTCAGTCGCTCTGGTCCTACGTCGAGTTTGGAGTGGCTTCTGCAGTTGCCCCTATTTTTGACCGGTTAAGCTTTAAAGACCAACTGCAGTTGACCTTTACATCTTCAACATAGGAATGCATGTATTAAAATGGTTCGAAAAAAAGAATTAAGCGTATGAATAACCTATCAAGAATTGACACTTGATTGCCTGCAACACTGGTCATCCTCAACCGCCGTTATGTTCTTGGAAAAACCACTTTACTAAAAACATGACCAATGTACATTAGTTATAAGCTGTTAATATCACATTGCGACGTTATCTTGAATCTCAATCCGAATTTGTAATGCCAAAATTAAATCCAATTACATCTATGCACCCAAAAAAGAATCATTGTAATCCAACGCGGCACATCACACAAAAGATACTGACAACGTTCTTTGAATTACCATTTCTACCTTCTGGACAAAGTAGCTACCAAGCTCTCGCGTCAGTAGTAATTTCGATGAGCCGCTCTGAAATACTCGTTAAAACAATTTAGCTTTTGTGCTCCATGTGGCCATTGTCTCCACGGCAAATTGCAATGACAATGACAATATGACAATTATTAACAGAAATTTTGACCACGAGGATTCGAGGAAATTGCCCGTCAAGCAGAAGTTGGCGTCCAACTGCCTCGTAAGTTCTTACGTCCGGGAGTGCACCCCGACCCAATTTTTTACTGGTAGAATTGTAAAGGCCAGCTGCACCCTACAGCATTAAATAGATTAAAAAGTTTGTGAAAGAATCAGAAGTGTCTTTAAAACTACCTCTAAATTTTGATAAAAGTTTTTTCCAATATTATAGTGTGGTTCAGAGAGTATTTTCAGAATACGCATTGATGTTGTAAACACTATTAAAAATTAATGGAAAATTTGGAGCTGTAATGTTTAACTATGGAAATAGACTACTATATCAAAGTCAAATACAATAGAATTAACAGGCTTTTTTGCTACATATTTATGGCATATAACGTCGCTGCCATATGTTTACCTTCAATAAAATTCGTTTTAAGTTTTCACCGAAGTTCTGTACTAACACCGATGGATCTTGCCAATAAAATGTTCACTATTTCTCATAAATAACTTAAATATAAGTACAGTCTTATGTACAACTGATTTGTTTTATTGTTCGTACAGTGTAACAATATCGTAATTTTCTTTTATCTAAAGTCGAACCATGGTATTATCGATTCTGTTGTAAGAATTAACGTAATATTTATTTTAAGTTCAACTATTTGTATTTTTGCAATCATTAAACAATGTTATTTATAATAAACTATTATTATTTTCGCTGTCCTTGTGTACTCCATATTTTAGATATATTAGTTACAGCAAAGTTTCAAAGTTGTTCTAGATCTTTGACATGAATGTAAAAGAACTAGATAAAATATTAACTGACATACCCAGCTTAGTTATCCTGTAACACTTTTGCTGCCACATCTCACCCTTCACACCGGAACAAATCTTGCAGAACAAGCAGCTTAGTGGCTAAATTATAGGTCACCAGACGAGTGAAGACCTACTCAGGTCACCTGTTTCTCAAAATACAATACGAAGAAAATTTTTGATCTACATACACGAACACTAGTAAAATTTCTTTCGCCTACTGTACTAAGTTCTCATGACATAAAACACAGTAGTGTAACTATAACGGTATACAACATCAAGTCAGTGAAGATATTGAAAATCGTCTAGGGGTTATTACTATGAGAACTGATTTGAGAAATCAACCCTGATTTCGTTACGAAGCAATCCAAGGCATCAATACTCGGATATTCTCTGATTATACATAGTATCGTGCGTAAATCCAGTAGTAATAAAGGCCAGTGGCATATCCTTCGGCTCTATCATTATGCAAAAAAACTAGTTTTATAATTTTTTAAACAAAACGTCATATTGATACGTCTGGTTTCGCAGATGGTGTAGTCCCGAAGCATTGTCAACTGCCGACATTTGGGACGAGTCTACCGCCACGCGTCGTCTCTCTGATTATTTTGTGGATTGATATCAGTGTATCTTTCACCAGTCTGTCAGATATATGAAATGACAATAGGCCACGAAGCTTTTTTTTTTAATAAGACAGCATTTTAAAAATGTTAAGCTTCTTCCTGTACTTACTCTCAGATTCTACCTGACAGGTTCCTGTCCATTGATGCTACATGCTCTGCCACTCTATTGTTATACCACTGAATGTCAACTTTGTACAAAGCCCCTTAAGTACATTTAATGGGGTAAATAAAACGGCAAGTTCTCATCAAAGTTTTTGTTGAATACAAAACGCAAACTCTCACAATCATTCAGATTTTACTTTGTACTATTACTAACATATAATATTTACATACTTATGCTACATCTACATTGACCATAGAGTACAAGATATATGCTGGGTCGGATTAATCATGTCGGGACCCCCAGGCCCCTTGTCCAATTATCGGGCCCCTTGTTTAAATAAAAAGTATTGAAATGAGAACTCTCAGTGTAATTGTGTATTATATCTATATATTTATAGAATATACATTTTTTTATAAACAAAGCTTTTCAGTCGTTTAAAGATCATCAGCTCGTTTCAAATTTATTAACTGGTGTGAGTTTTCGAAAGTTTTGTTTAATATAAAATATTTATTTATATTATTATTACATATGTATGTCATTCTATAAGATATTTATAATATAGGCTATTAGTAGCCTGTAATAAATAAGTAATGCATTTATAATATATTTTTTACTAGTCGATCACTATATTATTTCTTTTGCATGCTCAGGGGGCCCTAAGGTAGTTGCCTACTCTGTCTAATAGTTAATCCGGTCCTAGATATTTTTCAGCATTCTACTTCCATAGACTAAAAGTAGCACACAATAAGATGTTATTTGCTATTACAAACTCTATTATTTATATACACAGACATATTACGTTGCCTTGAATTTGGTTATGTCCATTACGAGAAAATTTGGCGCCAAATGTTACTTATGGACGCCATGATGAATGAATGAAAAATGTAGAAATTCGCGAATTTGCTCAATTTTCGACAAGGCATTTCATATCTCAGCGAAAGTTGAGGCAAATATAGTAATCACAAAGCATTATAGGTACAATTGAATTCATAAATAAATTGCGTGAATATTTGAAATTATACCTGTGTGTTTATATTGTTAACGATACAATTAATATAAAGGCGACTGTACCTATATATGTATTACAAAAAAATCACGCATTACATGAAACAATATCGAATACGAGAATAACAAATCACATAAATAATTATTATACAAATAGAAGTATTGAATAATATTTCGTATTAAAATAATACCAAAATTATTATTTTACATTTAATTACAATCTATAGCTACTTAAATACCTAGTTCGCCTCTACTATCCTTGTGAAGCTACATAAGAGCAGTGTTTTCCAAACTGGGCTATGATCTCCCGGAGGTCACGAGTCTATTCTCGAGGAATCGCGGGTAAAATAAAGAAATATTTTTTGTTAACTCCACACAACCGTTTACTACGAATATATAATATAACATAGGTTCTAGTTTTAGACTAAAGTCGTATGGGGGTCATCTGCATTTTACAACATACAAAGGGGTCATGTATTCAATCATTTTGAAAAACACTGCATCAGACTGATTCGATTTTCAGAATACCTAAAATTAATATACACAGAGGTATAAAGATACTTACATATAAAACATCAGGATCAATTCTGTAACGACATTACTCATAAAAATACATTAAACTATAATAATTTAATAGTTAATTTCGATGAAGTTAAATGTATAGATAAATATCAAATCGTAATTACCATACTATTATGCATTAAAAAAACATTTATTATAATATAATAAATCAATTATTATACTCTAATAATAACTATTTATTTTATTAGTCGGGGTTGGTTTATATCACTACATAGTTGCTAAAGTACTCAAATAAAATATGTGTTTTAGAGATAGGTTTCAGAATTGATCCCTCGTTCTAGATGAGTTTTCTGACCTATCTTACTTTATTCGGTAACACAGAAACATTGTATTACTTAATTTAAAAAGTGTGATGTTTGATCCTTTTTAAATCCAGGTAAGTGATTTTTATCATTCCTAAAAGATGCTACATATTAATGTATTGGATATTATCATTATTTTTTTTATTTCTAACGATAATTTAGATTAATCGTCTATCGTTCGAACATTTTATTTATTAAGTATATCGAAATTTAGATATAATTATTAAGTAATACACATTAGATTTTACCTGTTACTTTAAGAAATTATAGGTAATTAACATTTCATTTGGTTTACAGATTTATATGCGTCTATTATTATCCATGAAAAAAAAAACATACGGTAATACAAAATACCGCAGAAAATTATCTATTTTAAACGTATTATTATTAAAAATGTTATAGTACGTAGATGTGGCTACATAGTGCATATAATTATGTATGAAACTGCAGGTCAACCGCGACCTCTGGGAGCTATTTTTTTGTGGAGTATGCTTGTTGACGAACAAGACTCGTTCTTTCACTATAATAAAAAAATGCGATACAATTTTAAAATCACTGATATAAGCGCACCATCTATAGTTGACTGGTAGAAAATGCTGTAAGGAGTTAAGTCCGCCCTATGCACTTTTACCTTGGTGTTATGACCATTGAAGTTATATAAACAAATAAGACGTTTTAGGTTGGGACTTTGTTGTTATCTGAGTTCTTCAACTAACAAAGGGGTAGCGAATACTAAAAGATATATAATAAATAATATACTCTACATGAAAAAAGCATAGCATTTCATATAACAAGACTGAACATTGATACATAACAATGATTACATCTACGATACATGCAATTTTACACATATATTTGTATTGAAAATGTACTTACTTTTTCAAAATTTCTATTATTTTATTACATTGTATTCCAAATATGAAATCTCAATTGAAAGATCCTTATTACATGGAAGTAAAATAAAGTACTTAAATAGTACAGTTTATCGAATTAGATGTTGTTTTGTCCATTTCATTACTTATTGGATTTACAGATCCATTAAGTAGTACTTAAATAGTATTTTTTATATAATGACAACCGTGGAAATCCGCAAATTGTTAGCGTGTGGACGTTATCAACATTAGGGGTTAAGAATCCGAACCAAATTCTAGTCTTTTTGAAAGACTATCTCTCATTCCACATCTTTAGAATACAGTGTAAATGATTTTTACTTCAAAGTCCAATACAGCTTTACAATACATAAAGTTGGGCAAACTACCATGGGTGTGCTGTAGTACTGTATTATAAACAAAGCGTGTTTGCGATATAAGACGAGCGTTATAGCCAAGTGTGACGGATTAATCGTAGTCTCATTCCATTTTTTTTATGTAAATGGAATGGTAATGAAGCTGAAGCTACCTGATGATAAACAGTAACCGTCACTTGTGAAACGCCTAATAAGAATCATGCATTGCCATTGCTGAGTACTGAGATATCATGACTCTTATTCTGTTATTTCACTGCTTGAGTTTTCGCTGCAATAAAGTACTAAAGAAATCGAAAATCAAATGCATTGCCCAATTGAAAGTATTGTAAAAACTATGGGAGTATTATTGCATTAGATTAGATATTTAAATTCCTGTATTAAGATCTCTACACATCAAAATCTTTTTCATTATACACGTTACTTTTAAATTGCTAAATAACATTCATAATTGTATAAGAAACATTTCATTTATATTCATAACAAAACTGCATTTAATTATAACACTATTTTTCAATGACTATTATTATCATATATTACCTGGATAACAACAAACAGTTTTTATTAAAACAAAAAACGGAATATTTTGGAGTTATGTTTAAAAAATCTAATGTCGTAATACTGCATATAAACTAAGATCAATATTACACTGTCAATAGAAATAAAACATGTTTGAAATAAATACTTGAAATTATTCAAATATAGTTCAAATACAGGATTATTAGAACCCAATAAAAAAAAAGATATATAAAGCTATATATGTAGTCGAAAGCCACATGTTTGCATTGTGATTTATATCATGGCTTTGATTCTTGTTCAGTGTTTCATAACCTAAATTGTTTAATATTCATAAGGAAACAGGATTATTAAATTATTTTGGAGGACCCCCTTAATAAACAAACACAATTAATGAGACTTGGTGCCATTAGTTTAATAATTTTAAGTCGTCCAAAGATTAATTATGGACCAATACATTCTTTCGGGGGCCACCAAGGGCACTTAGACTACAGATTTAGAAACACTGCTCTAAGTAAAAAGAAAATATTACCACAGCTACATTTTCATTAACTAGCATTTATTAGATCCAGAATCTAAATACAATTATTATTATTATACAACAATGTAACAGATTATAAATATAAGAAACAATTATTATATTAGGTGGGAAAATATTGAAATCTCAAAATAACATAAGTAAAATAGATCAACGATTGTGTATATAATGTAAACCTTTCTATACCTGTATATTGGTCAGTGAGGCCGTGTTACGTTCGGCATATTAATTTTATGTAAAAAAAAATCACATTTGTTCTCATCTTACAATAAGAAAATTTTGTCTTTTTAAATTATATCAGTAAAAAAATGTGTGAGATATATCGCGTTGTGAGTGAAAGAGAAAAATTGGTGGCGGAGAAGGCCAACGGTAGTTGAAGTTTCACTACTACTGTGTGTGAGACACATTCTTTAAAACCTTTCTCTTTCTCTCACAAAGATATATCGTATACCTCTTCCACACGACAATAACGCTTTTTCGTGACCGGAAAATTTTAATAAGTTTTACTTCCATAATTATAAAATCTTGCTAAAATAGTCCTAGGAACCTCGGTGCCACAGACCCTACGCGGTATGTTACATTATTTAACGCGAGTATAGAAAGGTTAAGAAGAAATATATAACTGGATGCCTAAACAAGCGAATGGCTCTGATGGAAAGTCTCAAGATTATATGCAATGTTATTAATATAGCTAAACAGGTTTTAACTTGAATAATTTAATGGTAAATATGCTCAATCACTAGTACATCCTAGTCGAAACGTCGAGAGGTAAATACCAGCATTTACCCTAAATTCGTGTTAAAACCAATTTAACTATATCAATAATGTGTACTAAACGCGGAAGTATAAAAATTAGCGTCATTTGACGCCCGTGGATTGCATGATGTGCATTGTCAGAAGACTAGGTATTATGCCTCCTTACCATTATAATAATTATTACGTTTTAATTATTAATAATAATATATAAATATTTAATATATAGAATAATTAATATACTATATATTTTAAGAAATAACAGCGCAGTACATATAGTTATTTTCTCTTGTTTAGGCTCTGGCAAGTGCTGCTGTTAGCCATACAGCTATTTTATTGGTAAGAATACGTGATACTGAATATAGGAACTGATAGAACCTTATTACATTATATATACTATTTGGAATTATATATGTACTTCTATTAAGTTTAACACTTTATCTTCTGAATTCATACCTTATAGAATCATTAGCGTTCTTACTCATATAATAAACGCGAAAGTTTGTGAGTATGAAATATTAATATATTATTTCACGGAAAAATATAGGCTATACTTTAAAACTATATAAATTGGGGAAAACATGATAAATGTCAAGTTAGTGTGATGCAGACGAAGTTGCGCGGGTCAACTAGTTTAGCATATAAGCAGTAGACTACAGTGTAGGTAGGTACGTTGACTAGCCGTTAGGAGTTGGCCTTCAGCCGCTCCATAAATCATTCCATAGGTTTGGAGTACCATCTGCACTTACCCCCCCCCCCCCCCCCCCCCCCCCCCATGGTTCCGTGAAGCTGTAAAGCCCAGAGGCCAAAAGCATAAAAATAGTAAAAAAAAAACGCTACGCTTAAATGCCAGGCGAATTCCAGTGAGACAGATATCTAGCAACCGCTTAATCTCGCCATTGTAGTTCTCAGAAGTTAAAGCATTAAAGGTATTTATATAAAATTCTATACTTTAATCTTACCTTCTTATTCATGAAAACGAATACTTACAAATACATTTTAATTAACATCAAATTGTCATTGTTTCACATTAAGAAAATATCTAGAAAGATTATGGCTTTTCAAGTTGATTTGTGTATCTGTAGCACATTGCGTTTTGCGCGGGAAAATAAAAAGACTGCTTTTTTTGACTCATTCTATATATCCAACAGTTAAAATAAATGTATTAGACGTTTTGATAAATAAGAAGGTTATTGCATTTTAACAAGGTACTATTAAAATAGAAATATATATAATCTTTCATTTTTATATCGTCTTATTAGTTTTATTCTTAATTTTATATATTGCTATCGGCGGCAATTTCAGCCTGTATCAAACAACAATGAGTAAAGCATGTAATGTAATTGACATAATGTATTTGTAGCACATATTGTTTAGTCATAACTGTATTCATAATGTAAAATACTCTCAATATTAAATAACGTGGATTTACATATTCTTGATAGTGTAATAGCGTCCTTCTACTATCACTATTATAACTTTACATTCATAACATTTTGTTCATAGATTTATAACAAATCCCATTTGAAACATCTTTTAAATCTACCTATACATCAAATTAACACTGAAATTCACATAAACTACACAAATATCAGTCATAGCGCGTATAGTCTTGAACAACGGTATTCAGTATCTAAACACAACACAAAAACAAACAAACAAACAACGAATAAAGTCAGGTATCGTAATCTTCATCAATCTGCAAGTTGCCTGAATTTAAATGGTCAATATTAATTGGAGGCTGAACCATAGTTTTTATTTCAACTTTTTTTATTTCTTTCGGCTTCGAGTTCTGTCTCGATAGAGGTTTCATTGAATTCTTAACTTCTTTTGGTACAGCTATATTTGCGCCAGCTGTATCTAAAACTTTAATTTCTGGCCTGGTTATGTTTTTAGAAAAGTCTATATTCAATATTGGAGTGACTGGTGTTCTAGGTGCCGTTTCTGGGTGATTATTATTATGCTGTAGATCTATATAAAACATGGGTTGTTTGGGCAGAGCCACTTCTATATTTTGAACTGGTTGTAGCGGAGTTAGGTTGTAACTCGTTGAGGGTTGTGGAGTGTAAATAGGGTTGGCGGTGATAACACTTTTGTGCTGGACTTCGTCAGTCAAAAGTGTCTCTTGGTAGAAATTAGCAGTTCTAACTGGTTTTTCTTCTATCTTCTTGGTTAAGTCTATAGCTGCTTCTGTAGATACTAGGGTCGATGTCGGCTCGCTCTTTGGTATTCTGTTTGGCAGCTCGGTCTCAGAGGATAGAGCCCTTAGGGTCTCCCTTGGAGGTTGGATCGGTTGCACTTTGAAGTCTGAACCACTGGAGCTGTTCGAATCTTGCCTAACTATCCTACGAGGTGGGGCTGACATGTCTGAAAACCTGGAAGTAACATAAATGGATGAATGTTTTTTAGACTTTTTACGAAGTCTCTCGGTAAGATTGCTAAGAAATTTTACCGAGAGACTTTGTAAAAAGTCATTTGCGTGCCTAAGTCTCACCTTTCAGTCGCCATTGCCTCGTTAGCTGATTAGGTCGAAATTTGAGATAAGTCAGCGAAATTACAGCATAAAAGGCATGACATCTTAGTACACATGATGGCGTCGTCGAATAATGCAATAAATCAGTTAAACAGTCAATCTAGTCTACTATCATCAATATTACCAGATATTTCTTTTTCTAAATATCCCAAATCTAATAAACAATATGGTAAAACTAAATTTACCTATTTACTTACTTACATCCCTTTGAATTTAAAACATGATCTACAAGCAAAAATCAGAGCAGCATAAATACTATAGTGCTTAGTGTATATGTGTAATTATTTATTATATATTGCATACCTACACGCCAGATTCCATACAGGGTAGATAGAGAGTACCTACTACTATTGGCGTTATATATAAACACAGATAACATGAGATAAAATGAACATTTTTCTGCTAAATCAGATGCTATCTTTATTATGATATTATATTATGCCATACTTCCTTATGTTTACTAATATTATGAATGCGAGAGTGAGTTTATTTGTTACCTCTTAATGCTATATCGGCTTAACAAATCAGTATAAAATTTGGAATACAGATTGCATATATAACGGAGAAGGCCATATGCTACTTTTTCCAAGGTCTTGAGGACGAAGTAGGCAAATGTTTGTAATATACACTAGCTAGTAAGGGACTTGCTATGACTAATCTAATAAGCACAGCCTAAACTAATTAAAGGCGTCTAACTAAGGCTGTTAATATACAGTCGGTTAGCTGTCAGGTTGTTAAAATATGACAATCGTTCCGAAGACGAAGGGGCATAACAACCAACTGCGGCAATCAGAGTGCAATTTAAACATTAGGCCTAATCTAACCGACTGTGTATTACTACATACCTAACATAAATTACTACATACCTGGATGAGTTAGGCGAACTTTCAGCACTAACGATCTCCTTCTCTTCCGCTGCCGACACATCCGGAATATTTTTTACCTGAAAAATAATAATATATTATTAGTAGCTATATATTTAACTAGTTATGAATAGGCCGCGATTTCACCAGCGCGAAATTTATAGCCTATGTGTTATTCTCATGGAGAGGGCTATGCTCGGAGTTTCTCTGCGTGATCGAATCAGAAATGAGGAGATCCGCAGAAGAACCAGAGTGACCGACACAGCCCGAAGAATTGCGACACTGAAGTGGCAATGGGCAGGGCATATAGCTCGTAGGACAGATGGCCGTTGGGATAATAAAGTCCTCCAGTGACGACCACGAACTGCAAGACGCAGCGTGGGAAGGCCTCCAGAAAGGTGGACCGACGATCTGGTCAAGATCGCTGGAAGGCATTGGATGCAAGCAGCGCCGGACCGATCGTCGTGGATCTTTGGGGGAGGCCTATGTCCAGCAGTGGACGTCTTCCGGGCTGCGATGATGATGATTCTCATGGAAAAGAAACCACACACACATTCAATCTTTACAATATTATGGAATATTGTAAAGATTGAATGTGTGTGTGGTTGAAGAATGTGTATCCATTCAATAGTTTTTGTGTGAAATAGTGAAAGAACAATTAGTTTTTTCACAATTGGCTTGTGATCATTATATTAATACGTGAAGCAGAAACTTTGTACTCCTTTTTAAGAAAATTGCTCGGCTGGAGGAGTATGAAATTACGCACACTTATAGTTTATATAGAGAAGGAGTGCAGAATGCTAATATTTTTTTTTAAATCATGTTTAAAAAATACACTAAATTAATAAGAAATAAACATTACACACACTATCATGTATTTGACACACGCGTATATACCTACTCTTTTTTGTTTAATTGTTCTTGCTGGTTTAAAGATCTTTTTGTATATTTTATTATGGTCGAATTACGACCAATGACCACTAGTATTATTAAAACAGCTCATGAAAATATATGGTATATTTTTGGCTCGAACCCGCTACTACTGGACTGTGAGTCAGTGCGTTTTACCGCAACACCACCAAGGCTGTATCTTTTCATAAACATGAAAACAACATTCGGTCTTATTACAAAAAATCTGTTAAAACTCGGACGAAACGTGGTCTAAATGGTCGTGGTTTAAACCATTCCTAAAGTTAATACTTGGAATAAACCTAACATTATTACGAATCCAGATCTAACAGAGGACTACTTAGTACTACAGTTAAATCGTTCATTATGTATTCCATACAGAAATCAGTCACTCATGTCTGTTAGCGTACAATTACGTTCCGTTTTACCAGAAATATGAAAAGATCAAAAATAATATTACTTCAAATAAAAATGTATAAACTAAAAATAAATTTGTTTCTATTTATCTATGTCTTCATTGTAACTATTTCATTAATATATAATATTTGTTGATGTACTATTAGGCTGAAAATCAGTTTTAAATTACAAGTAGGAGTCCTATACGGAGAAAAGGAACGGCGGGATATTTTTATTGGATCGATTCGACTGGTGACTATTTCAAAGTCAAATGAGTGAAAAAATAACAAATAACGTCTTTTATATATTTTTATTATCGTAAAATTAGCTTTAAATATTTTTAGTTAATATATTTTTAATTTAGTTAAAATATTTTTCCAAAAACTACAACTAACAATAGAATTTTTAAAATGAAGTTTATCTCTAAATCGTGATTCGTCTATGGTCTAAAGTTAGACCTGCGATGCCCCTAGTTAACAGTGGTCTAAATGCAAAAAGTCAAACTCCATTTTAAAATGTGTATTCTAAGTTGTTGTTTTTCGAAAAATATTTTAACTAAATTAAAAATATATTAACTTCATTTTGTAATAAGGAATACATTGGTGAATGGTTTATTACTAGTGCTAAACCAGGTTTATCTTTTTGTAATAAGGCCGATTAAGTTTTTAGCGATATCAGCTCCGTTTATGACAAAATAGTCAACCTCCGCTCGCCTCCGGTTACTACAACATTTTTCATGATACTCTGCTCATATAGGTGTTATAAAGCATGTAGTCCGCGATAATGGGCTATCTAGTCTTGGATATATTCAGTTATATCTAAAACTGTTAGTCTTAAAATATTTTTTTAACGCGAAATAGTAGTTGCTGAGATTAGCGCGTACAAGCAAACAAACAAACTTCATATTTATAACTTACTTCGATTTTTTTGTAAATACATACATAGAAAACACCCAGGCCAATACAAACAATCATGAATACAAATGTTTGCATCGTGCGAGGAATCGAACCCGCGCACATCGAAAGTAAAGCGGTGTACTAAACCGCTGACCACCGAAGCCGTCCAATAATAAGGCAGTATAGATTTGATGCGTAACCATGTAAATAAGAACATTTATTATTTTTATTAAATTTAAGGCTGTGTAGTAAGTTAGTTGACCTTCACGAAGATGTCTTTACCGTATCGGGATGTTAAAAGATAACAATGCGCAATACCTGTGTGCATATACGGCTACCTACATACATAGATATGACGTGATTATTATTAATAATAATAATACTGGACAATTCACATTGTGGCATCCAGTCCTAAACTTTTGTATCTAATAATAATAACCCTGGACTATAAACATCGTCATCTAGTCCTAAGGCAAACAAAGCTTGTGTTATGGGTACTAGACAACTGATATAAATACTTAGATTTTTTTTGTAAATACATTATATAATATACGTAGAAAACATTCAGACTGGTACAAATAAAAATGAACACAAATGTTGGTACCGTGCGAGGAAGCGAACCCGCGATCATCGAAAGTAAAGCGGTGTGCTAAATTGCTTGACATCAGAGGCCGTCAATACATACAAATAATTCAAACTTAATGTTCGTTTTGTAATTTCAAATTATAATAATAATAATATATAGTAATAGCTCTTCCCTAAAAGCATATGAAAGTATTTACGGTACTTCCATCAAGAAATAAATAAAAGGTTTTTGACTGTTTATTTGTTCTTGCTATTCTATGAAACGAATGGACCGATTTTGACTTTCACTCGCATATGGCTCATGTTCGGATCATGAAAATAAAAAAAAATATTTCCATAGGGACGAAGTCGCATGTAAGAGTTAGTATATAGTAAAAAATATTTAAATATATTAATACGTACATTAGAAAACCAAGACAATGACATAATAACACAAACCTATAGCAACCAAAGTGACATTCCAAAAATATACATACAATACAAAACAGTGCTTATGTTGTGAGTACTAGACAACCGATAGAAATACCTATTTAAATATATTTTCTTGTAAATACATACATTATACATTTCAGTAATTGGTAATAAAAAAAACATGCAATCTATTTAAAAATAAAATCTCAGGTAACATAGCTACGTTATCAGTGTATAAGATGGGCTGAGTTTCATTAAAAAAGTGAGAGAATTCTATAGAATCAGAAAGATAGAGCTCTACAATAAATGAACCTCTGAAAAGAAATTTCAAAAAAGAGTCGCAATTATAAATCTTGTGAATAAAAAAAGCATACAATATACCGAACAGCGCTAGAAACTATGTTTCCAGCATTCTACTAAGTTGTGGTCCATATTGATTCTGTTTTGTAATGTATGTAAATTTTCGTTTGTATGTTGTTTTTTTTTTTGTTATGTCGACGAATCATAAAAATCTATTCTATTCTATATACATACCAAATCCCTTAGGAAATCGAATCTAGACTCCGCCAATATGCACTGCTTGACGTGCGACGGACTGAGAGTCTTCGCATTCCGCGCCATTGTCACCTGCTTTGCCTTCGTGAGTAGTGACTCCACAAACAGCTCCAAGGTGCGAGGTGTAGTCGATAAACAGCTTTGAGTTAAGGCATTATGAACGAAAGTGTGACGAAAATGTATATGTGACATAGTCTCTATATATCTAAGAATAAGTATGTAATTAAGGTTATGTCGCCCAAAATAAACACAAAATTCCATTAAAAATAATCAAATTATTTTAGTAATTGAATTTTATTGTAGTAAATATGAAGAAGTGTAGGTGGATAAATCAGTATCTACTATTTCAGTGCTCAAGCAGCTTGTTTTGTAAGACGAACAAAAATAATTATGAAATTGAATAAATTCAATTTAGTAATAATGTATATAGACTTGTATTCATAATCCTTTCCATGTAAATTTTTTTTAGGATTGATATTGACAAAACTAACATTAAATTAAAAAATAATAAAGTTTTGACAGTACTATACTTTTACATAAATAAATCAACATGAAATCATCTATAAATGAATACAATAGAAAAATCTTTATTCAAAAGTACTTTTGAATAGTCATACTTATTATTTTATTGTACTCTTCATTTCGATGAGCGGGAGTGTGTTACTATTTTAAATAATTGTTGTAACATTACATTTTTAATTTAAAATGTGTGTATATAAAATACCAACAAAGTCAGTAACTAAATACGAGTAAATCAGTCGTAGTGATTGGAGCAGATGAGTCTCTACAAGCAGCACTCATTTATGAATATAACAGATGTGCTATAAATATATTTGTATCAGTACACTTATATAAAATACATTATAGGATTGACTCACAATAAATTTTATATATAAATAAATCTATTAGTTCATCAACACCCACATTGTATAGGTATTTCATCTGAAAACAATTGATAACACATTGATATCATTCCTTAAAATATACTTTGCATGAAAAAGGCCCTTTTGTGTACAAGTGTATTAGATTTATAAATATTAAAAAGTATGGTATGTATGATGTAGACATAGACTGGACTGTAGTGAGGTACATAAACATTTTTTATTGCGGAAATAAATCTTGAAAGAAGAAATAATATGGTATATTTTATTATTATTTATGTTACATATCTTATTTGAAATTAATTTATTTCTCATACATAATTTATTTCATTCCTTTCAATATTTATTTCCGCAATAAAAAATGTTTATGTACCTCACTACAGTCCAGTCTATGTCTACATCATACATACCACCAGTCTATGTCTACTTCAAAATTTATCAGAATAGATTTTGGCGACAAATAGAGCATGAAAGGTGAGGTCAGATCAGTTGGTCCATCCTTCATACATAATAATAATATTTTATACAATCCACGGGGAACTACATGGAGGTTAAACTTTGTGCATTGCAAGCAAACTAATATGGACTTAACGCAGGTGAACTATGTGGCCTTATGTCAATATTAAAATAATATAGACATTTCAGAATATTTGCTCTAAAAATCATCACAAATACACCATGGTTTACAAGGAAATAATGATGAAGGACACTAGTATCTTGAGATCCCAATTATGAAGGAGGAAATCAGCAGAATATGTCAGATGTACAAGCACAGACTTGAACATCACACCAACAAACTAGCCCTAAGGATATATAGCCTAAATATAAGATCTCCTATAATAAACAGGTTTCTATTGGAATGGTAAACAAGCTGTTAGCAAATGTGATGGTAGTAGAAGAAATAAGATGGTAGTAGAAAGTAGTAACTGTTGCCTATATACATAACATTATCATGTGATCCATCAAGTGTTTCATTCCAGAGGACTAAGATCTATATCCCTTAACCTCTAATTTCACTACTTAATCTATACCCTACAACCAAAACACAGATTACAAGCGGTTTGGTAGCTAAGGAATGGAATGATTTTGATATGCCACTGGTGGTGTTACATCAATAATCTACAAATCCCAAAACAACATTTTTGTTAATAACTAATCAGATTATATCCATAAGTATGATTGCAGATAGGGGAAAAAAATACTTTACACTTAAGGAGTGTCACCAAATTTAGTTTCCTTCTTGTAAACCTCACTATCAACATTTATACTATCCAATAATAATAATAATAATATTAACATTATCTACACTAAATATGATTTTGTTCCATAAAAGTACAAATTACAACATCAATATTACAATAGGATAGTCAAGGATAAAGTTTGTTAATTGCAAATGATCCCAAACACATCTTACAAAGCTTTACACCTACTTGGCTAATATAGGTGAGAGAGTAAGACCAAATTTGTACAAAGTATATGTGCAAGGGGGGGAGAACAGTAAGTCCTCTAAAGTCCAAACTACTACTCAGTTAACATTTAGCATCAAAGATTAAAAATATACTGCTACAAATGTATATGTAGCTATATATTATTAAACAATATGCATCCAAATAATATTAACACACTATAAATCAAGTCGCAAATAGCTAAAGTTATTAAATATTTACAATTTGAAATAGTAAAGGGAAATACTATCATCATAGTAGATATGGATTCCTGTGGTACTCAAGAAGTCATATTTGGTACTTAAAAAATATTCATAGCAAATATTATTTGAGAACATAAATTAAAAAAAAACAAAATTTTGACAATGATGTCCATTAGCAACGTATGTAATTAAATAAATAATATTTTAGTTTATCCGTCATATAATTGTAATACAATTCGTATCTTATTTTATATTGGTACTTTTATTCTACAAATTTAAAAAGGATATAGATTATGATTGGTACGGCCTGCGCCACTTTCCCCACTTCCTCGTCTGTCTGCATAATCTTCTTAATTCTCCCCTACAAACAAACAAAGTGGTGGTACCACTTTTAGATTCAAAATCGTAGATGAAAACAACAATACATTTTTCCCATTTGACATAGATTAATAGTTCTGATTAACTTACCGCAGGAAACCTTGCATTGTATTTTCTTTTCTTTGAAGGCATGATGGTAATCAGTTCACTTAAACACCAATTAAATAATATATTAAGCTTAATTCGCCATAAGAGTGTGATACTTCTCGCGCATTTTTGAGGTTATAAAAGGGAGACGTTCGCATCCTACTTCATTTATATACCAATTTGACAGTTTGTCCATATCAATAATCTATGGTTTCACCTCCATTTTCTGACGATAATGTTCAGAATTTAGAAATTTGTTATTTCAGACAAAGTAATAATATTGTTGTGACCAAATATGCAATATTCAATTAGTACATCTTTTGAAGTATTTTTACCCGTTCTGTATTACGAACAATTTCTTATGCTACGGAAGCACTCATTAAAAATTTTATAATAAATAATCGTATTTTATTATTTTTAGGCAACTCAAATTCTAGATAGGTACAACGAATAGTAGTTGGTGGTATATTTTTGTAAAAGTCGCGTCATAGAGAAAATATGTAAAGAGTTTGTGTCAATTCATTTCAATATTATTAATAATATACTTTTCTTCCAAAGCACTAATACGTGAAGATGAAAAAACACATAACTATTAATTTACTCTGTGTTGATTGAATTTGTAACGTTTTATCTGTATTAATTATATTCTGTGTTAAAATGTCGTCGTTGTCGAGGTATTTTTATTTCTTAAATTATTTTCCCATATTTAATCTTAGAAGTAAAATAAATCCATTATCTTCCCCGTTTAGTTTAATTTTAATTCTTTTTATTAGGATTATCACCGTATTGTTTCTTTGGTTTACAAAAATCCAATGTTTTTATCGTAAGATCATTTGGTTCTTTAATCTTTTCTTAAATTTAATGTGATTTGATTTGTTTTCAGCCTACTACCGGCTCCCACTCAACAAGTGTGGGACCGTGATGATGAATTCAAAGCCAAACGAGTCGGGAGTGCCCTGGTTGTTTCACAAAGTAGTGTCCCTCCCTATGGACAGAGGAAAGGATGGGTTCCTCGCAGTACGGAAGACTTTGGAGGTCTGTACTATTTGTTTCTACAATAATGTTATTTATATCTTGTATAATAAATAAACCTACGAATTTACACAGTATTTCTTAGTGTTAAATAAGTTTTTTTGAATCACCAAGCACTTTGTAAGCAGTTTTTTGGATGAGATTACGGAGAATGTCTCCTTGATTTTCCGCTACGCATGAGAGTTACTCCAGTGGTATTTAATATTTTTGCCAAAATACAAACACTCAGCTGGGGACTTTATTTTATCATATGTATAGATTTATACACAATTATATAATTATTACAGATGGTGGAGCATTCCCAGAGATCCATGTTGCCCAGTATCCCCTCAACATGGGAGCACGAGGCAAGGAGAGCACATCCAATGCCCTTGCAGTCCAGCTGGATGAGTCTGGGCGTGTGAAATATTCAGCTATTGCCAGACATGGTCACAGTGCGGACAAGGTTTGTTTATAAACTCACTTGTTAGTGATACATGTGGTGAGGTGTCCCTACTTAATTTGTTTTCTGTAGTATACAAGTGTAATAATTGAACTACATTAGTAAGTTTATTTGATAGCATGCTATATGTCTTATTAGTCAGCTTAGTACTTAATACAAAATCATATAGTGGATTGACATAAATGGAATTTTAATCTTAGTTATGTGGAGATATAATCATCGATTTAAACTTCTACTCACTCTTGCACTGAGTCTACTCAATGCTCTTGTTAATCAATTTCCAGAGCTATACATATTTACATGTAACTTGTTGAATTTTAGCAGAATGGCAGTGGATTACTTAATTAATATGTAAATTATTAAGTTATTCTTCTTTTAATTGCTTTAATTTTCTTTAAATTATTAGTATATTATGTTTTTGTTTAATTTTTCTAAGAGCATATTGAGCATAACTGTGAAGCTGCCTTAGTTTTGATATAAATAAATAAACACATGGAAGGGTAGCGAGTGTTGACAGAAATATATATGTTGGCACATTCTATTACATAAAGAAAAGGTACCTGATAACTTTGACATATTATTTTTTTATTGAGGATGAACCTCAGTATTTTTTGCTTATTAATCTATCTTGGGGCACTGCTGGACAAATGTCTGCCCCATTATTTCAATCTTCATATACTCCTGAATAAAAATGCTTCCTACAATAAAAATCGTACCTTAAAGAATTGCAATAAACTCCTATTTAATTAACCTATATTTTCTTTTTAGATCATCTACTCAAAACTCACAGATCTCCTGCCATCAGAGGTACTCGCAGAAGATGATCCATCTCTTCAGAAGCCTGACGATGAAGACATACAAGAATTGACAGAGAAAACAAAGCAAGCATTGGAGAAACTGACGAATGCTAAAATATCTGCTGCCATGCCTGTAAAAGCTGCTCCTAAAGCTGTGAGTTGGAATTTAATGATTTTTATGTGATTGGAATGGCAAACTAGCTGATGGTTCATCGCATATATATATGATCATCACTATGTACATTATTATGCAACCCATGTTACCACTCAGTCATACTAAAGGAAGGTGTGAAGAATGGAGACCAAGATGACGAGCAAAAAGTAAAACGGCACCGTTGTAGTTTTAGAATATTTTTGTATTAAATTGACTTATGTCGTATAAAAACAATATAATATTATAAAAAAACATAAATAATAGAAAAGGTATAAAAATAGTTTGCAACAGAAGGTGTTCATAATTTTACTGCCCTATCTCATCCTTTACTAAATTGTTTCCCTATCAACATAGGCACTTTGTCTCTAAAAAAGCAGGCAAAGTTGTGGGTATCATCTAATATTAACTAAGTTGATGAAAAGTCACAGTGGTATTCTTATACAAGAATAGTCTATGAGACTAGTATGTACTACTAGCTGACCTGCGCAACATCATTTACTTGACATTTATCATTTACTTAATATTTCTTTTCATTATAGCCTATATGTTATTTTAATGTATAAACTATATTACTGTAAGTTTCATCAAAGTACTGTTTTTAAACAAATTTTCGCATTTTGTAATTAGTCTTTTGTACTATTCATAGACAATATCCATCATTGATGTATCGTTAGAACTCAATATTATCAAGCGCGTTGATAGTACCCCATGTTTTAGGCGCCTGCGCAGTACATCAGATATACACCAGCGCAACAGGGCGGCGCTTTCAATTCCGGCGCCAAACAAAGAGTTATCAGGTATGATGTACCTTTTTTTATGTAATTAGAATGGTAACCAAACTTACGGCCCATCTGAAGTCTGTCTATTAATGGTAACTGTCACCTATATACATGAACAGCACTACGACATCAGGTTATAATGTTATGCTTGTGATGTCATTCATGTGTTGCTATTTGGAGTTCTAAAATGCTGTAATAATTTAATTATAACTGCCACATCTCACCCTTCAACCTTAAATTTAAATAAATGTGTATGTTTAATCAAATTGCTCTATTTGGGACAGGCGCTAGCGCGAGTTTGATCTTCGCACGATACAAAAAATTTAACTCATAAGTATTATTTACGTTTCTGTATTACAACAAAATGTATTAATTGATAATATTCTTCATCAATTAGTTTATTGAGTCAGTACCATAATACAATTTGTCTTTAGCCTGGAACTAGACAGCTCAGTGTAAATTAAAAAAAAAAACAAAGGTTCAGCAGTGAGATAGACATAGTTAATAGTTGGGCATGTGTGGGTCAGGATGGTGGAGGCGCAGGTGGACCCGATGGAGCCGCCGCGGTTCCAGATCAACAAGAAGATCCCGCGCGCCGCGCCCTCCCCCCCCGCGCCCGTGCTGCACTCCCCCCCGCGGAGAGTCTCCGTCAAGCAGCAGCGCGACTGGAAGGTCCCGCCCTGCGTCTCACATTGGAAGAACGCCAAAGGTAACGTGATATACAGCCACAGAGGGCATTGTTAATAATATGGTCTAACAATCCCATTTCTAGCAATGAACCATGTTAGATTGTCGTTCACGCAGTCCTCCCTAGAAAACATCATGATAAATTTCTGGCGAATTTGTCACGATAGACTAACTATTTGACCTGACTATACTCACCCTATCTTCATCCACTAAGTATACACATAAGTATATCAGACGGGGGCACCAAACAATTATCATCCATTATAAAAAATATATAACGTCCAGACCTATGAAGGGAGGATATTTTTTTTTAACAATGTAATTCTATACCAATCTTCACAAACTAAATATTACTAGTATTACTAAATAAATTTTGCTCATGATCCAAATATAACAATCCGAAATACTGTTGAGTGTAACGTGTATGCATTGACATTCCAGAGGAGTAAGATGTTATGCCTCTTATCCCGTTATATTACTGCCTAAAGCATTGCTTTAGAACCGAAATACAGCTAAAAAACTTGTTTGGTGGCTGAAATAGTTACAGAAGCTTTTTACAGGCTACAATCGCAAGCTCGTTTGTCTCCTATACTATATGAAAATATTTTATACCATTTTAAACAAACAGGTTACACCATACCTCTCGATAAGCGATTGGCTGCGGACGGCCGTGGTCTTCAACAAGTGCACATAAATGAGAACTTCTCCAAGCTAGCGGAGGCGTTGTATATAGCTGATAGGAAAGCAAGAGAGGCGGTCGAAGCTAGAGCACAGTTGGAGAGGAGATTGGCGCAGCGGGAGAAGGAGAAGAAGGAAGAACATTTGAGGATGCTGGCGCAGAGGGCCAGAGATCATAGGGCCGGTGAGTTGTTTCGTTTTTTCTTATAAAGGAATAGTGATTCTATTCTGGTTTTGTTACATGAACCACTTTTTATTGATGGTTACCTAAAATCTTGAATTATCAATCTATTCCATTTTTATAGTGCAATTGTTGTTTATGAATAGTGCCCCTTTGTTTGCAGGTATCCACGGTCCTGAAGACGGCGAAGGTGCAGGTCTGGGGGCATCAGTGGACGATGTCGCCGAGAGAGACCAGCTGCGAGCTGAACGGCATCGGGAGCGACAACGAGACCGGAATCTAGCACGAGCCGCACCTGACAAGAGGTACCTGTCAAAACTATACACTATATCAACTAGTTCGCTGTTTATATTATGTATATGCGTAGTACAGATTGTCATCAGTATAGCGTATTTGGATGTGGTGTATGTGAGTTCACGAAATGAAAACTCAGGAGTCCTTATCACGGATGTAATACGTTATTCCTACATTACATGGAATACAAGACTGACTGGGCAGGGACGTGCAGTAGGTGCGCTATGCAACGCGATGTAATATGATTATACTCGTACTTATACTGCATGTGCATGCTATGCACACTAAAAAAAAATGCATAGATAATTTTTTGTCAATATTTGTATTTGTATCCGTTATAGCTTAACACAAGCTCTGCTTAGCTTGGGACTAGATGGCGCCGTGTGAATTGTATCCTGACATATTGTAATTTTAATACATTTTGACGGTACTACGTGTAACTTAGATTTATGTATTTCCAGATCGAAACTAGTGAAAGACAGAGAGCGTGATATATCCGAGCAGATCGCACTCGGTCTTCCGGCCAAGACCAACCAGTCCGGCGAGGGCATGTTCGACCAGCGACTATTCAACAACAGCAAGGGGATGGACAGTGGTCAGTAGCAGTATTTATTTAATACTTTTTTTTTAATTTACGTCCTTATCCTTTCAGCTGTTAGCTGTTAAAATAACATTAACGTCTCATCTATAAGACCAATTACAGGACTTCTCGCAGATGGGGCTATAGTGTCCGAGGCAAATAATTGGCTTGGTGACTCTTTAGTATCCTTGAGACGGGACCACAAGACAGGGTCGCCAAAGAACATGTTGGAAAGATGACATCAACCTGACTCTGGGACCATTCTGGAATAGGGTTGCAGAAGACAGAGTTCAATGAAGAGAGCTGGAGGAGGCCTATGCTAAAAGGCTCACTAATTTGCGCTACAATTTATACATAATATACTCCAATCTTGGGAAAAGGCTTTATTATTATTGTTATTATAATCACAGACTAAAAAATTGTCTGCATGTGTACTTCAGTCTCACATATTTCAGTTGCTAAGCAGCTTGGTTTTTCTTCTACTGCTATGGTGGCAAGCATACGGCCCATCTGATAGTAAACTGTTATCATAGCCCATGGAGGCCTGAAACACCAGGGGTGTACCTGAATATAGCCCAAAACCATCCATAAAAAAAAATTATAACTGTATTCCATATCCACCAAAACCAGGACAACAAATCCCCTCGGGGAGTTGGAGTTTCCCTCTGCCACACAATGGACCTGGCGCCTGCGGTGAATCTATAGAATGCTAAGAAGTTCATCTCAGATTCATCAAATGTAATAATTTTGCAGGATATGGTGATGACGAAGCGTATACAGTCTATGACAAGCCATGGCGTAATCAAGATTCTGTGGGAGCACACATCTACAGACCGACTCGACACGTAGACAAGGACAATTACGGTGGAGATATTGACTCCATAGTGAATCAACGCAGGTTTGATTGCACTTAAGTCTAAGTTACATTGCTCTTTTTTGTTCAGACTACTCTAATGCTTTAGTTATTTTTAATCTTTCGTGTTTAATATATAATACATTATTTATATTGTTAACCGGGTCTTAACACCAATAATTGTAATGTAAACTAGCTAGTTTACCTTAATACAGTAAGGTTTAAAATAATACTGGGTGAGTAGCTACTCACCCCGTATTATACATTTAAACCTTTCTCTTGAATCACGCTATCTATTTAAAAAAAAAAGCTTTAAAATCCGTTGCGTAGTTTTAAAAATTTAAGCATACATAGACGGACAGACAGAGACTGCGACTTTGTTTAATACTATGTAATGATAAAGGTATTTACCTTTCTCTACGTTTTTTTATACTACTATGGTGGCAAATGTTTCGACTATATTGCACTAGCCGTAGTCACGAGCTGACAGGAGTAGTTTCTAGACGTTTCGTCTAGGTTGCGATTGCCATGGGAGTAACAGCGATGTATGTATATATCGGTAGGTGCGCACAGTGTTTTCTACTACCGTCACTAGATTCGAGTTAAGACCCGTCTAATATTATAAATAATGTATACTCTAATGCTGTCGGTCGCAGCTGACATTTACAGCTTCACTGCAGGATGGCGGGCGAGTACAGCAAATGGCACTCCTCACCCGCAGAAGGTCTTATGGAGCGGCAGAATTTGAAATTACCGACAGACATTTTAAATTTTATTTATTTTTATAGATATGATAATTAATCTGTTATTTTACTGCATCAGGTTTGTAGCAGATAAAGAATTTGCCGGTACCAGCAGCACCAACACGAGATCAGGCCCCGTGCAATTTGAGAAAGACGCTCCCTCTAGAGATGACGCACCGCCGGTCAGTATAACAGTTGGTTCATATAATTGCAGTAACAATATTCTTTTTTCCTGATTGTAGATAGCAGCCCCGGATCTTATTAATAACGACGGATAACTTGACCAATGACAATTATATTTAATAGATTTGAAAATAAAGATATAACTGTTAAAAAGCCACAATAATTAACTGCAATACTAATTGGACAAATTGTATGTTAACATGTATATTGTTGGCCATAAGGAAGGGCGTTTTTTAATTTTTGCCCGCCTCGAAATAAATGAAGTTTCGAGGCTGCTAGATAGATAGGTAAGATTTTTATTATTGGCATACAAGGCTTAATACACAATTACAATGGTCAGTTGACAAAATACAATGTAGGTACAAATGTAAAAGCGTGGAGGTAACGTAGTGTGTGCATCGCCCATACGCAAAAAACGCAGCACTTCAGTGTAAACCTTCCTCTTGGATAACTATCTATTTCTAAAAACTGTATTAATATCCGTTGCGTAGTTTAAAAGATCTAAGCGAACAGACAGCGTCGGTGACTGTTTTATACGATGAAAAAATGGACATACGTTATCCTGTGACATCTATAATACTACTCATAGTATTGCCAGCCTGGAGTACTAAGATGTCATGTACCTTATAATTTTATTGTCTTATCACACCAAACAACATAATTAAGCCCCAATACACACAATGCTAACGATCTATTTACATAACATAAATTAGTAAATCGAATTATTTATTAATCGACAGTTGTTAGTTCATATTGATAAAACTTTAATTGCATATGATTTGTGACAAACAAACAAATTATTTATCTTTTTTCTAATGATGTTTGGGTTATTGTCAAGTGCTGTAGACCTACGAAGATCTATTGTGTTCGCCATTTTTCATAGTTACCTAGATCAGTCAGAGACAAGAATTGAAGGAGATTCTTTGGAGCGATAGTTTTTATTTCCTCAGGATAGAGTGTATACTTCCGAAAGGAGATTTCATTTATGCATGATAATTATATATTGTGGGCTGCAACCATATAGGATGTGTAGTGGCGTTTCCTCTTCAGCTTGGCAAAAACTGCAGATTTTTGTTGAGTATAGCCCTAATGATTTATCAATCTCACTAATAAAACTTATGGTACAGGCGCGTAATCAACCGGATGCAGACTTCGATCCGTTCGGTCTGGATCGGTTCTTGACGGAGGCTAAACGCGCAGACAAGTCTGGCCGTAAGCGTGACCACCACGAGAGGCATGATCAACACGGGAAGAAGAGGCGGGACTAGTCAATTGGTATGAGCAACTTTAACCTTTTTACTGAACTGCACGTCTATTCATTGAAGTCGATTTCAATACAATAGATAAATATTTTTTTTATTCTACAATTACAAATATACATGTTTGAGTACAGAAACAATAAATGTACTAATAAAACAAATGGAGGTAGCTTTATGTGCCGCAAAGGTGAATAGGTAACTAACTTGCCATAAAGCTACAGATAAATCTGTAATCTACTGTTGTTATGACATATAATTAAACATAAATTGGTTCAATGTATAATTCAGGAGTATAAAAAGGTGTCAAATAGTACAATCATTTGATCTGAATTAGTCACCCGAGTACAGTGTCAGACAGTCTGGAACAGCAAACAAACGATATTCTATTCTTTAATTCATTTTGGCCCGGCTTTGGAAATATACTATTCGAAAATTTTTGTCACGGGCCTTGGGACTAAACCTGATAATGTGAACACAGATTAAAAAATAGTTTAGAATTAAAAAAAAATAAACTCACGTCATATTGTAAATCATGATGATATGAGCTGTGTATATTTTTTGTTTCAGACACGAGATACCATATTCCAACGCACGATTGTTACTTCCTAGGTGTAAGATTAATAAATAGTAATAAATTCGTTTTATATTGTATTAGCTAGTTTTAATTAAATTTTGGTAATTAATAGTTTAATTTGAATACTTACGCCCCTAACGCATAATGAAATTGGAATATATTATAATGAACATAGTCTACTTTTTATTACACTCAATCTTGCTCTGTCTGTTCTGGGATTACTCAGAATAAACTCTGATCATGTATTCGAATTGATACCAGCAGCTGAATTCGATATTCGCACAACCAACTAGAAGTACCATCATATAACATCCTCATCTCCTAGATAAATTACCCATTACTGTTATCCAGAAACTTATCACGCACAACCGCATTATGGAATCACCTCCTAACTTAGGAATTAAACAACTGTATTGACAAACTCAAGGCAAAATTTCTTCCTTCTTAAAAAACCAGCAAACCACTTGAAAATCCCCTCATGTTGCGGGGTGTTTATGGGCGGCCGTAATAACATAGATGTGCCGCTAGCTTGTTTGCCTCCTACGTATAAAAGCAGCGAAATCACAAATTGTCTCCTACGCTATAAAAAACAAAATGAATCGTGGGGAGAAGCAAATTTGTTACAAGATACATACTGACCAAGTGTAGGAAATGTGGATGGAAGGAACAATGCACTAATTATTATGCGTAGGATTTCTGCCGCCAAGAAAACTGCTTTTATAAGTTGTATTCGGCTGAAGAGATAGGCAGTGATTTTACAGCATATAAAATGACATCTTAATCCTCCGAAATACGAATGATACCGTCACACATGATGACGAATGGCTGTGTTGCTGTTCATATATATAAGTGATGAGTATTCTGTTTTTTTGCCATTCCATTTAGATACATTTTTTTTTAAATAATCTTTGAAATGTAGGACTTTTGTAGGAACTACAAGTACATGCTAGTCCCATTGTACCCAAAACTAATAACTACTGACTATAACATAGGATAAAAGGTAGTATGTCTAAAGAACTTATAGGCCAAAAGCTCATGTCTATAAGTTTTTCTGCGGGTTTGGAGTGCCACCCAGTCTGGCAAAGCTGTCGTCAAGGCCAGCTGCGGCCAACAGCATTAAAGTAGTCCGGAAAAAAAGGTTAAAAGCTAACAGGAAATGAAAATAAAATTTTCAATTACTCACAATATTTACTGCAGTAACAATACTTGTAACATACATAAAAATATGCAGAAATTAAATACAACGAGCATAGTGGGGTACGCAAATCCAGAGCCACAAGTGCGTTCCCAGCGCGCAGTGTAATATCAGGCTTCTACATAAAAAAATAAACTGTGTACCTTCCACTTTACAGCAACCACTACTATAACTGATAATTAAAAAAAGAGTATATTCTGCCCATTGCACACTAGTTAATATTCTTTAAAACTTATACAATTATTTGGGGCAATACGCCAAAACATTATAAATTCTGTTACTTTTATTGGTAATGCAAAATCCAATTTCTGAACGCGATCTAAACAGATGGATACACCCATCTATAAGGCCCCTGGAGAGATAAAAAAATAAATCCAAAACATTCAGAAATGGATTATACCCAAACGGGAAGTAACCAGCTGAGAAGGCTGTTCTAAGCATCAATACGAATTAGTTTTACATATCTCAAGAGTTACAAGGCAATGGGCCAAAATATTCAACATTATGCTTTTAGAAACATTTGGTTACATCATGCAATTAAAACTATCTCATATATATCATATAAACCTTAATACAAATGCATCCGCTATGTTTATTAAGTTTCTTGAACCAGAACTTCTCGATTCAATAATAATATAGATGTGCTTACAAGGGTAATATTTTGACTATTGGCGATAGCTATATATAGTTTATTTTTCTATATTGACAGTGTATTAAATCGCTTAGTGTTAGGACACTATAAATTATGACGTCATTTGGATACTTAGTGCGTTGCGTGGTTTGGTCCTTTGAGCCAGGACTATGCAATCGAATCACCCATGTAAACACATCTTAGTGCAACTGCGGATAGCGTGCGACCCCCGCAGTCCTTTTTACTTATTCTTCAAGATGGTGGCCCTTAGTTTCTCGACGTTGGCTCCGGAGAACTGTTCCAATATCTTCTTGTTCTTGACGAACACGAAGGTGGGCATGGTGTTGATGTTGTACTCTGTTGCTATCTCTTCACACTCGTCAACGTCCACCTGTAATTAAAAGAAATAACCATTATTCATCAAGAACGTAGCGCAAGGGGGTGAACTATTTCAAATTCATCCATTAAAAATATATCTAGTGACCATTCAGGAGATAGTATTGGAGTGAAATGGGGATGAATGGTGAATATTTATTCTGAAATAGTATTGACAATCGTACGATTTAATACAAGCCGACAGAACAAACATTATGACCTAAACTCCAACTGTAGATATAGGAGCGGCCGGTGTGACCCCTGGGTACAATAAAAGTCGCAAACATGATATTGGAGTATCATACATTTTCGGGTAAACATATCTATACCATCGTTGATGTCCTCGGTGTTCTACCGGTTTAGTACACAGTTTTACTTCCGATGGTCGCGGATTCAATTACTCGCACGGAAATACAAAAATTTTTATGACTGATTGTTGCGGTCTAGGTGTTTCCTATAAATAGTATGTTTAGATATTTACAACAAAAATTATCTATGTATTTGTACCCATAACACAAGGTCTACGTAGCTTGCAACTAGATGGCGCTGTGTTAATTGTACAGGATTAACGTTATGTATAGGATCATATCTATATCTTAGGAATGTTACATTATCAAATATTATTATTAAAGCTAAATGAAATTGTCATTTATGAAACTGCGATTAGGGATGCCCCGATACCTACTCATTTAAGTAGTACTTAAATTACTTGTCGATACCACTCATATCAGTACTCCAAATTGTCGATACGTTTAAGGTATCACTGTACAGTGTAATGCACATGATTTTTATAGTTTGTCAGGTTAAATTAATCTTTACTTAATATCAGTTTCTGCTTCTTATAAATACATGTTTCGTGTCTATATTTTGACGATTTAAATAATATTATCATGGTAAATATCCCATATATATGTGTACAATGGTAAACAACTCAATACTTTTGTTTCAAGTACTTTTGGTATCCAATTCAATTCAAACAGAGAGCGAAATTACGACGGCCTGAGCCGAGGTTCGAACTCCTAGCGGTGACCTCAGACTAAAGTCGTATCCGTCAAGTGGGAGTTGGCCTCCAGTCGCTCTATAAGTTCTTTCTTTGGTTTGGAGTACCATTCCTGACGTAGTTAGGTAACCAAGGGCCCTGGGGCAAATCAAAAAACTACATTACCAGTTTTATTAAAACATATCGATATCAACCAACTACAAACCAACCGCCATCCCACAGAAAGAATTTAGGGGACATCCGAACGTATAACTTTCGAAATTTTCTCAACTGAGTTGCCATGATTAAAGTCGGGTTGCAACCTGTCATATTTATTTTGAAAATGGGAGAAATTTTCCAAAGTTCTGTTCGATCGAGAATTTTTGGTTGAGGGGCTCGGGGTACTGCTACTAGGTACTAGGTTAGCTAGCTATGCCACTGAGTACCATCTGCACTAAACGCTGTTAAGTAGTTCGAAAAAAACATTTTTTCTGTATTCTCGATGTTATATATCAGGACCTGTTAAATAATATTACCCGTAATGCTGGTAAATATCCCGTATCTTTATAATGTTACAAAAGTATCAAGTACCTACTCGTGTCGGAACTAGCAATCGTTACCAACTCTGCTTGGGTGCGAAGTAATATTAAAATACAGCAAATGTACTCGCTGATATTGATATATTATATAGTTTTTTATGTATGATATTTTTTAATATGTTAAATATATTCTAGTTTATTTTTTATACAATTATTTACAAACAAATTAATAAAATTAAATCAACGCGACGTAACTTTGTTGCCTACAGAAAATATTAATAGGCTCTTATCAATTGTATAGAAATTCCTAATATAGATATGTTGTGGTTATCAGACTTATTATGATTAAATTATCACATTGACGTGTTTGAAACAAGTAGCACCATTCTAAATTACATGGAATTTATATCCAAATTATTATTTTTAAAAAGTTACAAAGTTTTTTTTTACAAAATAAACTCATATAAGATACTACATGAATAAATTTTATTATGTAAATTTAAAAGAGTAAGAATATAATAATAGCGTCGTAGTTCAATTAATAAATCAATCGTAATAATATCTGCAACATTTTTATCATACAGAGGAATCGCTTCCTCTTCCACTTTCAACTACCTACCTATACATGAAGTAAATAGTTAAAGTGAACGTGCCTTGAAATACTAGTTCATGCACGGGATTTTCACTTAATGTTAGACATAAACACATACATAAGTGTACAATGTATAGAAACAGGCTATTAAAATCAGTTGAGTGTCTTAGCAGTTCTTCTCAATTGAATCCATAACTGAACTGGATGCTAGGTTAAAAATAATTAATACAAAAAACTAAATAATTATAAGCTAAGAATATTTTTTTTAATATAATACCGTCAATCACTATTAAATTACGGCATGATGCAACGCGCGGTGTAAGTAGAAGCAAAATATATTTGAGTCACAATGTTAATGTCAATGTGTGTGTATAATTCAATGTTAGCAAATTGTTGGAAAATTGTGACTCAAGAACATTTAGATCATTAAACATTTATATAAAACATCGCGTCAACATATTTGTCCGGGATTCTTTTTTTACGAATTACAAGTCAACAAACAACATATATCTAAAATTATCAATATAATCTTGTAATACACATTTGGATGAAGTCTGACAGATTTTGGACGCGGAGATTTCATATCTGCGACGTGACCAATTTCATGCAAACGATATCTGTGATTATAACTAACCTATACAGATCTATCCTTATGAAATATGGAGTATAGAACAATATGGGGAGTGTTGTTGTTTGTCACAATTATTTATTAGACTATAATGTTCTGTATACAAAAATATATACAGTAAAATTTTTAATAATAAAAAAACACAATATATGAACTATAAAAGTATGTGGCCAGTACGTAAGCAACATGGGGAAAGCGACTGTCATAATAAAATATTGATTAAATAGAAATAATCTTATATTTATTCTACCACTCATTCGCAACGCAGACTCATCACTAGAAGAATGTGCGAGAAACTTATGAGTTGCTCTTTTAAATAATCGTTATTCTAAGAAAATACATAATTACAAAGATTACACATATGACAATCAAGATAGAAAACGCTACGCACTCAATCGTTGTGCAATCAGATAATATTGTCAGTGGTATAAAATTCAAGTTTAACTTTTCTACAAAACCATTATATAATTTATAAACTCTTCAATTTTGTGATAAGCTTTTTTACGTAAATGTTTTTTAAGATCCTTTTTTTCTGGCAGATTTAGAACAGACTAGAAGATTGTTTCTAAAACCTAACGCAATTCCTATAAAATGAATTACTAACTAGTCAAACGGCACTTACATAGATTTGTTTAGACATATAGACACAATGACGCGTACTGCAGAGTATTGTTTTCAATGTCGTTGGCTGATGTCATTGAGAACAGAAATAATTACCGCACGCTTCATATAATATTGTACAAGTTATACTATGACTGCCCAACTGTGATGTAGATGCAGAATATACAGATATGTATACTAGTGGGCTGCTCCGGCTTCGCCCGAGTGACCGACACTGGTCATGAAAACCGCGCCTGAGGCTCCATCATTCAACTCCCCAGGGTGACCCCTTTGCCCTGTCATCAACTCCGGGGGCAAAAACCCCCAGGTAGCTGGATATAAGGTTGCCCACCCCCTCAAATGCTTAAATTCAGCTACCTAAAAAACTAACAGAAATACAATTAAAGTAGACTCAACTTAATTTCGCCCGAGTGGTCATAATTCGTGAGTTTCGCATACAATAACATAACTAGTAGTTCGATACTTAAAATATGGGACATGGCACAAAAAAAGGTTGGAAAACACTGGTTTCATTCATCATTTTTGAAGCAAGAACGATGTGTTGCATGTCTTAGCTGTAAAATAATTATCCTAAATAATTAAAAATATTATCCACATATTCGCGGGTACAACTAGTACATAATATAATAACATAAATTTTTGACTTGATAATTATTCCAAAAGTGGCATTTCAAAGGAAACCCCTGACGAAATTTTCTATAGAAACACATGCATACAGCATAGGATTTATTATGGGTTTTTAAAGAGCCCGCTGCGTGACTCTCCCAGTGTTTTAGACGTCTATAAGTATTATAACAGTTTACCATTAGATAGGCGTATAAGTTTGACACCAGTGTGGTAAATAAAAAAACAACTTTATTCTTCCTCTTTAGAAGTCCGAATATAGACTGTGGTATAGATATGTGTGGTCAGATTGAAGGTATCTTGAGTATGAGTACAGTGTAAATAATATTAGGGAGCATCCCCGGCAGTAATTAACTTCTTGCGTTATACTGCGCAATTGACGAGTACTCTTGATTATTGAATCTCATGATTAGTTATTGAACTAGAAGTCCATGTTAAAAATACAGTGTTCTCATAATACTATTCGAATTTATAGACGCCTAAGTGGTTTAGCAGTTACACACCGGTTTATTCGATGAAAAAAAAGAATATTCTACTAGTTGTGTAGCACCCTAGTAATATAAGTTCTGCTTAGCTTGGGACTAGATGGCGCATTGTAAATTGTCCAGGATTATTATATTGTATGGTCATATGTATTTTGAAGACAATGCACACACTGTTTATGACGTTTCTGGCGACATTATTTATTTATTTAAAATAACATTTATTAAAAATAGCAACACACGGTTACTTACTCATTCTTCTTATGATGAGTCAGCATTCCGAACGAGTGGTAGAATAAAAAATATGACTATTCAAAAGTGCTTGTATTGAGTTTATTTGAATAAAGATTATTTCTATTCCAATTAAAAGAAAAATGAACTATCGTGTGTATAGAGTAGCGTGCAATTGCTGGCGATAAAACCAGAGAATTACCACAATTAGCGACTGTTGCATGCAATCGCTGCACAGAGCACTAAATAGGTAATCGCCGGTACTAAAAGAGCGTGTATTCGGAACCTTCATATTAAAAAACTAGCTGATAGCTACTCGCGACTTCGTCCGAGTGAAAATAAACTGTTTTTAACTAAAATAAATAATATTTCTAAAAAATATATCCTTCGTTACTCCTTCTAACAATATCTAAGGTATCTGCGAGTGAGGTCCCGTCGAAATCGGTCACGCCGCTTCAGAGATTAGAAAGAACAAACGGTCATACAAAAATAAAACATTATTTTTCTGATGTAAACTTGAAATTAGAAACAGCGTAATTCAGCAGTAGCAGTAATTTCAGCGTAATTAAACAGCGTGCACCATTCCATTATCTTGAATAAAAAAAAATATCTACAACTATAATCTACAAAGATGCATGAGCCTAATCATAAAATCAATAATAGCTCTGCACTTAAAAAAAAAATAGGTCGTTTGACAATATACCACGCCGTCGCCACGTCACTGTTTCATGTTAAGTAGTCATTATAAACCAGAGTCATTCTAAACCATGGCCCATGTGTAGTATGCGGGCCAGGGTTTATATTTGTGCGACCCGCAGTTTGCTCTTGATCTATCATAAATTCGTGGGAGACGACGTTGTTTCTTTGCCATTGTAATGACAATCAAGCAGACGGCCCACCGTTGGTAAGCGTTAACCGTAAATAAAAATGAACAGCACTATGGATATCATATCACGTTATCATGTGGCACCCGGGACACCACTTATGTGTTGCCATACCAGAGGACCTAATCTACAACTGAAACACAGCTTACAAAGCAAGCTGCTTGACGGCAAAAATAGTTCAGACTAAGGTTTCAGACGATTTTTTCGTCTACCTTTGCTGTAATGTAACACAATGCAAAATATCATATCTAGAAAACAACCATTTAAGTACAAAAAATATGCTCCAAGTAATTTCTAAACTACGTATATGTAATGTATCGAATATAAGCAGGTATATCTGGGGGCCGTAAATTTTGTGGCATGCGTTTGCCCGCGTTAGTAATTGGCTTGAACAGCTCTGCATCGCACATTTGTTATCTTTGAATGATAATGATGAGTATTTTATCAACGTAGCTGTTTTATAAATGGATGATAAGTCTGACATTTTATTTTACCTATTTGCTTTACTATGTATAATATATATCACTGTAAGTTGTAAATGGTAAAGGTACCATCAGATCATTATTCAATGAGTCGACAAAATAAATTGTAAACTTTAGATAGATAATATAACAATATAATATAATACAACATTTACTAGATTAAATCAAATTAAAACTATATTTATTCATATAGGATTTTTCGGGCTCCTATGCAAGTCATAAGTTTTTACTTACAAATATGAAGGATTTGATTTCTGTACGTTTGTATTGAATAATCTATATTACAAATATTACAAAGTGAGAGAGGAAAACGTTACGTAGAAAGTCCCGAAACTACTGTGCCGTTTTGAACAATACATTAAATGTTAGAAAGGTACAGTATTACTATGTTAATATATACTAGTCATAAATTTATTCGACGGCGTCTGAGGTCTAGTCACCTACGTTTAGATACCTTACTTCTGATGGTCTCGGGTTTGAGTCTTCGCACAGTACAAACATTTGTATTCATGAGTATGATTATTTATATCCGCCTGGGTATTTTCTATATATCTATATTATGTATTTAAAAAAAAATGTATTTGTATCAGTAGTCTACTACACAACACAAGCTCTGTTTAACTTTGGACTAGATGGCGCTGTGTGAATTATTATTATGTGTATTTTTTTTACTTATTACAATTTTCATAGAAATAAATATGAAAATTGTAATAAGTAAAAAAAATATATAAATACAAAACTCATAAATTTATGAGCATCAGAGCAATGCCAAGGCAGGCTTGTACTAGTAATGTATGAAGTAAAAAACTTTCTTGCCTAATTGTAAAACTTCTTTCAAAAGAAAGCTTTTGTAGATAGTTATTATTAGTGAATAACGTGAGCTGTATTTTAGTTTAAAAGAAAACTCTATTGTAATACCACCCAAGCGAAACCGAGGTTTGGTAGTAATTACATACAAGGTCAAACAAAACTAATGCTCAACCATTTCAGAGGTCAAATACAACATGATACCGATCTAGCGACCACGGCTAACAATTTACATTTGGGAATATTTTCTTGTAGGTCGAGAAGGGGATTGTTAGTCATGTGGATTAATGAACCCATTGCTAGCAATTACCATATCAGGTTGACCTCCACGTGTTTTCCCTTGGAAACCATCGAAGTAAGTTCCTTGTGTACTTGTCACGGTGGGCTAACTGACCTGACTTACTTACTGAGCGCATAACGTTAGCTCAGTTAGGTGCACCATACGATGAGTTTCAAGGTGTTTGTGACTAGGGTCTCCACCAACACGCTTACCACCTTCATGAAGGAGGACTACTGGCCAAAAGGGGTGGTGTATTGGCGCTACCATGGTTGCTTGCCGTTGTCAGTGCCGTGACCACAGTCAATTTATATTAATTTCAATATCATTTATATGTATTTTAATAATGTATTTATAATAATACCCCTATACAATTCACACAACGCCATCTAGTCCCAAGGTAAGAGAGAGCTATGTTTTAAATACTTAGATTTATTAAATACATCTAAAATATGAAAATCATCTTTAAATATATATCAATAATATATAAGTATCTGTTTTAAATATCTTTAAATCATAGATGATATACATAGAAAACACCCAGAACGATACAAATAATCATACTCTTGAATACAAATGTTTGTACCGTGCCAGGAATTGAACCCGCGACTATCGGGAATAAACCGCTACACCACTAGACCATCCAGACTGTCAAATTAATAATTAGTAGCCTAAAATAAATAAATAAAAATACATAAAGTACATACTTTGACTACGACAATGGAGTCGATCATCTCGTTGGCGATCTCGTCAAGCTTAGGCCCGACCACCTTGCAGGGTCCGCACCAGGTGGCCATGAAGTCGATGACGACCAGCTTGTCACCAGCGTCTGCCAGCCTCGTGTTCAGGTCTTCGGAGTCCTTGATGTGGATCGACATGCTGACTGCAATGAAAATAACAGTTAGAAAAGTTTAAACAAAATAGAAATAATCTTTATTCAAATAAACTTAATATATCCACGTTTGAATGATCTTTTTTTTTTTTATTCTATTACTCACCCGGAACCTAGTATAAACACATTTGAATAGTCACATTTTTTTATATCACTCATTCGGAACGTAGTGCGTCATACAGGAACTTTAGGGGCGGGATGGGGGTCGACGAAGTGCGACACTATGATAAAGGGGTTAGTCATAAATTTCAAAGCAAAAAAACACATATTATAAATAAATTGTTTACTAATAAATTTTAATTTGAAATTAATTTAGAAATTACTGTTTGTAGGATATTTTGTAGGTGTAAAAGAGCCCCAAAATATTTATTAATTTGTGAAAAAATACCCCCATATCATTCTTAATGATATTACCCGTGCAAACCCGGGGCGGGGGACAATATATAGTTTACTAGCTGTCCCGGCAAACGTGGTTTTGCAATAAAATAAAAAAAAAATTAGGGAGATGAAAAATAGATGTTGGCCGATTCTCAGACCTACTACTACTACCTACGCTCACAAAATTTCATGAGAATCGGTCAAGCCGTTTCGGAGGAGTATGGGAACGAAAACTGTGACATGAGAATTTTATATATAAGATTAGTATACAATATTCACACGCACAACGGCCCAGATGAGAGTCTAAATGCTGAGAATAGAGTCCATATTATATTAATATACCCATGTAAATCGTTTCCAAAAAACAGCAATATTCATAATATTAATACTAGATTTAAAGACAAACTTGCTGTCCCCAAGTATCGTTTAGAAAAAGTCAATAGGTCTTTTATGGGAATAGGTATAAAAATTTACAATAAGATACCAAAGGATATATTGGAATTACTCTTAAATAAATTCAAAACATCTGTTAAATCATATTTACTGAGCAAGGCCTAACTCACTAAACGATTACTTGAATGACGAGCGTGCATGGCAATAGTTTTCATGTTCGGGATTTTCATTTAATGTTAGACATAGACACCTATATAAATGCATTGTAAATAAACTGGATTTAAAAAAAAAAAGTAATTCAATTGAGTTTCTTGCCAGTTCTTCTCAGTTGGATCTATATACCGAACTGGACGGTAGGGAAAAAATATTCTAATGTAAAAACTTGACGTTCATAAGCGGCTAAAATGTCCTACATGAATAAATGATTTTTGAATTTGAATTGAATGTAACCGTATAAAGTGCAAGATCGGCCTCCATTCATATTTTAGTGAAGAATATTAGTCGTATGTTTTATTAATTTGGTTATTTTTGTTGTTACAAGGTTAAATCTAATTGTAATTAACTTTTTTGTGTGATTTTGTAATATATCTAAATTTATAATAGACTAGCTGTGCCTGCGGTTTCAACCGCGTTAAATTTAAACATAAAATATAGCCTATAATGTGTTATTCTGATGCATAAGCTATATTACTGTAAAGTTCCATTAACATCCGCTCAGCAGTTTTTGCGTCACAGAGTAACAAACATTGATACTGACGAACTTTCGCGTTAATAATATTATTAATTAATTAAGTTGTATATATGCATTAGTTGAGAGATTTTTGATTAGGTACTGGTCGATTGGTAGTACGGTTGACTGGTAGAGAATGCCATCAGGCATATATACAATATTGTGTGCAAAAGAATAAATAAATATTTAAACTGTTATAACCGTCATAAAATCACAGTGGAGTCTAGACAGAAGGCACGTAAATGATTAACGAACACTGCAGCAAAAACTCAGTCAAGGCCTCACAATAAAAGCAATCAATAGACCTTGTGCGAAACAAAAAAGGCCTGACGGTTAGTAGGTTCTATGTTGTTTGTACACATTTTGTGTATCAGATCCAGTTGTAAACATTAATGTGTTTTTATTTCAACCAACTTCAAAAAGAGAGGAGTTGTAATGAAATAAAATTTATTGATCCACGAAAGGTTACTGGAATTATTCATTTTTAAAATAAAATTGATATAAATATATACTAAACATTTTGTCAATTTGTTTGATGTAGCTATTCCTTGGGGAAATAGCCGTATCAATTGTCTAACATTCCTAGATAGCAAGATTTTAAAATAAAATTGATATAAATATATACCAAACAGTAATAAGGGTAGGTAAGTTTAGAAGTGTCAGCCAGGCTCCCATGATAAAAATGCAATATCATTATTATTACATACTATAAAACAAAGTCGCTGTCGTTGTCTGTCCGTCCCTATGTATGCTTAAATCTTTAAAACTACGCAACGAATTTTAAAGCGGTTTTTTTTAAATAGATAGAGTGATTGAAGAGGAAGGCTTATATATATAATACATGTACCGTATCCGGGGCGAGTAGCTAGTAAAATTATATATTAAAAGATTAACTATATTTTTTCGAGAAATCCAACCAGCGACCATCGGAAGTGAGGCGGTGTTCTAAAGCGCTAGACCACCAAGGCCGTCATTTCAGTTGGTTTAGTAATAAATTCAAGTATATTAAATTCCAAGTGATGGTAACAAGATCACATTGTAAGATAAAAATCAACACTGAAACAAATCCGTTTCGACTGCAAAAGGAATCATCGAATTTGTTAATTTCGCAAAGATATTGTCCAACATAAAAAAAAACTAATTTAGAACCTCTTCCTTTAAAGTCGGTTTATAAATCTTACGGCTGTGTTACACGTCAACGATAACTCATGCAATCTATACTTGTACCCATAATCTGTGTATCTATATGTTACAATCAAAGGTCGAAACAGTCCTGCGCAAAATGACTAGCGTTTCCTAGATTAGGTTTCATTATTCAATGGCTTCAATTACACATAATAATACAATGAAATATCTATACTAATATTATAAATATTGAAATGTCTGTCTGTTTACTCGTTAACTTTTCAAGACTAAAGGCCTGCTCGGATTTTGATGAATTTCAGCGTGAAGATAGTACTCGAAGATAGACAATCGATAACTTTTATCACAAAAAATTGTAGGGATACAAGCATAGAATAAGGATGCAAACGAATTTACGAATAACAGCTAGTCTATCATATATCATCATTCATCATATACAGGATTTGTTGTAAGGTGTGATACTTTTTTATACCACGATGGTGGCAAAAAAGCATACGGCCCATCTGATGGTAAACGGTAACCGTAGCCTATGGATGCCTGAAACACCAGTCACGTGCTACTTAATCATATTATCACATCTAGATTGTAGTTTGTATTCACACATTTCAACTTAACAATGTAAGTTACAACAATTATTTAAAAGAGCAAACGCAAGTTCCTTCATCTTGTGATAAGACAGCTTTCTGAATGAGCGGTAAATAAAAACAATAAGTCATATTTGAATAAAGAATATTCTTGTTAAATTTGTTATCTATGATTTCTTTATAGCAATCAAGAAAGAACTTGGAAATATTTACGCAAAGTGAGCCACTTAACGCACTGCCATAAAACTCGTTTTTATGTGTAATTAATGGCAAAGTAAGAATTATTGTAATCCATTAGGAAGCAATGTCATCGCATACAAGTTTACATTAGTCAGCTTACGTTTAGTATTCTAATATATTTTATTATTTAAATGTAATTTATATTATACTAGCGATCAGCTCCGGCTTCCCATAGATACAACGTTACATCACATTAGAAATCTTTGAATTTTTAAGCTTTTTTGTACTATGATATGTATGTATTATATACATAAACGCTAACGCTGAAAAATGTATTAAAAACAGTTAAAAATAAAGATCTAAACGAATAGACAGTGGGAGAAACTTTGTTTTATACCAATAAAGATACATTAATTATACTCGTTACAGTGTTACTTTAGATTTGGAATAAGAAATAGATACATATTTATTATAATTTTAAACTTCATTTTTTTTTCTTATATTAATTTAGAAAACTTTCTATTAAAATATTTCTAACACATTAATTTATAATTGGATATAAGAAAAAATGTTGCATACCAAATTAGTCGAGTAAGTTTCCTTAAAAGTGATCTATACTAGCCAAAATTAAAAAAATAATTCTTTCAAATTACTATTTATCGACTGCAATTATCATCGACATTTTAGTACAATTAAATAGACATGTTCAAGCTGATAACATGACATCATTGTTCCCACTGTACAGAATGGAAAAAAACGTTACAAACAAATTAAATATACATTATAAGAAAAAACAACAGCCACTTAATAACTCACCGTAAATTAATCTTAAATTAATATCACAGAGATTCTGCACTAGAATATATGAAACGTCCGTCTGATACGGCGTATATACCTTAACTGGTCAAGGAAACGTATAGCATAGATTTAGGGAGACGGCACACTATCAATTTCAAGTTGCCAACTAAAATTGCTTATCGCGCCACTCGTCTAAATTTATCTTAACGATTCATCGTTGAATTTTTAAAGAGAACGCTTTGATACATGCCCTATTTTATTCAACGGGGTGCATTGCCACGAAGAGTTAACTACGGCTGGACGTATACGATCGGCCGTAGACGATATATCGCGTTGTGAGAGAAAGAAAATAAAACTGCATTTTTAACTCTTAACTGATTTAGTTACTCAACTAATTGATGTATATTTAATATTTTCTCTATTAGAATATTTAATTGAATTAGTGCTAGATGTTAGCTTGTATTCACACACTTCAAATTAAAAAATATAAAGTAACAATAAAATTATTTAAAAGAGCAACACGCAAGACAGCATTCCGAATGGTCAGTAGATTAAAAAAAAATGTAATGACTAGACAAAAGTCCTTCAATGTTTATTTGAATAAAGTAGTTTCGATTCTATTCTATTATTAACGGTAGCAAAATAGGCGTAGCATAGTTCTCTTGCTGAACAAAAATTGAAACAGATAAAATCTTTATTCATATCAGTAGACGATATTTAAAACATCGTCTACTGATATGAACTATCTACTGTACTATGTACGAACAAATAATGTAAGAATGAGATATATAAAAAACATAAAGCACAACAGTAAAAAGCGATGGTCTACACACGGTTGATATAAATAACCATATTCAGGTAGAGTTGAGGATTCAGTAGTTACCTAATAATATAATAATTGAACATTTTAAAGCGTGCACGATTTAATCGTCCTACAGTCTGGCAACTAAAAATCGTTTGTGTACGGCCGCTCTTACCTTGTCATCGTATTTCGTTGGTAATACAAGTTCGCATGGCGTAAATAGGTACTTATGACTCACAACCTTGAATTGGTCTCAGATTATTACATTGACAAATTAAAGAGGAAGGTAAATTACGTTGAAATCCGCGTGTGCATCATAGTATAAGTATGACGAAGCCTCATAAATATGAGACCTATTTTTTTCTCGACCTACTCTAATGCGGTTGGCCACAGCGGGGTTTTACAGCTTCACCGAACGATAGGGGCAAGTGCAGAGTGCAGATGACACTCCAAACCCTAGAAAAGATTTATGGAGAGGCTGACGGCCAACTCCTCCCTGATGGATACGAAATTTGTCTGAGGACACTGCTAGGAGTTACGGCTTTAGTCTGAGGGTACACGAATAATCAATCGGAGGGGCGACTGTGGATGACCTAAGAGACCTAATAGTATCTAGACTAGACTAGAACAGTAAAATCTGCCGCTTCCATTGTGGTGAAGCAGGTTGGGGAAAGGAGATTGTTAGTAATGGGGAACTCCTCTGTCCTCAAGTTGACCCACTAACAATAATAACAATGATGTGTTAGTAATGGATGAATAACAACCCCCCCCCCCTCCCCCAATTACTAACAATCCTTTAAAAAGTCAAACAATAAGTCGAAGACAACTTAGATTATTACAATTCAAGTAGACAGCACTGAACATAGTTTATATATTATATTGAAGACTTAATTCATTTTGTAGTTTTAGAGTTGGTTTGTGTTTAGAGTACACATAATTAGTTTTATTGCTACAAAGAGGAGATAATGTGAATGACCTGATAGTTGTATATTCAAAACAGTCAAGTATTGTTTGATTAAGATAGGAGTTACTGACAATCTCATTATAACTTATATTTAAATATTATTTATGTGTGCAACTGTATTGAAAAACCACTGAGGTTACATAAATAACTTTGTCGATAGGACAAATAATTATTTTGGTTAGTGGTCACCCAGTGGTCGGAATTTGACCATAATTAATTTAACATTCAGTAATATTATACACAAATAATATTAATCTATTCTCAACTTTACCACACTTCCAACAATAAAAAAGAGTATATATATATATATATATATGTGTGTGTCAAATATAAGGATGTGTTTAATATTAAAAAAATATTAGTTTCCTGTACACCTCCTGTTTTTTTACTTCTATATATAGGTGACTAGACATGATTACACGGGTAATATGTAGGTAGTATTAAATTCTTATATGCCTTTATTTTTAGTTCCAATTTTGTATTTATAATTTTGCATAAAATAAGATAGATTAAAATGAATTTTTTTTCATTCTACACAAATGTAATTTGAAATTGAAAAGTTTCTCTGTATGTGGTTTATTTAAACCCTTCAAGGGTTTAAATAATTTCACTGTAGAGTACTATATTCATAAATGCAGAGTGTAAGCTTGACTTGATAGATGTTACCTGTGACTATCTACTTTTAAAAAAAATAATAGTATGACACTATATGTGATAAATATTGTTGGTACACATTACATAAAAGTGTTTTTACCATGACTATGTAATTTATGAAAGTTAACTCATGATATATTTTATATTTAGAATATAAAAGTATTAAGAGCTCATAAATAATATAACCATGGTAGATATCATATTTAAATAATTTGTACACCCGATAATTCTGAATCGGAAAGTCTTGTACTGATCAAGTAACATTTAAAATTGTAAAAAATACACAGTAAAATATAAAAAAAAATGTTCTGTTGGATTTTTTCCCATCTCTTCTCAACTGTATTAATTACCTAGCTAAACTAGTATAGTGATAAAAAAATTCACATGCACAAGAAGCAAAGAAATGTCCTATGTGAATATATAAGGTTGACTCAAAATGTATTCTTTAATTGGAAGATAACTATAATATTTAGCTGGATTCCATGTTGTGAAGAGGCAAATTCAAATAAAAAAAAAATATGTTTGTGGGTTGAATGTAATTGTATTGTTTGTTATTAATGTTCCTTTTTAGTTATTAATATAATATTATAAAGCAAAATTTGAGGGTATTTCTGTATTAATTTTCTTTCATTCGAATTTATGGTATACGAAAATCATTAGCATAATACAATACAGCTCGGCGTCCTGTAGTCACTCTACATCCATTCGGTGGAAATTAGGTAATATTTTAAATATTATTCCAATAACGATCGGTAAGAATGTATAAATTATAAATACATAAGTTGTAAAAAGCGGAAACCGTGAAGCGTTTACGTAAATCCTAATTGGAATCAGCTAAATTTATTACTTAAACTATTAAACAAGATTGAAAACTTAATAATCAAGTTTTTTATGAAAGTCATGATGATAAGTAATTATGTACATAGTAATATATTCCTATTAAAAATAAACAAACACGAAAAATCAATTGCGACAACGTCATGACAAGGTCAATATTATTTTCTTACTACATTTATATACCTATGTCATTTGCTATGATAAAATACAATAAATTGTATTTTTTAACGGGAAATTAATACAAGAATATAGCACTTACGTGTAGGAATAGATTAAAATTCTAATTTTTCACACCGGCAGAACACGAGGTGAAGCGAATGGACAAAATGAAAGGGACCGTGTTGCCAGGTTCAATATATTTTTATATATTAAAAATACGGAGGTGTTAAAATTTTCGTTTGTTAACAAGAAAAAAGTTGTAACTACTACTAATAATATACTTTCATCGTCCTTAATTGTTTTTAATTAGTGTGACGGTGTAATAGCTAGTGGTTTTTTTTATAAAAAAAATCGTAATATTTAAATCAATTTTTAAATTAAATATATTTCCCTGTAAGACACGGGCACTAAGTAGTCGAAGTTTATTATATATCTATATCTCAATTAAATTTTATTGGACTGTTTTAAACCATTACAGTGTGGTCTATTTAGTTTTGCATGCTTTTTAATATTAGACGAACATTTGTACCTAACACTGTAAATGTTAAAGCAAATAAATTAAGTATCTGTCTAGGAATATGACAGTTCTAAAACCTAGTATCAATTAAGTATTGGTTTTTGTACTACATTACGTACCTGTAATATTTTTATAGCCCTCAAAAATTACATATTACAATATAAATTAAAGTATTACATATTATTTTATTTAGCATTCACTTTAATTCGAAAGAAGATAATTTATTATTGTCAACTTTAAATTCAGTCATAGTATAAACCAAGGAACATAATACTTGATATAAACCATATTCAGCGGCTATGTTGGGGCCACTATTATTTCTGTATTGTATGTGTTCCTGTAGCAGTAGCACCAGGAAGAGGGAGGTGAATAGAAACCAGTCGTGACTATTTATATATTTATATTAACAAAGTATTTACAATTGGTGATTCGGTCTCTAATGCAAGATTGTTATTTCTTCTTATCGTCGTAACTAGGCAACGGTGTTGCCGCGCGATAATAGTAAATTCGCCACACATATATACCACTCATATACAATACGAAGAGGTTTGATTTTTAATTCGGACTTTTCATTCGACTTTAACAAGTTTTGTTTGAGGCTAGAATGCTAGTTAACTTGCCAATTGACAAATGCCAGTTAACATAGCTGTATACGCACACTTCCCTTTGCCTTATCATTACACGTAAAAATGAACGGTTATCACTTGTCATTGTCATTCGTATTCGAAAAAGCGCGGGAACTTTCAAAGCGACTACACGTATTTTTTCGCGCTAGTTTTGGAAAATAATATTTTATTGAGTTTTTTTAGTCAAAACTAGTAAAGATGACGAAGAGGAGCGGGAAGAAGCGAAAAAAGAAAGAGGAAATATCGGATGATACATCCGATGATATTAATTTTCTAGGGTCTGACTCGGAATCGGCACCTGAGGATGTGGATAAGTATAAGGCATTTCAAATACCAGATTATGTTCGGTACTATCCGGAGGATGGTGGAAACTTTGAATACATTGTATTTATGGAGAGTACAGATAGTAATAAGCCAATCGGTGATAGGGATATGATGTACTTAGCTACTAATTTGAAAAAATATAATAAAGGAGTTAAGCAATTATTAAGGATGAATAAATTTAAGATCGGCGTCATTTTCGAACGCCCCGGTTTAGCTAATGCAGCCTTAGTTAATAAAAAATTTCTAGACGGATTTAAATTAAAGGCAAGTATACCAGCTTCAGCCACGGAAGTAACTGGAGTAGTTCAGCATGTTCCTACGCATCTATCGAACGAACAAATATACTCTAATATAACCAGCTCAAAAAATATTGTTTGTGTACGCAGATTCATGAGGCGTATTAAAGGTGATGATAACACCTTTACAATGCAGCCAACTAAAACCGTCTCCATCACATTTTCCTGTCCTGTACTTCCTGACACCGTCGACCTGAATAGCTGGCGCTTTGTGGTGAGGCCTTACATACCTCCTGTAAAGCAGTGTCTTAAATGTTTAAGGTATGGTCACATCGCTAAGTTTTGTAAGAACGCTGAAAGATGCTCAGTATGTGGAAATAATCATAATTTCAGAAACTGTTCGGCAAATATTAACGAAGCCAAATGTTGTCACTGCAATGGTAATCATATAGCCATTTCATCACAGTGTCCTATTAAGAAAAAGAAAATAGAGGAGAATAAAAATAAAGTACAAAGTTATGCTGATATTGTTAGAGAGAAATCATTTCCTCAATTAGGCAGTACCAAAACTTCACCTTCGGCACAATTTATATCCCTACTTAATTCTGACCAAATTTTAAATACCCTATTAGAATCAATTGTTAAAATTATAACATTGAATAGAACCAATGACAAAACAATATGTACAGAAAATATAAAACAAGTTCTCCTAGAGACATTACAGAATAAAAAAAATCCAGATTAATCTTTCTTTCTTTAATTTTTTATTTCTTTATGGACCATATAGTAATAGTCCAGTGGAATGCACAAAGTTTAGTAAGTAATCAACAAATCTTTACACATTTTCTATTGGAGAACAATATTCATATTGCTCTGATATCAGAAACCTGGCTAAAAGCCTACTACAAATTAAATATTAAAGGCTTTAACATTGTTAGATTAGACTCAGGCAATGACCACAACGGCGTTGCAATTTTAGTTCATAAAACTATAGAATTCAGTAAAATTGATACATATAGTGATGATTCCTTACAGAATATTGCGGTACGATTAAAATATAAAAACACAGAAATGTCAGTTGTTAGTTTTTATAGCCCAAATAATTGTAGTCCACGTTTTAACAAAAATAAATTCAGTAATCTTCTTAATAGTATTCCAGAGCCCATGTTGGTTGCTGGTGATTTTAATGCTCATCACACAGCATGGGGTTGCTCGTCTATTAATGCTCGCGGTCGTGACATTCTTGAATGTATTGATGGTAACAACTTGGTCCTCTTAAATGATGGTACACCGACTACAGTAGGATCACACAGATGGCAGAGTAATGCGCTTGACCTTACTATTGCATCCCCTTGCATATCTCTTGCTTCACATTGGATAGTACATAATGATCCCTTAGGTAGCTACCATTTACCTGTAATAACAAAAATAGTAATTAATAACAATTGCTCTAGATTACCAGAATCCTTAGATTATCCCAAATTTCATAATTACAATCTTATAGATTGGACTGTGTATAAGAAGACCACAGATAGTTTGTTACAAGATTTTACACTTTACACTTATAGTAATTCACCCCTGCAGTGTTATTCTAAATTAATTGATATTTTAAATTTAGCTATAGACAAATGTTGTATATCAAAATCAAAACCCATAAGTTCTACAAATGATATTCCTTTTAAAAATAAAAGGATTCCATTACCTTGGTGGAATCAAAAATGTACTCTTGCAGTAGATAACTCTAAACAGGCATATGTTAATTTTAAAAACGACCCATCAGAGGCAAATTATATTGCTTTTAAAAGGTTACAAGCCAAAAAAATTAATACTTAAAAAAGAACAATCAATTAGCTGGAATAAGTTTTGTGAAAATTTTAATCGCACCACACCCATTTCCAAAATTTGGAATACTGTTAAAAAATTCAATAAAACTTATGTATATAGTCAGATTTCAAATAATAATAACTGGATTTCTAATTTTCTTAAAAAATATACTCCTGACACTGTCGAGACCCAATTTAAATCACACATTAATGAAAATAGTAACAAATTAAATTATTTAAATAAACCCTTCACTTTTTATGAATTTAATGCAGCCATATCTACCCGAAGAGATACAGCATTTGGTCTCGATGGCATAGCATATAAATTATTAAAAAACCTCTCTTATAACTCTAAAAATATTGTTTTATGTATTTATAATGCACTGTGGAAAGATTCACTTATTCCTTCCGATTGGAAAAAAGATTGTATTATTCCAATTCTAAAACCAAACAAAAATGCAAATGAAATAGATTCCTATAGACCTATAACTCTGACCTCCTGCATGGGAAAAATATTTGAGCAATTATTAAAACAAAGACTAGAATTCTACATAGAGAGTAATTGTTTATTACCAGCAAATCAGTTTGGTTTTCGTAGAGGTAAATCTGCCTCTGAGAGTGTTACTCATCTTCATATTGATATATTTAAAGCACTTAAATGCAATGAAGTTTTGATATTCTTTGATATTATCGGTGCATTCAATAATGTCAATCATCACATTCTCACTCTGGAACTTGTTTCTATTGGTATACCTGGAAAAATTATAAACTGGGTCTATAACTTTTTAAATGGTAGAGAAGTTTTTGTTAAAGTTAACAAGCAGTTAATAGGACCTCGTTTTTCTTATAAAGGTGTGTGTCAAGGTGGAATACTTAGTCCATTACTCTTTATCCTCTACATACACAAACTTAATTTAATTTTAGGACCACATGTCAGGAATCTTCAATTTGCAGATGACCTTGTTATATACTTTTCAGGCCCAGACATTAATAAAGTTACAGAAATAATAAGTAATGCATTGTTAAGATTAACAGATTACTTTAAATACCTCAATTTAGATGTAAGCCCTGACAAATCTAAAGTAGTAATATTTTCTAAAACTAATAAATCATACAAAAACATTAAAATATTATATAATAATTCACAACTACCTATTACTGCTGAAGTTAAATTTTTAGGTGTTATTTTTTGTAGCAATTTGTCTTGGAACAAATATGTTGATTATTTACTAGGTAAAGCTTCCAAAGCATTTAATATTATCAAAGCTCTATATAAATGTGATCCTAAGATCCTTTTAATGCTGTACAAATCCTTGATTCGCAGCCACTTTGAATATGGCTATCTATGTTTTGGTTCTGACCAAAACAAGCTTCATAAACTTGAAGTACTTCAGAATAATAATTTAAGATACATAACTGGTGCAATGAAAACAACCCCTATAAATTCCTTACAAGTAGAGTGCTGTATACCACCATTAAACCTGAGATTCTGGTACTTAAAACAAAGATTCATCCTAAAATTATTATCCTTTTCTGAAGACCCACTCTTACAAAAGCTCAAACATATTACTTCTTTATTTACCCTTTCTAATTCTAAAACAGTTCCCTATATACTTCATGATTTCTCTGACTCAATCAATATTGATCAGCAATACAAAATTCACAAAAGCAATAGATTTTGGAATTGTTACCATGGACCATTTGAAAGTAAATTTCCAAATATTAATATTGTAATTGACTCTGAGTTAAGGACCAAACAAGAAGTTTATAACAAGTTGTCTACATTTTCAACTCATCAATCCATATTTACAGACGGTTCTAAAAACGAATCGAGAACATCCTTTGCTCTATACTTACCAAGTATCAGAACCGGTCATGGAACTAGAATACATAAAGAATTTAGTATTTTTTCAGCAGAATCTTTGGCTATTTTAAATGCACTTTGTTATATAAAAGATGATAGGGGCAATTGCAAAAAATGGTTAATTGTCACAGACAGTATGAGTGTTTTAACTGCTCTTCAAAGTAACAAACTACATTATAAAACTAATTATATCATAGATAGCATTAAGCAAATATTATATGAGCTCTCATTGGAGTGTTATGATATTATTTTATTATGGACACCATCACATATTGGTGTTTTCGGTAATGAAAACGCAGATTTCCTGGCAAGAACTATCACCAACAATGACATTGGCGTTGTCAAGGATGTTGCCATACCTTATTCCGACATTCTTTCTATAGTTTACAAGAGTTTTCGTCAAAAATGGATTGAACAGTGGCAACTTTCGCTAAAGACCAAGGGTAATTGGTTTTACTCCATTAACAAAAATATTCATTCCTCACCCTGGTTCACTAAATCTAGAGTTTATAAAAACCGGAAATTTTACACACTCCTTATACGACTTCGTTTTGGTCACGCTAGATTCAATAGTCATTTGTGCCGAATGAAAATAATTGATTCAAATGCATGTCAAGAGTGCAATAACAGCAGTCAGACCCTAAATCACATATTTTTCGAATGTTCTGCTTATAATATTCAACGCTTGGTCTTTATTGATAATTTACTGAACATTTACAAGAAACCGGAAAAAATCCCGCGCGACATCCAAGACATGCTAACTAATTTTGAAACATATATACCTATATATTTATACGTTACCTCGATATCGATGAAACTTTAAATAATTGATACAAGGATATGGACTACGGATAAGACTTAAATTTTGAACACGAATGAAAACATAATAAATAAATATACATAAGAATTGGCCTTTGGCCTCATCACTTGTTCAAATATGAAGAAGTTTAAAAGTAGACTAGGCTGTACGGTCTAAGGATCTTTGCCTGTTCCATCACTGAAAAGGAGATGGACGAATATGGAAAAAAAAAAAAAATGTCATTCGTATTCGTCAGAAATTGACGTTCCATTCGAATTTTGTTTTCAACTATTTTTCTTTCATATTTTCAGTTCAGTTAGTTTCCGACTTTCAGATTACATACTTTTATAGTTGGTTTAATTTCAGATATTGGTTTTTCGTATATTAAAGATTTATTAATTAAGATCTTTAAAAATGTCCACCGATATCAATGTAATTGGATCTCATAGAGTGAAGAGTGTTATTACTGGGGAGGTAAGCAATTATTTTAAAGAAATTTATATTATTTATTACTAGTTATTCGAAGTTACGGTGAACATTGTAAAAAACATATAATAAACAATACATAAATTAAAATTTATATTAATACAGTTTATATAATACTTAAATGGTTAAAACAATTTATATTAATTAATTTGTTTTGCTTCTGAACCGGTATTTATTACGCGCAATTAGAATTGCCGCTCTAGCGTGCACTTTTTAATTTGCATAGTTCCTACCTCTTTTTATCTAGTATGAATAGAGTGAGTCAGGAATATTGTTAGAGTTTTTTTCCACAATTTATGATGCTATTGATACACTTCTTATAACATAGTTCGAGAATCACGTGTACATTTTTTTAAACAGAAATATGTTACATAAATACAAATTATCTAATTAAGATATTGTAAAATGTTGTGTAACTTTATAAATACAATTAAATTTGTTTAAAAAAATATATTATTGATAGTGCAATAAATGCCTTAATTTATAATACTAGGTAGACAGTGTAATAAACTAAATAAAATATTTTTAATCTTTCTATTATTATATATATTGATTTCAGTAATTTTTATTATAATTTTAATACTATGTAATAAATATAGAAATTTATTGTGTGCATACACTTATTATGAAGCACTAAGACACAAATAGATAAAAATAAAAAATAAAATTTTCAAGTTTAGAGTATGCCTAGAAAAATATATTTACATAGTATAAAATGAAGTTACCACTGTTGTCTGTTTATGTCTTTTAAATTATGCAACAGATTTTAAAGCAGTATTCAGCAATAGATAGAGTGATTTAAGAAGAAGGTTTATATGTATAATACATGTGTGTTATAGTATAGAACAAGCCGAGAAATGAAAAGACTTGTAATGCATCCATGCAAAGCCGAAACAGGTTGCTAGTAGTATTAATTATTATTAATTACAATGTGAATTATTTCAAGGATATACAAATATTTTATTATTTAACCCTAATAAATTAGTGCTGATTGGTAGTTTCTATTCACATGTTTCACATCTTGTGATGAGACGGCTTTCCGAATAAGCAGTAGATTAAAAAAACATTGTTATGACTATTCTGACTATGAAAAGTGCTTAAATTAAGTTTTGAATAAATGGTTTTCTATTTTATTCTATTCTATTAAATATACTTATTTATTTAATTACTGTTAACTTTTAAGCTTACAATGTAATGTATTTTTCAAAAACATATATATACTCCTATTTTACAGTAACTGTTTCTTTTTCCTTATAAATTAATAAATTTTTTTATATTGTATAATGCTATCATAATTACATTGATTTTTTAGTCAACAGAAATGAGGAGCTTCTGGCAAAATCAGAATGTGGTCATCATTTTCTTCCGTCGCTGGGGCTGCATGCTCTGCAGATTGTGGGCGAAAGAGGTATGGCAATATTTAAGTATTTGCTGCATTGTATTTCTGTTCGTTTTGTAAGATCTAGAGCAGATGAGATGGGGAAGGGCTATGGAAGCATGACATCTTAGTCTTCCGGAATGGCAACAGAGGAGTAGTGTTACAGGCGTCTTGTTGACGGAAGAAAGCGGCATTGTCGTAACTTAAAAACATAACTTTACAACAGAGCCAAAAAACTGTTTTAAAAATTCAAATGTCATATATTTATGGGGTAGAAACTTCAAAATTGGTTAAAGATGTTCATACCAATTTTCAGCTTTCTATCTCAATAAATAGTTAGGAACTTTGGCATTGAAGGAATCTAATTTTGTTTTTTTTGAAGTTGGGTTTTTCAAGTTACGATAATTGGGGGTGTTGTAAAAATTACTAAAAATATTTACACACTTTTTGACGTTTCTAGCGTAATTTTGGCATGTCCTATATATGTTAAAGGCTCGATTGAATTGATATGAAAGTTTAGATAGATAGATAGAATATGTTTGTATTCACACAAAATTCTTAAAAATATAATTCTGAAAAACATTTATTTAAAAGAGCAACATGACGCAAGTTTCTTATGATGAGTCTGCAATGACTGAAAACTGCTTATATTAAGTTTATTTGAATAAACATTATATCTATTTCTATAATTTATTTGCATTATACAATGATAGTGTGATGTGTGTAGAAATACAAGAAGGCGGCTGTTGTAACTGGGTAATGAAAATGTTTTATATTCTAAATTTGTATTTAAAAGTTATAGTGCCTTTTGTAGATTGTTGTTTGTTATTTCACTTTCATTCTATTCTGTTATATGTCAGTAGTCTATCCTAATATAAAATTTTCTCCGTCCTTTTCTTTTTCTTACCTGTACAAATATAATAAAATATAACAGCGGCTTTATAGTTGAAACCATTTTTTTTTCAAGGTAACCTTAGGGTAATTTTACTATATATTCATATTTTCAGCTGGGTGAAATAGCATCAGTGCTGGAGAACAATAACATTAAGTTGATAGGCATCGGTGTCGAAGAAGATGGCTGCAAGGAGTTTGTCGAACGGAAATTCTTTGATGGAGGTATTGTTTTTCTTACACTAGAATTGCAAAAAGTAGAATGTGTGAGGAGAAAGACAGACAGAAAAATATTTTATTCAGTGCAATGTAAAAAATACAATATAGACAATAAACGAAAAAAAGAGCAAATAATATGTACATATAATTAAACTTAATTTACCGTGTAGATAATTAAAAACAAACATAAAATAATATTTTTTTTACATCCATATATGCACTGAAATGGCTCCACTCAGCTTTAATGTATGTCCTAGGTGAACATACAGCTTACATAGCATACATAGCTTAGCATACCTTAGTCTCACCTATTTTTTTAATAAATGCTATAAAAAAAAAGGTGATGGTGTATAAAGGAATGGTGCACCCTCTTGAGCTAACGGTTTACGCAGGCGGGACACCAATGGAGGATAAGCATGAGATTAGGCCAGTTAGCCCATCATGGCAAATTCACCAGCAATTTATCATCGTAGTTTGTAATAAAAAACATCTATAGAACCAACCCCGACGATGATATATTTAAAAAAATCTACATCGTCTACACCATACTAGTATACATTTTTTTTACTTAATGATAAAAAAAAAACAATGTAAACATATTGGTAATTTGTGGGGATCGAACCTGAAACCATTGGATTGTGAAGCAGTGTATTTTACTGTCGTACCACCACGGTATGTCGAATATAGTACATTCTAGTATATTATGATAAAACTTATTATCAATTATATAGTCATCGATTTTATCAGATTTAAATTGTTTTTATGATAGTGATTTTTTTAATCTGATATATCAGTATACTATTATAGTATAATTATACTATAAGTATATACAACCTGCATTAGTCATAGATGGTTCATATTTTATGCCTACTTGTACTAGATTAACTACTGAACAAGCAAAGTACAAACATAAGTAATATATCGCGCGACATCTAGTCCCCAGATAAGCTCTTGTTATGGTTTCTAGACAACTGATACAAATATAAATATATACATATTAAACAGAAAAAACATTGAGATCGATACAAACATTCATACTCATGAATACAAATGTTTGTACCGCGTGAGGAATGGAACCCGCGACCATTGGAAGTAAGGCGGTGTTCTAAACCGCAAGACCACCGCGCCGTCAATTATATATTTAATGTTATTTACTTAAATGCACCGACAACTAATCTCTGTTTGCCGTATGGTTGACTGGGAGAAAATGCCTTATGGTGTTAAGTCCGCTATATGCATCTCTATTTTTGTACTAGCTGACACGCGCAACTTTGCATCTATTATAATGTCTTTTTAAAATATAGCCTATATATTATATTATTGTAAAGTTTCATCAAAATTCGTTCAGTAGTTTTTGCGTGAAAGAGTAACAAACATCCATCCATACTCACAAATTTTTCGCGTTTATAATATTAGTAAGATATGTGCATTAAAGTTTTAATAAATAAATATATAATATCTCATTTTTCTAATAGGAACATAGGCTTCAAAACAAACTTGCATATTTTCAAATGGGCCGTATACTTGTATGCTATCATAGTAAAAAAAAACTTCTGTAGTTCTTGTTGTATCTGACTAATCAGAAATGTATTTTTCATTCTGTTATCAATACTTTTCTAATATAGGTATATCTCCGTATACTTAGTCTTACACAAATATGCATCATCACTACAGACGTACGCATATGAATTTATACAAAGTCTACCTCTTATCTCACGCAATAGTTCAATATCAGATAGATATCGAAGTAAGTATATTGTATCTTACTAATATTATAAACGCGGAAGTTTGTGAGTGTGGATGGATGTATGTTTGTTACTCTTTCACACAAAAACTAAAGAATGCATTTTAATAAAACTTATTTTTATAATTTACAAAAATATAGCTTATACATCAGAATAACACATATACTTTAATTTTCATGCGGGTGAAACCGCGGGCAGGACTAAGTTTGTTTTGAATAATTTATTCTAGCTGCATCGTCAGCATGAAATTTTTTTTTCCTATAAAAATATATAAAATGAAAGTAGTTTAAGTTACTCGTTATTACATTAGCAATCTGCGAGTAAAAGTACCGTCAAAATCGGTCTAGCCGTTTCGGAGATTAGCAAGAACAAACACACAGACACATTTTTTTAAAATTAGCGTTTAGTCTTTCAAGTGAATTTTTTAAAAACTAACTAACTTGCAGACGCTTAATACCTATTTGTGTATTTGTTTAAATAGTTACTGGCGCTAATGTACCAGAACTACAGGTACGTAGATGACTTTGTACAAAGTCTATCTCTTATCTCAGTCAGCCAGATATCAAAGTGTATCGTATATCAAATATGCTTAAGGTTGTTTTGTTGATCGATATCTTTATATTGTGAAAGAATCATGTGTCCGCAATTATATCATTAGTTTGTAGTTACCGAAATTGTAAATAATTGCACTATTGTTTTATAAATCACAATCGACCTTATAATTGCAGTAATAAAGACAATTATAAGAAAATTGTACGTGTTTTTAAATATGTACAATTTATATGGAAATTGGTCGAATAATTGTTCCATTAAATTTGAACTTTGTGGACTACGATAAAAATTTTATTAGCAATCAATTTCGATTGTCGAGGTTAAGCAATGTTTGAAAATGTCTTCAAATAAGATGTTCTTCGTTTTAAAGATATCTGTTTTACCAGTACTATTATAATGGTACAATCTGTCGGTCCTTTCCGGAATTATCGTCGGTTATTTCAGACGATACTAATGCTACTGATTTATAATATGGCATTGATTTAGAAACGGTTACGTAAGGAAATAAAAAATAATTTCAAGTCTTCTAGTCTTAATTGGGGTATCCTAAGAGATATGCATTTATTTATATTATATTATTAACCGGGTCTTAATACGAATAATTTTATGGCAAATAAACGTATTTACCTCTCTCGACGTTTTTCACTGTTATTCCAGTCAGGTCGTGACCACAACTAGTACAACCTAGTCGAGATTTGATTCGTGTAAATACCCGGTTAATAATATAAATAATGTATATTATACACGAAAGTTTAAAAAAAGAGATACCCATTGGACATCCGATGAATTTGCTATGGGGCTTGACCGGTATAGTTACGTTGTGAATACAAAGTATTGAAAATTTAAAAATACAATATTATTATATACTGTATTCTGCCTAATTAAATTTAAAAATGAATCTGAAAAAACAACGCTTTCTATTTCTACATCAAGGTTAGTTGGTAGAGAATGCCATATGGCATTAAGCTCGCCTTTTGTACATGTGATTTTGTACAATACAGAATAAAAAAATCTATACATTTGTAAACATGTACAAGCTCATTTGAGAAAAGAATAAGAGCTGAGTTTTTTGTCAGTTCTTCTTACCTCGAAAGAACTCCGAACTGGTGGTAGACTAGACATATCACAAGAGTCTGTAATATACCTAACTGAATAAAGATATTATGATTGATTGATTGATTTCTACAATAACATTTTACTGATTACCTTCGTTATTTATTCCAGATCTTTACTACGTGGAAGACATATCCACGTACCAAGCACTTCACTTCAAGAGGTTCAACGTGGTCACAATCATCACATCACTTTTCTGGAAACAGTCCAGAGAAGCTGTGTTCAAAGGCCGAGATATGGGCAAGTACCCTATTAATTTTTTATGGTATTTGAAATTTTTAGTAGAAGAGTCTTGTTGAGGACGACAGAAGTCCTTGCCATATGGAAAATATTAATTTATTGTATTTTTGGCAACACTATCGAACTAGATGTTCTATAAATTTGTCTGCCTAAATTTGGCGGCAAAAATAGATGAATCCATATTTCATGTATTTGGTACAGCACACTAATTTACTTCCTATGGTCGCGGGTTCGATACCTCGAACGGTAATAATATTTTGTAGTCATGAGTATGATTGTTTGTATCAGTCTGGGTGTTTTCTATGTGTATTATGTACGTACTTACAGAAAATGAATCATAGCATATTATCAGTTGTCTAGTACCCATGGCACAAGCTCTGCTTAGCTTGGGATTAGAAGGCGCCGTGTGATTTGTCCAGGGATATTATTATTATGTATGCCACCAATTAGCTTGATTCATAAGCTGTGTTCCGGTTTTTTGATGATGTATAGTATGTATAAGAGATAACACGGAATTGTAAGAATTTTTATTATTTCTGAAAATGGAATATAAGCATTATTAATTGATAATGTAGTTTCATAGCTCTTTTTTACTAAAGTTTCGAGTTTACCCATAATAAACAAAAAAAAATATTCATTTATCTTTATAACAATAGTAATAGTAGTGTTGTCACAGGTCTGCAAAGTGATATAATTGGTGACGGATTACAAAATGCCGGCGCGTTGTTAATAGAAAATGGCGGGAAACTGTTACAACATACTAAACAAAAAATGAAATCTTTTCTCTTTATAATATTAGTTTAAATGCAAATATATCATAGTAACAGTAGCGCTGTCACAGGTCTACAAAGCGATATAATTGGTGACGGATTACAAAATGGCGGCGCGTTATTAATACAAAATGGCGGGAAACTGTTACAACACTTCAAGCAGTGCGGCCCTGCCGATCGTCTTCCGAATGTGGATATACTCGAGGTTCATTTTTTATTGTTTTTTAATTAGGACTCGGTGGGGATTTGAGAGGTGATTGGGTGCAAGTCGGCGGCGCGTTGCTGGTCGAAAAAGGCGGGAAATTGCTCCAGCATTTTGTTCAGCATGGACCCGGGGATCACTTGCCTAATCTCGAGATTTTGAAGGTTTGTTTTTTTAAATTTGGTTATTACTTCTGTTAGTTTGATTTGTTTGTTGATTTGTATCTGAGACATATTTTCTCATCTCTAAGCAAGTAAACATACTATGATTCTAATAATTCTGTCATTTAAAAGTAAGCACTTAAAGAAAAGTTTTGCTTATTCTACCCATGACAGAACCAAAACTGAAGCCTTTAGGATTCGTTTTAAATATTAAATTTGATGCTAGTTTTATCTGATGAAGATGAGGTGGTTCCATCTTCGGTCTCATCAGACCGAAGATGGAACAACTTGCGGCTATATAAAATGAGTATTCACGTTGGGGTCCATAAATTACGTGAGGTGTTTTTTTAAATTTTCTGTCCCTCCCTCCTCCCCTGGTGAGATGTCGTGAGATTTTATTCAACCCCCTCCCCCATTCCCCAATCTCACGTGAGATTTTCAACTTGTTTTTTCAATTATATTTTTTGATTTTTCAATTGTAAAAAGAAAGAAAAATTGCTTCTTTATTTTATTTATTATATTTTTTGATTTTTCAATTGGATTAAATGGACCAAATCAAAAATGGACAAAGATTTTTTTTTGTGTCAATCAGAAAAAAAATTGCGTATATTTGCCGAGACCCCCGCTCTCCAACGTAAGATTAAATGAGATTTGACTATTTAAACATCTCACGTAATTTATGGACGCCCCTTTTATATGAAACCATTAAATATGTCCTTGGCAGTTAACATATGTGAAGAAATTCAAATATATATTTAAAAAGTTCAAATTTATAAAGTACTAGCTGTTCGTGCGATTTCGTCCGCGTGGAATTTAACTTTATTGTTCTAATTTAAAAGATTTTTTCTAAAAAAATGTAGCCTATGTTACTCGTTATTACATCAAAGCAAAAAAAGGTCCCGTCAAAATTTTTTTGCCGGTACAAACAGACCGACAGACAGACAAAAAATTGTAAAAGGTGTTTTTTTGGTATATGTAGCGTATTTATATTCATGTGCATGTAAAAAACGGTTATTTCAATATTACAATCAGACACTCTCAATTTTATTGATATGTATAGATAATATAATAATTCTCTCTCTCTTTCTGTCTGTCTGTCTGTCAGTCTCTCTCTCTATCGTTCACACACACACACACACACACACACACACGTATTATAATAATAATTATTATTATCTCTAAAATAAATGTAGCCTATGTTACTCGTCTCTCTCTCTCAAAATCGGTTCACACACACACACACACACAGTGTTGTTTTGGTATATGTACCGTATTTATATGCATGTAGTAAAAAACAGCTATTTCAATATTACAAACAGACACTCCAATTTTATTGATATGTATAGATAATATAATAATTCTCTCTCTCTTTCTGTCTGTCTGTCTGTCAGTCTCTCTCTCTATCGTTCACACACACACACACACACAGTATTATAATAATAATTATTATTATCTCTGATCGTCGTACTATTGTTAATTTCACTTGCTTTGATCTCCACGATACAGCCATAGTCTAGTGCGAAGTCATAGGTGGGCTGTACCTTATTTTAAGTTTTTCGAAAATGAAAGTTATTATTCTTATTCTATTCTTTAAATAGTACAAATGTTTGACACTATGAATATTACTATTCCAGCATTTCGGATTGGAGAATGAATACAGACCAGAGACAATGACAAATAAAAATCGTCAGGACTCGCTGTGCACCGTACGTATACATTTATATTATTAAAATTTGTTTCTTTTTTAATGTAACTCGGATGGCAATCTGACTGTTTTAATTACTGATCCAATGGTAAATGGCAATAATATTACCTATACATAGAAAACACGCAGACTCGTCCAAAGAATCAAACACATAAATACAAATGTTTGAGCCACGCGAGGAAGCGAAAATCCCCGACCAACAGAAGTAAAATGGTGTGCTAAACCGATAGAACACCGGACACAGGTCATCCGCACCCATATACCCATTATCATGTAGTTAGTAATAACTAATATACATGTCACAAACTCTTAAATTTCCAGACAGACGCGTCGTAAGACCTGGATGATGCTACTAGAGCGGCACTCACTCGCACCCATACATACAGTATGGACCGAGCGGCGATGTAATAGTAAGGTGTGATATTCAATCCATTGACCCTTCTCTACGGTGTTTAAAATATTCGGTCGAACGCAGCCGTCGATGGACAGACTGCAATGAGAAATTCTCAATGATTACGAAATAAAGGATTTAAAGAAAGTTTTATACAAATCTCAGTGTTTGTTATCGAACTGCTGCCATTACGGCTATCTCAGTGTCATTGAACTCCTCGGGAATGGCTTGACCTATTTTTATGTTTTCTTTTGGAGTATATTTGCTAGGTCTGAGAATAAGTTGTAGGCTATTATTGATACCCTAAGGTAATAACGGTGGTCCTATTCAGATATTTCTAAAATATCCCGCACAACCACATTGTGGAATCACCTTCCAGTAAAGGTATTTCCGAACCGATACAGTATTGAAACCTTCGAAAAAAAAAAAGAGTTTATTACTTTTTAAAACTTACTTGCAATTCCCTTGGTGTTGCGGTTGAGATAAGGTTTTAGATAAGGCAGTGGAACTACAGGGTACGAGGCATGACATCTTAGTCCTCCGGAATGGCAACGCTAGAGTAGTATCACGGACATGGTAACGTGATATCCATGGTGCTGTTCATGTACATAGACGACGGTTATCATTTATAGTGTTTTGTTTGTTTGCCACATCAATTACATAAAAAAGTGCCTTTACTATAAGAAAGTATATCAAAGTACTATTTCCTATGATTGTATCTATTGCCCTAAGGTTGCCTTGAAAAGTTTGATTTCAGAAATAGGTTCGTCTTGTTGTATTTGTACACATATGTTTAGTTTTCTGATTAATTGTACTTATTATTATCATTAACATTGTATAATGTAGATAAAGCATATGCTATCTATCTATCTATTTACCAAATCACAGGGTACGACACACTTGTTCTTAAGAATGGCAACGCTTTAGGGGTACCACTGGCATCACATGATGACGTGATATCCGTTGTGCTGATCATGTATATAGGTGACGGATTGCCTCTTTCAAACAGGGCGGCCATTCCACCATTCTAATTTTTTTATACTACAACGATGGCAAACAAGCATGCGGCCCATCTGGTGGTTAACGGTTATCATAACCTATGGACCTAGTTCAGGGCATGCAATGTTATACCCCTCGTGTTTCAGGCATCTATAGGCTACGGTAATCGTTCACTATCAGATGGGCCGTATGCTTGATTGCTATTGGTACACCGCTACAATGTACAGTTCATTTTATGTAAAATAAAAATTACAGTATCAATGGATCGAATATTACAAATGTAATTCACACATCTATGTAATAATGCACGGATTGGTATTATTCATAATTTACGGCAGAGCTGTCCAAACCATGGGTTGAATTGATGCGGCTCGCAAATTGTTTTTTTTTCTTTATTTTAATAACAAACTTTTTGTAGTGAGATTATAATTAGATTTTTTGTAATCCCAAATGATTTGATAAATAACTAATTTTCTCTTCTGCTCTTATAAGCATGCACAGCGTCTAGCTACTACCAATATTGACGTTGATGTTGATATAATACCTGCATTTTGTTATTACAAATATTTTGCTGCCCCTAAATGGATTTAGTAATTTTTATTGGCACTAGATCCTATCTAGTTTGGACAGCCCTGATTTACGTTATAAAGGGTAGGTGTTTTATAAGAAGTAACATATTTTATACAATAGTTATTTTTAAATTTTCGTGGTTATATTATTAGCCAGGTCTTAACACGAATAATTTTATGGTAAATAAAATTTACCTCTCTCGACATTTCGATTAGGTTGCACTAGCCGTGGCCACGGCTGAATACCTTTGTTTACCATAAAATTATTCGACAATATAAATAATATTTTATACAATGCAATAATATAACATATACGGGTGTACCCAGTTTCTTCTTTAGGGAGGGGCAAGTTCGATTATCTTTTGGGATGCAGGGAGAGTGGAGTCACTTTTAGGCCGGGAATCGATTTTTCTAAACTTAAATCCCACATTTCGTTTAGATGAAATTAATATGTTTTTTATGGAATTGGGAATTATATTGGTTATATTAAATTATACAATATGATACCTAAAGACATTATAAATCTGCCGTTTCATGAATTAAAAAAATATTAAGAAATGTGTATTGAAGAAAGTATAACTGTAAACCATTATTATTTGCAGACTACCTTATATGGCATTAGTTGTTAACATATAACGTGGGATTTTATATTTAAATTATGTTCGACATACACTTCTGAAACGATATGTAAGTTTATATTGTGTTAATTAAATAAATAAATAAATAAATAAACAAATGTAATATTTAAAGATAGAAACTGACTAAAATAATAATAACTTCTTGTTTCTTCTCAACTAAACTAGCTAGCAGCAGAACTGGATGTTGGGATAATGATAAAAAATAAGAGGTGCACAAAAAGCCGAATGGTTCTATTTTAATATATAATTTTGTTTTTAATGCCGAATATATAGAAACAAGTACTATGTTTAGTGGGGGTCAGCTCCCTCTCCTGTCTGGGTATACCCTTTACAACATATCAAACATACTATTGTTATGGGGTTATGGTAACAACATGTATACTAACTTTATATATATATATAGTTAGTTTTTATATTTATAGAAACTAATTAATAAACTAACAAAGTAATATTAATAAAGCACTGAAAATGACAGTCTTGCCTATTTCAATACCAACATGTAAATCTATAACAATTATATTTAATTTAAAAAGTAAATTATTTATTATGTTAAATTGTTATTGTGATAAATATTGGCTATGATAATAATAAAATTGTTAATTTATGTAAGTTGAGATCTTTTGACTGCGATAATACCAAAATTATTAATTTATAATAAATTTAATTTATATATTGTATTTGAGTTAAGAAATTTATTGGTTCTATTCTCTTTTGACTGCGATAATACCAAATTTGTAATTTGTAAAATTGTATTTAATTAAAAAGAAAAACAATTATTAATTGTGTTAAATTATTATCATTAGTATGTTAAATTAAAATATTATTGCGCTGAAGAAAATGTAACTATATATTCATAATAATAGTAACGGCATAATTATTTTAACTGTTTGTAATAATAATTGTTATATTATAAACTGTATTCAATTAGACACAAAATTAAAATGTTATATTGTGGTTATAATAAATTATATGTTAATTATTAAATTTATGGGTGCACTATGATAATGCTGAATTATATTAATAAATATAAAATTATATGTTTTTTGTTCTTTGCTTATCCCACAATCGTATCATGACTGTTAAACTATATTCATAGAAAATGACCACAGAAATGGGTAGACAGATTTATCTGTTCGTTTGTGTGTGTGCCATAACCAGGTGAACCTATGTCACTACGTTGAAATTTCGGAAATTAAATAACTATATATTATAATCAATATTAATTGATTAATTATAATAATAATATGCCTGGACGATTCACACATATTCATCTTTTCTCAAGCTCAACAGAGCTTATGGGTTCCAAACAACTGATATAAATACTTATTTTGTTTAAATACATATATACATAGTTAACACCCAGACCGATACAAACATCATACTCCTGAATACGAATGTTTGTACCGTGCGAGGAATTGAACACGCGACCATCGGAAGTAAAGCGGTGTTTTTAATGGGTAAGAATCCCACATACCCCCTCTTTACCCCTCTGACACGCGGACGGTCTTTGGAAGAATTTTCCACGCGATAAAAAAAGCACTATAGCAAGATCCTTACGCTGTAGATGGTAGGTAATATGACAAACTTTCTAGGATTTGGAAGCTATCCAATACGGGATTTATTATCTGTGATGCAATGACCAATGTTTTTGTTTACAGTTCGCGATATATTCGAACTAATAGTAGTAAATACATAATACATATATACAGGCCCGGACTTACCATTAATCAGAATAGGCTTGCCTATGGGGCCCAGCATCGGTTAGGGCCCCGCGCGCTTAAAATAATATGTTTCATAGTGTGGAAATTTAATTAAAATTGTGAATATTCAATTGGATTGTTGGAAACAATTTTATATTACATTAGCTTTCCGCCCGCTTCGCACAGGAGAACGTGTAAAACTCCCTCTTGAATGACTCTATCTATATTAAAAACTGCACTAAAATCCGTTGTTAAAAGAACGGAAGCGACTTCATTTTATACTATGTAAAGATGTTTTCTGTATTTTTAAAGTAATTGTTTTCTTTATATTTGATAACTTAATTAGAAAATCTGTAGCGTCAATGACTCTTGTAAACAATTGTTATATTTTGTCTATGTTTGTTATAGTAAGTCAATTGAATATTTGCGAGAATATGGTGCTCTTATTTGCTATCGTCTTTGATTTTCCTCGCTTTTTATACAGTCTGGTACAATGACCATATCTATTTTTGTCTCGATACAAATGTAAATATAAATGTAAAATAGCATCACAGATAACATATTAGCATGGAGCGACATATATTCGACATTTTAAAAATTGTGGGCCCCTGTTAATTGTATTGCCAAGGGGCCCCAACATGGTTAATCCGGCCCTGTATATCACTATACGGGAAGCAATTTTTTCAAGTGCCCATGACAGACCGTCTGGTATAAATTTTATTTATTCTATTGTCAGCGGATAGCGTTGTGGGCTAGTTGTCTAGGTACTACACGACTTCAACCCCATAGATACTGTGTTCAAATCTGGTGGACAAAACAAGGAAAACATCGTACAATTAGGAAAAATCACAGGATCTTACCTTTTTTTTTGAGTTCGCGATATTTCGACAGCGTTTCAACCGCCATGATTATGGGTAAACTGATAGATGCAGCGGGTAGATGGTAAATAAACTATTTTATGGACTGACGTATTCGCTACCTTCATACGTATGCGTTTGTTGCTACTAATGGAAGTAAGATCCCGGATTTTTCCTAATTGTACATGTAAGTTATTATCGCGTCTTTAAAACAGTATAAAAATAGTTTTCAATTTGCTTTTTTACTAACATTCGTTAAAGTTCACATATTTTTTTTTTTTTTATTGGGTTGTTTGGGCTATTGTCAGATGTGTAGCACCTGTAGCACTGCGACCTACATAGATCTATTGTGCTCGCCCTTTTCAGAGTTCGCTACCTAGACCCGTCAGGGACAAGAATTGAAGGATATTCTTAGGAGCGATCGTTTTTATCTCCTCGGGAAAGAGTGTAAACTTTCCAAAGGAGATATTTCGTTTATGCATGAGTGGGCTACAACCACATAGGATGTGAAGCGGCGTTTCCTCTTCAGTTTGGCAGAATCTGCAGATACTAGTCGTGCATAGGCCTAGCTTAGCCATATGCTTGTTCAATTTGCAGTGTCCTGTGAGGGCCCTAGTCATCATGCATATGTTGTTTTTACTCAATAGCAGTAATCGATTGGAGTATTTGGTCGAGAAGCCCGATATAAGGTCTTTTGAATGTATTAATCCTGGCATTTCTTGCCAGTGATTCAGTGCTTCTCGTTTGGTTATTAATTTGAGATGTCCCAGTTTTAGGCAACGAGGCACACCACAGAAGGGTTCGGGGCCCAGTTGGACGGTTTTTGCCCCTAACTTTGCCAGATGGTCGGCATTCTCATTGCCTTCAATATTTGAATGCCCGGGGACCCATCTCAGAATAATATTATTTCTGCTTCCTACTTCATTTAGTAGCAGGATACAGTTTCTAATAAGTTTAGAACGGATTTCGTACGAGTTAAGTGCTAGTAGAGCAGCTTGACTGTCCGAATAAATGTATATGTTCTGATTGATGTAGTTGAGGCTTAGGATTACTTCCAGACATCTAATTAAGGCGTAAGTCTCTGCCTGAAAGATTGAGGCGTATTTTCCTAAGCCTATATAGTTGCAGATTTTGGGTTTTACACCACATATTCCACATCCTACATCATCTCCTATTTTGGACCCGTCTGTAAACCAGACTAGGTCATGCTCTGAGTGAGACGGTGTATGGTTATTTTGCCATTCGTCTCTTCCAGATATTTCGATTTTGTAATATTGTACAAAGTTACACTCTGGTGCCATGTTGTCTTCAGGCATTCCCAGAATAGGATCACTCATAATCGAGTCTTGTATAGTTTTTATGGCCAGGGAATACCAAGATATCCTCCTTTGGGAACTTATTCTGAGCATATTGGCTTTCGCCTTTTCCTGTATGAATAAAGGAAGGGGCGTCAAGTCCAATAATGCGTCTAGAGCTGCTCCCGGCGTGGTGCTCATGGCTCCTGTAATAATCAGACAAGCAATTCTCTGTAGGCTGTTTAGCTTGGTGGCGG